GAAGCAGTTACAAAAGCAGTGGATCACTGACTTCGACTGGACATCAGAGGAGGAACAGATGAACAGGTATGCACCTAATGCGAAGCTCTCCCCAAGCAGTCACGTCCCTTCTCACACAGTCCCAACGGCAGTTATAATCATTTCACTACGAATATCGAGGGGTTGAAAATTCATTTCATTCATCATCGTTCTGAAACAGCTGGTTCAATACCACTTCTACTTCTACACGGCTGGCCAGGGTCCTTTTTGGAAGTCTTACCCCTGGTGAAACCCCTGGTAGAGCAGGCAAAAACTTCCAACGGCACGGATGTCTCATTTGACATCATTGTCCCTTCGCTCCCTGGGTTTGCTTTCTCACAGGCACCGCCCCCAACCTGGACTATTGCCGATACCGCTCGGATTTTCCACACCCTCATGACTGATATACTTGGCTACACGACTTTCGCTGTGAACGGGACCGACTGGGGGTCTGGTATCGCTTATGCCTTGTATGAGCAGTATCCGGCCACCATTCGTGCTGCTCATTTTTCTATGATCCCCTTCTTGCCGAAGCTTCCAGATCAGCTCGCAGCAGATAATATCACCCTGACCGAGAGTGAACAATTTCAGGCGGAGAGATTTGCGAAGTTCGCTGCCACGGGCACTGGCTACTTTGTTACGCACGCCCTTAAGGTAATATGCGCTGCTGAACGTTCAACAAAGCATGATAATACTTCAATCATTTAACTGACAAACTTGGTAGCCTACCACGATTGGGCTGGCATTACAGGACAATCCGATGGGCCAGTTGGCGTGGATTGCTCAGCAGATCCTTGACTGTGAGTTTACATGATCAATACGAGCCAACCGACATGAAGATTCTGATACTTCTACAGGGTCAGATCCACGGGCAGGGACAGGCCCTTCCGTACTGACACATAGGGAAATACTTCGGTTCACATCGCTATACTTTCTTACCGAGTCGTTCTTGTCATCCATTTTCATCTATTCTTCGAACCCGAACGGCTTTAGACCAGAGTACTCCAAGGCTTCCACAGACGCGCCCTTGCTGTATAGCAACTTCAAGTACAACAACACATTTTTTCCGCCAGCTTTGGTAAGAAAGGTTGGGAATTTGGTATATTGGAAAGGTAAGTCGCTCGGCCATCAAACCTCGTGCCAATTATAGAACCTATGATACCGAGGAAACTTCTTCAGGGAAATGACCCAGTGATGGCGGATACTAACAGTATTAAAATACTAGATCATGAGCTTGGAGGCCACTTTCCAGGAGTAGATAACCCACCGGGCCTAATCTCCGACATTAGAGAGCTTGGAAATCATTGGCGATGGTCATAGGTTCTCCGGATTGTGCTAGGAGGGTAGAGAGTTTTCTTACCCTGATGAGTAGAGGGAGTGAAACTGGTGTGTAGTCTAAGAGTTTGTTAGATCTATGGGCGATAGCTCTTGAGGTCGTGGTATAGTCCTCAAGGAAGACCATAGTTTTCACTTTCAGATTTAGATTTTATGGAGGAAGGACTATGAATGGTCCTATAACTACATAGTTGATGGCCAATTGAAGTTTGCGTCAAAGGTGTAATTCTCACGATAATATCTCCCATCCCTCTACCCTTCCCCTCCCCCTCCTCCCCGCCCCCTTCTCACGTTTGCTGACCGGCTGTGGAAGGTCGCGATGAATGAGGAGCTTGTTCCTTCTGTAGCCGAACTAAGAGACATCCACGAGCCCTGGATATTGAATATACAGAAAGGAGTAGATTTCAAGGAGCCTTCATGTTATGTAGGCGGAGCTGCTAGGTTAGCGGGAAGGGGAGCAGAGGGGCACAGGAGGGGGCAGCATCGAGCGCCACCAGCCCTGCATCGTATGAGTATTGTATTTCTAGACAATAACCAGCTTCGAGGCTAGGTCTGCTTCAGCACACTCCTCCCGCTTCCCTCCCCTCCACTCACTTCTAGTTCACTCATTGTGTTCATCTCATCGCACGATAATTATAACCTGGAATCCACGAATAGGGTCCAGCTTATGAGCCTCGCGCTGTGGGTTTGAATATTCAAATGCCGTTCCCTATGCCTGGTTTGTTAATAGTTAAAAAACTCCCCTCCGCTCGACATCAATTTCTGACACCAGACAGGGCACCCGATGGAGGAACAACGCTCTGCGCCCGCCCTCCCCACTCGCGATGTAATGCACCACACGATTTGCGTTGACGAACTCCCCGATGTTACGCAGCTGAGGAACTACAAAGAGGAATTCTTTGCTGTCTTCAAGCCATTCGACCTTTTGTACTGCATGAAATGCAAAGAAGCCATCGCCACTAGCGAAAAAGCCATTTCTTTGCACCTCCAAGGGCCCTGCTACAACCTAAGTGCTGGAAGACACGCCGAGAGTCTCGCTGTGGAGTATCGATCTCTCTTAGACACAGAAGATGACACAAATTGGTTCGTGAGGCGGGGAAAACTGTACGAGAGGGTACAGCAAAGCAACATAAAACTTGAGGAGATACCGTGGCTCAGTCCGCCAGTCCATGGTTTTCGCTGCACGTTGTGCGGCCGGCCAATCAGAAAACGAAACACCTTTCGGCATCATCTGAAGAACGACCATGATGGGATAAAGAGCGAGCCTGAAAAATGCCTCGTACAGTCGTTCAAGAGTATGGGCCACCAATTTATCAACTTTCGGGTTGTGCGGCGGGCTGGGACAAGACAGTTGGGCCAGGCAAGGAGCGAGAACGCTCCTACAAGGTTATAAGATATTAGACAGAGGCAAGATGTTAGCAGAGGCCGGCACTGGCCTTTTACGCTTCTTTACTGTCTATCACATTGAGATTAACAGGAGAACTACATTCTATATTCCTTCCGTTTGCAGACTATTGCATTAAATTGAAATAGTTACCTTGCAAGAGAATAATGTTATTCGTTGTCTAGTTCAACATCTTAGGATGTTGGCGGTGCTGGTGCAAATAGACACAAAGGCTAGAAAAGACCAGGAAGACCCTCTCGATCTTTCGATTTGCGATACTGGCATATCATCTCCATATCAATAGTGTTTTCCCTATGAACTCATTATAGTATCTTTACGAAGCCAGAACGTTCTTAGATTACACGTCTCGTGGATTTATGTGAATATAACCGACTATCTGCCTAACAGGCTCTGAGGAGGGCAAATGCTAAGAATCAGCCACTGCTGTCTATCATCCGCTAAGGCTTCTCAAATGATCCGATGGGATCATCATGCTTCCACCTAGGCGACTTTCTGAATAATCCCCATGAGAATATACACTTCTAAAAGTGGAATTTTACAACTCCGCGTATCCCAGTTCTGGCGGCCGCCTCAATTAACCTTTTGTACAGTCTCATTGGCCGCAGTTATCGTACTTGGCACACGCGATAATAGACCGGAAGTTAAATGCTGCACATCATGTAAACGAAGGGACGGATGCACTTGCGATAGGTTGGTTTCGTCCTGCCGGCTGACACACAGGTGGCGGGGTAAAATGGTCCAACAACCATCAACGGTTCGCGCACCACCGCATTGATCTCGTGGTTTCCGTGCGCAAATGCGCAAAACTTCGGGGTTACTTTCATCTCAAAGTATTTAAATTGGCTGCGCCGAATCCACAAGCGCTTGAGATATATATGATTCTTGACATCTACGTTGTTTGATCGTCTCAACAAACATATACATGATTTGCCTGCAGCATCTGGCTTAACACTTGAGCCTCGAAGACATCAAATCGTCATTGAGAAAAGACAAACCTCCTACTCGTTCTCCACGTGCATCAACTTGGGTCACAGGCAACCATGGGGGCCATCATGAACCTACCAACCCTGGGCGACGCGACGATGATGTTCCAACCGACAGAGAGACAACGAACGTATAGGAACCTAAGTCCTAGACCCAGCGAAATGTCTATACGCAGGAATACCTTGAGCGACGAATGGATCAAGGTGTGACAAAGATGCGGATCCGAATCAGCTTCATGTTGGTTGCGTGCTGGCAACGCGACTAATCGGAGTGAAACAGGGCCAAGAGCCGTTCTCGACCGTCCAAATATGGCACTGCGTACTATCAAAATACATACATTATATTGATATTGTTGAGATACAAGCGCAACAGGGGGAAGCGCAACAGGTGGAAGCGCAACAGGTGGAAGCGCAACTGGTGGAAGCGCAATTGATGGAAGCGCAATTGGTGGAAGAAGCGCAACTGGTGGAAGCGCAATGGGCGGAGTTAGATGTGCTTCTGATGGGGTTATTGCAACGAGGACGGTTCACTTCTAAGGGAAATCTCTCACAAAACCTCCAGTATTGGAGCGAGTTACAGGACAAGCCCACGCTGGCATTATACTTTATTAATCATACGGTCCAGACCATGGGTCTGGATAAAAAATCACCATTTCATTCAGTGAATGAACGTACTTGGTCGATTCACGGGCTTCATGCCGTTTGCAAATGGAAATTATTCATTTCCAATTCCAGTTTCTGGCAGGTAGCTCTTTCGACTACCTCGGATTCTCGGCTTATTCAGAAGCCATGCTTATCTCTCAGCCAGAGATGTAGCTTGTGCGAACAATCAAATTTTATCGATGATGGTGTTGATGAAGAGCCGCTCCACGAATTCATCTCACGTTCCACCGTATGCAAGATTAGAGATACAAATTCACAGCATCGTATTATTACATCGAATGGAGCTCTTCATGAGTCGGCTCAACCAACACACTCTTTTGCTTCCAGGAACACAATCATTGCTTCTTTAAATGGCAAAGCTTGTATTCTGGATTCACACAAAAGAGTGCCTACACGCTACCTATGGGAAGAGATATGCTCTACGCAGAGCAGCAGAAACTCTCCCACATCCTTAAAAAGGTCGAAGAACGGAACCCAAGGAACCGACGCCGGTGAAAAGGCTTCGACAAACGAGACGAGCGAACGCCAGAGCTCCTCTGGCAGATACTACTCCCAAGCAGGTTGGATTACAACAGGGAAGAGATCATTAGGCCAGGATGACGACGGCGAGTCTCGAGCTGGAAAGCGACTACGCAGCGGGCCCGCCACAAGGAACAAGACCGCAAGGGACATGCCTCAACGGTTCGCTTGCCCATATTTTAAAAAGGACCCAGACCTGTATCGACAGCAAAGATCATGCGCAGGTCCGGGTTGGGTTACGGTCCATCGCGTAAAGTGCGCTGTTTCATTCTCCGACCTTTAATCATAGTGCTGACGGATAGTCCAGGGAGCATGTGTACCGCAAGCACGCCCTCCCTATCAGCTGCCCGAGATGCCACACCTCTTTTGAGTCCGAGAAGCAGAAGGATGAACACATTGCAGCATCTGTGCGCTGTGAGGCCCGCGAGGTGATTGCCTCCACGGAAGGCATGAGTACTACACAAAAGGAGCAACTCAGAAGTCGCAAGAAGTCTGCAAAATACGTCACCGAGGCCGAAAAATGGAGACAGATGTATCTCATTCTCTTTCCAAATGCTGACCTTGCTTCAATACCAAGCCCGTGTAAGTCTGCCTGAAGTAACGACCTCATCGTCTTACTTAATCTAAGATAATCTAGACTACGAGTATGCATCCAGTAGTTTAGATTTTCCGAGCCAAGAAATGTCTCGATACGAGCAGTTCCTCCAGCAAGAACTTCCCGATTCAGTCAGAGAGGAGCTTGAGCTTCGCATTGATCAGTATCTGAACCCCATTGAAGCAAGCCTTCGGTGCCAGCTTGTGGGTATCGTTCGAGATATGCAAATTCGACTTTTCGATCTTTACAAGTCCATGCAATATGGAAATATGAATGGAGCAGATATAGAAGGCATTCCGGATATAGATACCGATCGTTTCCCTGTTCCACGAACCGACGAGGATGTCGACGATGTGAACAATTTTGAGGATGAGCTCCAACATCTCTGCCAGCCACCATACCTCGAACAACTGCCCGATTTCGAGGGTCTTGAGGATCTCGATTTCAGCTTCAGCGTTCCGCAGTCAAGCTCGGCTATACTTGATCCAGGTGATCAATACTTATTCCATGATAGTGAGGGGAGGCAAACTGATATAGGCAATAAATAAACAAGCACGGAACTGAATACCCTTGTGTCATCATTTTTAGCTGGGTTTTGAGATAATTTTGATTCTCCAAAAAGAAAAGCCTCTCCTATATATCCATTTACATGTACTCTGTGCTCAAGACGGCAAGGACAATAATGTGCGGTAGCAATACTCTTGCTATCTAGCATCGGTACTATAGGATAGAGAAACAAAAGTTGTTATGCCTTTACAATTGACAATATCTGTTAGAGATCAGCATTCGGACTTGGAACCGGCTATCAGATAACTCACTAATTCCCAAGAGCCCGCGACTGGACGTTGTGCAATTAGTGGAATTATTGAAAAGAAGAAGTTGGTCGAAGTCCCAATCCACTCTTCTCATATGCCATATCGACCATCCTCATTTGCTTGACAGAATCATCGGCAGAGATCCAATATTGTGTGCCGCGGCCTTTGATTCGGTCCACAAACTGCTCAAGCTGGTGGCGGTACGACATCCACCAATCTTCACCCGGAAGATTAGCAAACTCCCCTCCAGCCTCTTTGAAGGTGTAAGCCTTGTAGGACTTGGAATCAGTCCACTTCTTGATCGGGCTACCATCCGCCTTGTTGCGAATAGCGTACGAATCTTTCACATCAATGCGATGCCAAACAACAGCATGCATGAAACCGTGCATCGTCACGTGGCGAGTGCGCACCTTTTCTTGGTTTTTTGGAAGAGAAGGATCGTCGACTTCAACTTCTTTGTGCGTGACTCGAACCTCTGATGGCTTCCAAAGTAGTGGCCCCCTCAGCGTTCCATATGACTCTGCGATACCTCCGTTCGGAAAACGGAACGTCGCCTTGGCAGCGTAGTCACACTTGTCGTGTTCACCATCACCAAATACATTGTAATCAACGCTTAGGCATTCTTCGGGCTCGGCGTCGTATATGGCGCGGATCATGGCAAACGAATAAGTGCCCATATGCATCATGCTACCGCCACCCATACGGTAGTTGAACCCAATGTCGTCCTTGCTCGTGTAAACCCATGGCACCATTCCATCCGCATAAACATGCACCACATCTGTTGGTGTGATAAAGCTGTGCAGAAGTTGAACAGCGGGATGAAAGCGGTTATGAAAGGCCTCGAGAACGACAGGGGCATTGGGCTGCGACAGTTCCGGCATGTTGAAGAGCCTGACGGCTTCGGCCTCATTGTTGACTGATGGCTTCTCGAGTAGTACATGTTTACCTGCGCGAATGGATCGCATGGCCCACTCCATGTGCAGAGTATTGGGAAGTGGGATGAAGATGGCATCAATGTTTGGATCGTCGAGGATCTCCTGATACGAGTCGATCACCTGGGGTATCCCATGCTTCTTTGCGAACTCTTCAGCCCGAGTGCGATCTCTAGCAGAGATTGCTTGTACAATAACCTCGGGATGGGATTTTGCGGGCACAATAAGAGACATGGGGCTGTTTTTGCGTCAGTATTCTGTCTCTAAACAGATGTTCTCGTTAAGTTAGCTTCGGAACTTACGCTGTCCGGGCAGCTCCCAGGATTCCGATCTTGATGGCATCGCTCTTCTTCTCCGCAGATGGCGGATCGAAAGCTGTGAAGATTCTTTTGAGAAGTGTTGCCATTTTATCGAACTTTCAAAGAGGATGATATGTGTAATGGCGTCAACAAAAGTCTTAGTGAGGATACTGGTTCTGGTTCTTGCGTAAATTTGCAGTCCAGGTTATGAGACGATCCAATTAGTTCATGTGATATATTGAACGATTGAGGGAAGCATGGAAGCTTATAAATATTTCAGATGGAACAATCTCATGGGAAGAAACACTGCCTCTCTGGCTGCTTGCTTACAGCTCGAGGTCCAATCCCAACCCCGGCTCATCGAAGTTATCCGATCAGTATTAGCGCGTAACGCATCCACCAGCCAATGCGTGATCCAGATTGGCTATTTCCTGGCGCAAGTTCGCCCAAATTGAGACGTGATTCGGTCCCCTCGGACACGGCACATCCAGGGCGGAGACTTGTCAGCCTCCCTTCTTCACACAACAACCAAGAACAGAGGTTTCTACGGCCAGCCAATTCGTCACTCTCTTGCCCCCTGCCCACATTGAGTTACCCATTAACGAGACCAAGCGATTTCTAAGCAAGGCATGGCGAGACTGATTGCTCCGAGGCCCGGTAGGTCCTGACGCTATGCCACATGATCTATGCGGAGTTTTGGCTAACCTCCGCCGGCTAGATTTGTTGCCAAAACACGATGAGACCAAGCAAAAGGTCGAGGACCCTGTTGAGAGACGGAAGCGGCTGAGTCGCCTGCGGCAGAGGGCATGGCGTAAGACAATTTCCCTCCTAATTATACCCTAAATTGGCAACTAACCCTGGGAGGTAGGCGACAGAAAGAAAGCTGCGTGTACACCATTTCCCAATGCCAACTCTGGGTGGAAAGGCTATGGCATCTTGATTTCTACCAACAATCGCGGGAGCATTGACTCAACACATAAAGCGGAAACTGCTCATGAAAAGCCTAAGAAGAGCCAACTAATCCCACCGCTCATCCCCTACTCGGTATCATTTCCAGCTCATCAAGTTGTCTTTCCACTCTCCCCAGATCATCGTCTCATCACAATTGTCCAGTACAATGTCCTCCGTGCCATGATATGGAACTTGGCGGCACTGTCCATGTTGGATCAGATTCCGAGTGAATGCGCCGAAACATTTGGTGTTTCCGGCCAGAATATTAGCAATAATACTGGACAAATTCCGCCAAATCTTCAATGGACATTAATACAGAAATCAGTGGATCATCCCTACTGGATCAGTGTCATTCCATTCCCTGCAATGAGAGATAATTTGATTCTCATGGCAGACCAATACGATAGCCGTGATCTCCTGCACGACGTGGGATTAGGGTTGTACGAGGGCCTTGATGATGCCGAAAGAAGAGGCTTCTTGGTTTGGGAAGATCCATGGCGTGCATCTGGGTGGGAGGTTAGCGAGGGATTTGTGAAGAAATGGGGCTTCTTGCTCAAAGGTTGTTCAGTTGAGATGGAGACGACCAATCGGTGGAGGGAGTTGCGAGGGGAGGAGAGGTTGGTCATTGAGGTATGAAAATAGAAGAGGCAGATTCATGAGTTGTAAGCTCGACATTGAGAAGATTATAAAGCCGGAATTCCATAGTATTTGAGTATAACTTGGGCTAACACGTGAAATTGACACTTGCAACCTGAACGAGTTGCTCAGTAAATCTAACCCAGACCTTCTAGCGAGCCTTACGATGGCGAAGTTGCATAGCATCCTATGTGCATCTATGGCGATGTAGTTGAAGGAGGACTTAGGTTATCAATGTTCTTCTCCACACCGGCGAAGGATAGTTCATCCAGTGTCTCCTTCCATACTCTCCTAGCCAACTGTTCTCCCTCTGAGGTATATATAAGGGCGGGAAGACTAGAAGAAATATAAACGATTAGTATATTATTCAAAGACCAAGTACATCGGACTTTGACTCACGGCCTCAGCTTGCCATTCTCCACGAACTGTCCGTGCGACTCAGGGCCAGTCCTCACTGCGGCAGCCAGGACTTGACTGGCGCCCACCGTGCAAGAATGACCGATCAGGCGATAGAACATGCCAATCATAAACCCAACCACACCCGAGGTTTGGCGCAGGAAGAGCGAGCCGTGACAAACACCTGGAGTCGGGGCGTTGATGATTGCCGTCTCAGGGGAGATCCGGCGGGCCAGTTCTCCCAGAAAAAGCAGCGCAAGAAGCTTACTGGTGCTATATCGCTCCTCCATATCCCAGTTACTGGCACTTTCGTCACCAAAAGCGGCGAGCAATGGGTCAGAGTCGCGCTCAGCGAACTTTGCCCAGTGAGCCATGATTGAAGACACGATGGATATCCGTGGGACCGGAGGGGGGATAACTTTCGCTGATGAGGGTTTGTCTTTAAGAACCGGTAGGAGGAGAGTAAGAAGGAGTACAGTAGACAGAAAATTGGTTTGTACGTCTTCATCGTAGCCAGTAGACTTATTGAAAGTCGGTTTGGCACAGAGAACGCCAGCGTTGAGCAGAACCACGTCAGGACGAGCCTTTAGCGATTTTGCACGTTCTGCGAATGCCGTGACGGAATCGTAGTTGGAAAGATCAAGCTTCCACACTTCAACTTTTTGATTTTCGCCTCGCCCGGCCAGTAAGGTCTTGGCTGCAGTCCTACCACTCTCTTCATTGCGGACTGCAAGGATGAGTTTACTTAGGCCTACATCCAAAAGTTGACGGCCGGCCTCAAATCCAACACCGACATTACCGCCGGTTATGATTGCGGTTTGACCACTGAGATCGGCATCTTTTTGCGTAAGAACTGGGCTCTTAGTCTCGAGTACCTGGCTTTTGAAAAAGTGAAGCTGGCCAGCCTGTTGTTCTGGAGTGGTATCGAACTGAGGGGCCATATCGAGTGTTTTTGATGTGAGCTGAATGAAATTAGGCAGAACGAGATATACAGTGGTTTGGGGCTATTCAAGAGACTAGAACCGGTGATCAAGGTGCCCTGCGTCATCAAGTATCACCACAGGGCATCCGATGCCCTTTATACATGCGGACAGGCGTCGAAACTATCTAAATCTGCAATTCAGCAGATTTATTATTTGTAATCAAGCTGCAATCTTCATCGCAACAGCACATGCGGCGGGCTTTGAATCCACGATGGTTGAGTCTAGGCTGTTATCATTGGCTCGCTGAGAGTAAGCTGAGTCTGAATGAGGAAATTTAATACTGACAAACCACGCTTGATCTCCGCACTGACTCAGCTTCTAACTAAGGGATGCTGGGTAAGGTGAGTTTCTTGCCCATACTAACGAAATGCGAAGAGGTCGCTACCCCCCAAAACATCGGTTCCACTTCGACTCGCTCGAGGTTGGCCTAGCATATGGCGCACCGAGAACTACATATGTCAGACAGTGACTTGACACCACAACGCGGTAGTTGTCGCTAGAGAAATACCTGTGTCATCATTATTCAAACCGTGTTCACCTGATAGGTTCTTAATACTCTGTGGCGCTAGTCAGTTCGACCACATGCGAATATGTCAACTGTCAGAAACTTATAAAGCCGCCGTCATACTTAAGAATTCGGATATATCCGAGCCTAATCAGAAACATGCTCATGCAATACTACTGGCCTACTATTCTTCCCATTACGGTTATCAAAAGAGGCTATTCTATCACTATTATCGCCCCTGAACGTAGGGTTCCTTAAGCTCTAGACACCGAGGAGAAACCAAACCATTAGAAGAATGCTTTGCAAACTGCAGGGCATTGGGTCGACACCCATATCATAAGTAAATATAACTACAATACGCATTTTATGTGAGTATGTACTAAATTAATTTAAAACCACTCCATCGCTATAAGAAATTGGATTTTGACAGCTACTCGTCTACTCCTCGATATCAGGACTTGACTCCTTATGTTCACACTTCCACCAGCCAGCCACGGGCTGAATGGTATCTAACCCAGTCTGAGTTTGTTGCCCGATCCTGTACGAACCAGACTGATCCAAGAGATCTCCACTGCTGGTAATGCGATGTCCAATAGATCCAGCTAGCATTTTGACGCTTTGCATCTCCCCCTCTTTGTTCTCCCGAACCACTACAGAAGCAAAGCCCCTGGAAGTTCTCTTCGTATCAATCATCCGAGCACCACCTGTGGAATGATCCTGAATTTCCTCCCCTTCCTCAGACCAAAAACAAAACTTCGACAACCAGCCGGATACGTAGCGGGTTCCGGAGCACCCATCTCTGTAGTGGACCATCTTGTTCCAAAATTCAAAGACCTCGGAACCAGTTGGATTATCGAACGAATTGACGAAGCTGTCCAAGACGGTCTCGAGCTGGTCCGCAAACTTTTCGACTTCCTCTCGGTGCGAGGTTGAGATCTCCCATAGGCGATCGCGAAGTCTAGCCCAGTCCTCTCTTTCGCCCAGAAGGGTAACAGATGGAAGACCGCAACTATATGAGACGTTGTAGTTGAAACACGGCTGGCGTGCTTCTGATTTGATCGGCATGATAAAATTTTTTGGATCTGTATTAATATCCTCAAATTCCCTCGCTATTGCTAGAGCAATTGCCCGGTCGCCATCTCCAGTGGTAGTGAAGTTTGGCCTGATCCAATTTCTTAGACCGACCTCGAGATCCCAATTTCCCCAGTTTTCCCAATATTTTATATCTCCGTCATCAAAAACATTTTTAGATCCCCTCGTTTTTGTTGGAGCTAACCATTCTAACTCAGCTTCGTCGGTGGTGGAATCATCTTCGTCCATGATGGAATCATCGTCGTCCATGATTGACTCAGCTCCGTCTATCATGGACTCATCTTCTTCCATGGCAGCCTCAGCTTCTTCCATGGTGGCATAATCCGTGGCCCCGACATCTCGCCATCCTTCATTCACTGTCAACATGTATCGAAACTTGTCGCCATTTCTGTCGAAGTAGAAACTGAGCTGAACGAGGATTGACAACCAGACGTCGTCAGGCCGAATCTTCAGGTGGTGATGTCCACTGTATGCTTCGCAAACTGCATGGACAAATCCATTACACGAAGGGCCAAAATATTCAGTCTCGAGGTCTTTGGATGAAGGTTCCGGCACACTCGTGCATTGCTCCGCTTCCTCGGGACATGATTCCTTCAACAATTCTTCGGCAGTCGTGACGAAAGATTTCTGTTCCCATACTGTGGGGTTGTTATCCGTCAGGAAAACAGTAACAGGCATTTTGTGGTTCCTTTTGCTGGGGAAAGGGTGGAAGAAGTTGCTGATGTATGGGGTGAAAGGGAAGGGGGCTTAGCTTTGAGTAGCGGACGTGCCGATGGGCTATATACAAGGCGATAGATTGTACATAGATTGTAAACCGTTCAGCAGGCACTAACTCATAACAAGAGTGCGGGTTTTTAGCTCATTAAATAAGAAAAGAACAATGATTCTTGAGCCTGCCGCTGTCATTAGCAGTTGCCTCAATAACAAAGGTGAGTCGAAGTTTAACTCTTGAAGCTATGAGAGTGGACACTTGGGTTTGTTCAGCGAAATGGATAAGAAATTTTAGACATGCGATGTAGATACATATTCACAGCAATCTGTTCTTGAATCGATGAGATATTAAATCCATTGTGTCGAGAAGGCAGTGTGTTCAGATAGCTACCAAACAACGAACAACGCAAAACGCTAGTACGAGTGAATGGAGGCATTAGCTTAGAGCAATGTCTAGGAACCCTATACCTCATTATCAAAGATTTCCTCACCTAACATACACTAGGGTTCTAAAATCATTGATCATAGACAAACCCCGTTTATCAAGAATGCTTGATGTTCCTGGAAAGTTTGATCCTCAACTTTGGTGGAACTAGCTCGAACCTCCTTGTGCGCTTCGCTATTATGCTCGAGGTCGATGCACAAAGGGGGGGGGCATGATCATTTGACACACATACACAGATCTTTGCTGATTGATCGCCTGACTTGTCTATTCTGAAGAATATTAAGCTCTAAGGAGTTGAATTAAGCTTTGCGGTTAGAAGTAACAACAGATAGGCAAATACCTCATATTCGCCTTACTTGGTCGCCAGAGGGGCCTTTCGACGGCAATGGTGCCATGATAAACTCCTCTGATCCACTGCCGTCGTGGTCAAACTCATTGTAACCGTTTGCAGTCGGGCGCTTTCTCTTGTCTCCACCGCCAGCACCGAATGTCATGAGCGAGCCCGGCTGAGCTGACTCACTGTGGCCCGTCTTTCGCGATGCGTAGCTGGATTCGCCAATCAGCCGAGGGGCAATGTGCTTGAAGCACTTGCGTAGTGTCGTCATGGAGCCGCATATGACCAAGAGATTTGCTTCAACCATAAACCAGGTGGACACCTTGGCCACTTCCCATGTAACATCGGGAGAGTTGAGCATAGCTGGGAGCAAAGCGGCGCGTACAATTCCAGTCACCACCGTTCTATATTAACACAAAGGTAGTTAGTTCATTGAATCCCCATTCTAAGAACAAAATACTTACGCTGAGCCAATAGTGAAGACAGCGAGAAGGCCGATCTTACGGGCAGTCTTCATCTGCAAGCCGACGACCATCTTGATGGGCAGGACGAGGATAATAACGTCGGAAATGATATTGAGAACCGCCGTGGCAATATAAATGGCAGCGGTGCTTAGGCATTGGCCCTCGGTGATGGTGATGTCCCAACCTCTCGCGATCGGTCGGCATCCGAAAATGAGTGTACCCTCCAGCACGATTGTGTACGCTATTTGGAACGCGATAGTTGTCCATGTAGATATTATGAACCATTGCTGTGGGCTGAGACGAAGATAGAAGGTAAGGAGAGACAATTTCGCAAAACACCCGCACGCTGCGTAGACGGGGCCTTGGATGTACGCAATCTAAGCCACAGACAAGTCAACATCAACCTCCACCCAGCGGCCAGTTCCTTCTCTCACTCGGTCGAGGCGGGAATATTAAGCTTACCTTGACGTACTCTCCCAGATTCTCGATGGGCAGTTCCCATCCGTGTAGACCCGCCTGCTTCTTGGCGTATGTTGGTAAGGTAAGCCCCATAGTGACGAACGAAAGTACGAAGGCCAGAAACAGCAAGTCTAGGAGGCGTCAGTCCATTCATCTTGCACATAATCTCCCCAATGTGCCCTTGATTAGGCATGACCGGTTTGCAACATACAATCGTCGCTATTGCACTTCTTGACGATGAAAAACTTGGTGTACATCCGCTGAGCCATAAACAAGACGTTGAGAAAGGCGAAAACGGCGGAAACAACGTAGATTTCGGGCACGCCACGGCGCTGCGGGTTATCCAAGTCGACATGGTAGCCCGGTGGTGGCTCCAGAGCTACCATAACACCATTGACGAGAGCCATGGCGCGTTCATGGACAGGAAGTTGTTTTCCGGACAGTTGGTGTTCATCCGGCGAGCTTGACAAAGATGTTGGTGACCCAGAAAAAAGGCTGGCGGATCGGGCACATTCAAGTAGGGCCACAGACCGAGTAGGAAAGAACAGAGTATTACATCCTGACGCAACTGTCAGGCCAACCTCTTTTCGGGAGTTCGAGGTAGATCGTACACGGAAGGGGATGCAGATCCCAGTCGGCACCTTTAACGTTGCATCCCAGGATGCGCTTCCTTCCGCATCACAATTTTTTCCCCTCGGGAGACTCTGTCCTTAAAATGAAAGCCTTATTTACGAAACCCGGTCTACTAGCTACATTTTCCTCGAATTGCAGCACGAACGAGCTGCAAAAGGGGCGGATCCGATGTGAGGTGGGCTCTCCCCTCGTCCCCGAGTTTAGGGATACAGAGCCGGCTTACAGAGTATACATAGTTTGATCAATCGACGGCTCCTAACCGCGCGCTTCATTCAGCTGTCGCCTTGCCCGTGCACAATGCATTAGCTGAGGCGTAGTGGGGGCCGGTGTTGGATCCTTTGAATCCCCTCTCTTTGACGAGGGTCTGTTCTTCCGGACAACGGTTGCCTGCTGCATAAAAAGAAACGAGACCGGCCTTCATCTCGGTCAATATCAATGTTATCGGGATTTTCTCTTCCAATCTTGTCTTGTTCGATTGCACTAATCTAATATACGCACAAGACTCGTCCATCCGCAGCCATGGCTACCGCGAGACCCAACTTCGACCCAGAGCTGGCGCCTTTTCATGATGCCTACCCCCTCCCGGCAATTTTGGCGCTGGAACTACTTCCTGCCATCAGACCTCAGCTCGATGCGGCATATACACCCGAGTCCGTCCTTGGCGATCACCCCTTCACCCACCAGGTCGAGTATGCTGAGGGCAGCGACGGCCACAAGGTGCCACTGGCTGTCTTCATTCCCAAGTCAGCGACGGACAAGGCCGGCAGCCGTCCGTGCATCTACTTCATCCACGCTGGGGGGCTGATCCTCAGCAACCGCTACTGCGGCGTGGGCGAGGTCCTGGGCGCCGCCGCCGAGATCAACGCCACAGTGGTGAGCGTCGAGTACCGGCTCGTTCCAGAGCACCCAGCGCCGGCAGCCCTGAATGATTCCTTCCAGGGTCTGACCTGGGTTCACGACAACGCCGCCAAGCTGGGGGTCGACCCCGCAAACATCGTCGTCTGGGGCTCTAGCGCGGGAGGTGGTCTGGCCGCCGCCGTCACGCTTTTGGCTCGCGACCGCAAGTCCCAGGTCAAGCCTAAAGGCCTGCTTCTTAACACTCCCATGCTCGAGGACAAGATCGATGAAGCCGAGAAGAAGGTTTTCAGCGGCGATGCGGCCAAGATCTGGTCTTCCGAGTCGAATGAAATCGGGTGGCAGGCGTATCTCGGCGACGATGCGGCCAACAGGGCGAACCCCTACTATGTACCGGCCCGGGCGGCTGACCTGTCCGGGTTGCCCCCTACGTTCCTCGATGTTGGCACCGCAGAGTTATTTAGAAAGCCTGTCGTCAGATTTGCCGAGAAAATTTGGGAGAACGCCGGGGATGTAGAGCTTCATGTTTGGCCTGGGACCTTCCATTCCTCTGACTTTGTGGTGCCTGACGCTGCGGTCTCTAAGAAGTCTGTGGCCGCAAGAAAGGCGTTTATCCATAAGATTCTATCCTCTTAGATTTTAGATGAATTATCCGTACATACTTATTCTCCCCTAACATGCCATTCTTTGATAATCTCGCCTCACATTCGATTTTCATCTTGTCAATTGACTGAATAAGCTCCCGGAGAGAACCAACCGGTACCGCCCTACAACCGGGATCGCCAGCTCGGGGCATGCGGCTGATCTGGGCACTCTGTCGGCCATGCCTATGACGTGCGAGAGATGATTCCGCTGACGACAGGGGTTATGGCTGGACTCGGAATGATGTGGCGACCCTTGTTGTTTCATTCAATGCATAATTGAACGATCCTTCTGCATAAAGTAACCAGTTTAAGGCTCTTGATCATCTCTCCATCGCGCCATGTAACCTGAGATTCATTCTGATTTCCCTAAATAGCAGTTGCAAGTCAGCTGAGGCGAACAATGCTGTAGATCGTATTTATTCAGGCTGGAATACAATTCGCGTGCTTACGGTACGAACTAACAATTCGGGACTTTATTGGAACTAACAATGCACCGATTAGAGCGAATCATTAGTGCTGCTCAGTGCGGAGAAAGGGAACAGAACGAGCCTGGCCAAAGCTTCAATCCCAGCCTAGTCAGAGGTTGATCCTATTGCGCAAGTTTGCGTTTCAACCATCTAGAGCATTGACATCTTCACGCATCAATTCTAATGGGAGCTAAAGATCTTAGTCTTGTCTAAGCGATAGCCGGAGGCAATGTAATCATCGACAGTCGTGTTAACAACAAGTTTCCATTCATTGGCTTGCCGAGGAGATGTCTTCAATTTAATTTTAACCCGAGGTGGTCCAACCTACCCTAAACCAGCGCCTTGGGAGCACCACAACTTCACCTCCGCCAGCGGTTTAAACGTAGAAATCCATCCGTTTACTGCCTAAGAATCAGTTTTTCTCTAGGCGTAATCAATTAAATAAGTGAAATATATACTAGATTCCTCTACTATCTCTGAGTGAATCTAGAGTACCCATGTATAAGACCTAATTTTTACTACTCTATAAAGTGAAAGGTCAGCTACCGTGACGTTTCTGTCTTTCTAGATTTTCTCCTCAACATTGAACCTTGGGACACTTGTAGAAAAAAGATAATAACGTTCAACAGAAATGGAAGCTGCCAGAGTCCGATAACTCAACACAATGAATAAAAATCTTAGGATATCATACAGGCAGATATAACATTCGACGATTACTAGGTAATAGCTCTTTTGTCGCCTAGCCCCCCCACTTAGATAGAGCTAGAGCATTCTCTTGCAAGAACATGCGTATTTTTTGTGCTGTATCTAAATTCAACATGTGATTGTCGCCAGTGATTTCCTTCGTCCAACCCAATGAAGGCCCTGCTTACAGATCATCGATGCAAGAAACTTGTCTGCTGCATCGTTGGGGCTTATACGGATAGTTGTAGATCGGAGAGATGGCGGCCTTCATCCGAGCCAATTATGGGAAATAATTGAATCACGGCTTCTATTTGATTGGTGGAGTGGGCATTCTACTGACTCGCGCACGCACAAAAAGACGGCGTCAGATATCGAAACAGGTATGCCATATATACAAACACAGGTCATCTGACTTGACCAACGTAAGTTGGGTGTGCACGATCATAAAAGCTTACAAGTAAATTCACCTACCTCTGCACACGTCATTGGCCTTGGCAGTGACTATTGGCTTTTTATGGCTGTATACTACTATTGAAGAGACAATCGGGTCCATGTCGCTGCATACAGTATACAGCATGGGGTTCAGATCCAGATTAGTTGTTAATCCTCTCGCATTCGAGGCTTCGATACAAGATGTTATTAGTCCTGTTGATTTGGCTCGAGCCGTCGACGGTAGTATTTCCCTGCCTCGGTTGGAGAGAGACGAGTGTTGGCCTCCTCTTCAGATATCAATATTTGTCGTACTTTTGTCGTCCTAGTAAGCCTCATTTGGCAGATTGGTGGAACACGGGACCTCTGTGTCATGCGGTGCGCGCGCGGCATCTTTCCCGATTAGATTACTTCTCAGCCATAAAACAGGATGGGTGTCCAGGGTGTGATTCCATAAGGTCACAAAAATGAATTATCTCTAGCAATGGCGCCAACAAAATCCTTCAAGCCGTGACTGAATTCTCTTGTCTAGTAGATTGAGTGGGATGCTGAGCCAATCACCGTGGCACAATCATCGTGGACTAGGATCCTCTTCATGTTGGTTCGTGGCGGGATGCATTGCGCTCGACCACGCGCCGATATCAGTTCGCCCGTCATGACCAGCTTATGGTACTTCAGGAACTATGACCAACGGTGTAGATCACATTCAGCTATGTGGAAACTGTACGAAGTAATGACTTGGTGGTTGTGGCATCATTGCCCAACGGCACACAAGGGACAGCTAATAGACAAGTAGTGATGAGGTATAAATATAGTATATGACACCCTTTTGTCTCCCAGGATTGGCATCCCCTAATTGTTCAAACCATATTCAACATGGAACCAGATCAGGTCTCCCTTCCTGTCTATGAAGACATCCTCCAGTCATTCCTCCATGAAGCTCGCGTCAAGTTGCCATCTTACAAGGAAGATCCCTCGTTCGACCAAGAGATAATTGACATATGTCTCGCTCAAGATCTCCCCGCAGATCGGATGGAAGTTATTGCAGGAGTTGGTATAGCAACAGCGAAATGGATGTATCCTTCGCATGACCGAGAAACCCAAGTGGCTATCGCTACTTTCACGGCCCTTGCAACCGCAGTCGACGATCTCGGCGAGTCCATAGCCGAGGGCTTACGACAATACCGCACTAGGCTTTTGGCACGCCAACCACTTGGCGTCAAAGTGTTGCAGACTTTTTTTGATGAAGTACTAAATATGGACCGGTTTTATGATACATTTGCGACAGATATGATCTTCAAGGGCACTGTCGACTTCTGCAGCGCCAACCTAGTGGAAATTGAGAAAATGGCTTTGTTGAAGGCCAACAAGAGTGCACCAGGTTTCGCAAACTACTTCCGCTTGAAGAGCGGTTTTGCGGAGCCTTATGCATTCTTCATTTTCCCTGAGAAGTTGCTGCACGGAAGTAATCCTTGTTGTCATCTGCCCTTGATCCCGGATATCGTGGGATTCATCAACGAAGCCAATGATGTAATGTCATATTATAAGGAATCTTTGGTTGGTAACGAGAGAGGAAACGCTATATATCTACACGCCGTAGCGAACGACCAGTCCATCGTCGAGAGTTTATCGGATTACCAGAGGTCGGCTTTAGGATATCTAGATAGGATTAGGAAGTATGCTAGCACGGAGTTGGCGCTGGCGGAAAGGGTCGAGGAGTTTATTCAAGGCTATTTCGCGTTCCACTTGACGCTCACAAGGTATAGACTGAACGAACTGTGTCTCACTGTGCGGGATTAGAGCGGGCTTAATTTAAGGTTTTCAACAAACGTTAATTGGGATGATGTCAGGCTGGCTCCGAACGAACCAGCCTGTAGAGATAGAAGGAAGTCGAATGTGGAAAGAAACGCTCAATGAATTCTTTATCTCTCTAATATATCTGGTTCTATTTAAACTATACAAGATGGCCATAATTTGCAATCAAAGACTTTATTCCTTGGCTTTCCCTCTCTTTGCTTCTTTTCCCCCAAACAAATCCTAGATGCCGTATTCGATAACCACTAACAACTCGCTCTTCACCTGCTTAGAGCCAGAACATTCTCTTGCAACAGCATGAGTAGTTTGTGTGCCGTATCTAAATCCAACAAGTAGCTGTCACCAGTGATCTTCAGCGTCAGCGTGTCACTTTCCACAGTGGAGAAGATTCCAAGATGTTGCGTTGCGGATTCTGGATGCTTGAGGTATTCAACTTGAGCCTCCTCATCCCCAGACTGCACCTTGGGCAAATTGACCGACCCGAAATGTTCCACAACAGAGTCTAGTTCAGTATCGGCTTCCCAGTCGGTGCACTCCTTGATAATCTCGTCTAGACCCATTGTCTCTGACGCCCCGCGGGCCACGGATTGATCTTGAACCGCGGCGAGAAGCTCGTGAGGCGAACTGTTGGCGCTGAGACGAACTCTCACGGGGACAATATTGACACATGGACCAACAACCTCTTGAAGGCCAGGTAGAGATGAATTCCGCCCGGAAACCACCTGTCCGAACACTACATCATTTCGACCCACAATTCCGGAGAGGACTCGAGCCCATGCGGAGGGAACCAATGAGGCGAAAGAAACTCCCGAAGGGAGGCTTGGAAGAGCCAAAGAGCATTCCACTTCCACCGGGACTAGAGCTGACGATGTCGATTGTGCTGAACGCAATTTAGGTCTTATGGCGCTAACTTGGGCTCCCTGCAAGAGTTGCCGCCAGTAGCTCACGGCGTTCGGCCTGGAAGCTCTGGTATGTGATATGAACAGGGAAAATGGTAATTCAGGAGCTATCGGCTTGTCTTGGTACGCATCGAAGAAAGTCTGGAGGATGAGTGGAAGAGACACGCCATCATACTGTGCGTGCGAGAAACGAACCATCATGTGATCTCCTGTGACGTGCCTGAAGAGGGTAAACTTTGCGAAAGGAGCACAGGGGACCAATTTTTGTCGGGTGTCCTCTTCAAATGCTTCTTGTATACCCCTCTTGATGTCTCCTCGAATGTTCATAATGTTCACTGAAGGCTCAAGTTCGCGTAGCACCACCTGCCAGTATACTCCGTCGAGCGGCATGAAGACGGAGCGTAGAATGGAATGGGTTTTAAGCACTTGGTGACAAGCCAATGTCCATTTACTGACGTCGACAGATGTTCCAAGACACAACGAGAAATAGTTGAGCGCTGATTGAGGGGTCTTGATAGACATTTGTAGGTTATGTTCTTGGAAGCTGGTGGTTGGAATAATATCCTCGATGTTCGACTCCGTGATTGAGTTACTGGATTGCAGTTTTCCAACGATCTCAGCCGACACCAAAGAAAAGGGAAGAGGTATTTCCCCTTGTTGATCCTCGGTAGTAGTCAAAGATAGGCAAGCGGTCATGCGTGATAGCACAGGGGCCTTGAAAATGTCTGCTACGGAGAGTTTGAGGTTGTTGCGGCGTGCCTCGTTTACGAGCTGCATGGCACGAATAGAGTCACCTCCGGATTCGAAGAAATCAGAGTCTAGCCCAATTGACGAGCTGTCAATCTTGAGAACATGCGCCCAGATTTGCTGCAGCTGCCTCTCTAATCTGGTAGAGGGCTGGCGGTTCACTGAAGAGGCCGAGGCGCGAAGGTGCTCAAGCCTCTTCGCTAACAACGGGGCACCGATTGCTTGCAATGCCTTCCGATCGATCTTGCCTGCGCTAGTCAATGGCATCTCTGGTAGCGTAGCATACAGAGTAGGAATCATGTGGGTGGCGAGTGAAGATGCTAGATTCTGAGCGGCTATCCGTGGGATTTCAAGCGTGTTCACGGCCTCAGCATCGTCCACCAGTATGAAAGCGACGATCTTGGAAGTCTCCTCAATGACCTCAACGACCACATGCTTGGAGGCTCGTGCTTCGGGAATGTACTGGCGAACATTCTGCTCGACTTCGCCGAGCTCAATTCGCTGGCCATGAATCTTGACCTGCGTATCCTTGCGGCCAATGAAGCTAAGACTTGAGTCTGGGTTGAACCGGACCAGATCGCCTGTCTTATAAAGTCGACCGCGTCTGCCTGGCCCATCGGGATTACCAGACACCAGCCACGCGGGATCTTGCACAAACGCGGCCGCGCTCCTTTCAGGATCACTGAGATAACCACGGGCTAGAATAGGGCCCTCGACTAACAGTTCTCCGACGGCCCCAAACGGAGCAAGTACCTGGTCGTCGTCGGGATTAACAACCCAGCAGGCGCATCCAACGGCTGTTCCGATGTGGTTTTCAGGGCGATTTTCCCGTCTGGCGGAACCCAAGGCACAGATAACTGTTGCCTCGGTAGGACCATAGGCGTCCATGATGTTGGCATGTTGAACAACTCGCTTGTAATCAGAGTCCGGCATGCTTTCTCCCCCCATTAGGAGAACGCGGAACTGGCGGAGCGCTGCATCGTCGAGGGTGCGGATAACGGAAGGCGTGAGCACACCCATATTGACGTCATATTCTATGAGTCGCGGGCTCAGGTTACTGACACGATCTTCGTCAGAGAGCACACAGACGCAGCCACCGTGGACAAGGGTGGTCAGGATCTCGAAGATCGTTGCATCCCAGGTATAAGCGGCGAATTGAATCATGCGGGTAGTATGATCTACGCCGATTCTACGTCCGTGGTACGAGCACCCAGAACTGACAGACTGATGCTCAAGCATAACACCCTTGGGTGTGCCAGTACTTCCCGAGGTGAACAAGACGTAGCAAAGAGAAGTTGGTGAATATTTGGTCAGCTGTCCACGAGGAGATGCAGGGAGGGTATTGATGAGCTTTTCGCCGACAGGGATGATCATACGGTTCTCCCCAAAATGTAGGTTTGCATTGTTAACGGATGTCAATACAACAGTCGAATTTATCTGAGAAAGTACCTTCTCTCGTGAGGCGTCTTGCGATGTGTTGAGGGGAACGAATGCGGCACCTGCTTTGAGGACTGCGAGCAAAGCAACAACAGCCCATTTCGAGTGCTCGAAGCACATAGGCACCATTTTGTCTGGACCAACACCAAGACCAATCAGAATATGCGTAAGTCTGGTTGAAAGGTCGTCCAACTGGTCATAGGTCAATTCTCCATCCCAGCTGTAGACTGCCGGGGCTGTAGGGCGTTCTCGAGTTTGCTCTGCAATTATTTCATGAACACAGCGTTTGATATGCGGCGGCACAGCCTTGTTGAGATTCCACTGCTGGCGATTCTCCTCTTTATTGCCAATATCCAATTCAGCAAGCAAAATTTCGGGAGTAGTTGCCAAAGCGTTCATTGCTTGGCTGAGACAGGAAGCAACACCAGCTGCTTGGCTTGAAGTCATGCAGGAAGATTTGGCAGTCATGGTAATATCAATACTGTTGCCATCATATGCTCCGTTTAGTGTGACATCGTACTGAATTCTTGTTAGTTATCCGCGTTCTCTCAGTTTCTTATAGAATTCTTACCTCTGTATCATCTGTGCCGTCGTGGAGAACAAACTTGACGCCATTCTTGGGACTTTCCTCGCTATCGTTGGAGGCACGTTGGAATGACAACGCTGTGTTGAACAATGCAGAAGAGCCAAGACCAAGCGTGCTGTGAAGATCTGAAATCGGGTACATGCGGTGAGACAGGCCCTTTAAGTGCTCCTCTTGGACTCCCCGCAGTACATCAAGTGCTGTGCCATCCTGATCTACTGCCACGCGGCAAACCATCATACCTATCATGGGTCCGAAAATATCGGAGACGTTGTCGATAGGAAGGTCTCTGCAGGAGACGAGGTTACCGAAGCTTGGCGCTGAGGAGCCAGTGTATCGGGTTAGAACCAATGCCCATGCCGTTTGCATCACCGTAGCAATAGTGATATCAGAGTGCTGACAGAAGCTTATGATGGCTTCCGAATCGATTCCGGGGGTCTTAATGGTGATGTACTGCGTTTGATCATATGTCGGAGGTGCGATGCTGGGGAAGTGGCATGGTTTAACATCGGCCAAGGTCTGTTTCCAGTACTCGCGGTCATCATCGTATGAGTAGTCTTGAAGATGAGAAATGAACTCGCGGTAAGAGCTTCCTTCGGGCAAAAGAGTACCTGAAGAAGCGGCTTCCAAATCATGAAGGATGATCCCGGTCGAATGAGCATCCAAGATGGCATGGTTGATCTCCAGCCCAAGTAAAACTCGACCATCACTGAGTTGGCAAACAGATAGGTGATGTTCAAGATTTGACTGGCCATATCGATCTGATCCCATACGAGCTCTGAATTGATCCAATTCAAAAGTTTCACCTTCTTCTTTGAAGATGGAAATACTTGGGCTTGGGTTGTGGAGAATAACATTGAAGATGCGTCTGCTTCCTGGCATATCTTTTACGAGGCACGCCCGGAGGAGAGAATGCCGCTGCACGACGGCTTTCCAAGCGTCGACAAGACCCGGAATACTAATTTGTTGCCCTTCTTCAGACACAGCCTCGAAAACGAACGATGTACGGTAGCTGTTGGGATCTTTGAACTGACTCATGACGATGCCTTGCTGTAAATCTGAGCAGGGGAAGCAGTCCTCGACGTCATCTGGAGTCAGGCCTAGTCCCGGAACAACATTCTCTTGGAAGACTCTAAGATCGTCGATGCTAGTGAAAGCAAGAGGGAAGTCACTCAATGTCCACTCCATGGGCCGACCAGGTAACGTCTGAGTTATCTCCAGGAGCGTCTTTTCATACTGAGAGATCCAAGCTTCGATACGCTCATGGTGCTTCATATTCTTATCGTACAGTACGGAGATTGAAGCAGAGCCATGCTCAATCGCAACGTTGAAGTCGAATAAAGCGAATCTTCGATGGTATCTAGAACTTGCGGCAACGTCATCTGGTGCTGAAACGAGACTGAATAGTGAGCTCTCGTGTTCAAGTTGCTGGAAAGACCCCAGAAAGTTGAACATTATCTCGGCGGGGAATTCCTTGAGAGTAGTCCCGCTGGTAAGATCTCCACTGAGTTTTGAGGCAAGGTAGGACTGATTGTTTGACGATCCACGGAGGAAGTCTTTGACGCCTCGGATAGCTTGGAATAAGTCCCAACGAGTATCTTTCTTGACGTTCACCGGGAAGATATTCGTAAACCAACCAACAGTGCGAGACAAGTCAATGTTCTCATCCCAAGCATCACGGCCGTGCATCTCGTTGTAGACCGAAGGCAGCTGGCGCTCGGGGAAGTGTAGCGAAAAGGAATAGATGAGAGCTGCGATCAAGAGCTCAACGGGACGCGTTTGAAAGGCGTTGTTACTGTCACCTAAAAGACGGGAGGTAGCTTGTTCGTTGAGAGAAAATCCTTTGGTTACCGTTGTATCGGGTGAATCTGAGCTGGAGGTAATGCCCCAGTGCTCCAATAACATGGACTCATTGTTAGGATGCTGAGTCTTTTCCTCAACAGCACTTTCTCTGAAGTGATTAGCCTGAGCGATTTGCCACGACGGAAAGCTAACAGCCGGCGCAGGAGGGGGCTCTTGATTCCGAAGGAGGCACTCGAGGTCTTCAGATATCACTCGCCATGATACAGCATCAATGACCAGGTGATGAATGCTAATGAATAAGCGCTGGTCTTCCCCGTTGTCTATCAAAACAGCCGAGATCACGGGGCCATTCTCAATATCAAGCTTAGACCGGCACTGAATAAGTGCAGCTGAGATTTCTGTTTCATTATCTGTTTCAACAAGACGTAGGAAAGACGAACTATCCTGCGATGGCTCTGTGATGTACTGTTGCCAGTTATTTGTCGATGACTTGGCAAAGCGAGCACGAAGCATAGCGTGACGCTCAACAATGACATTGAATGCCGCGAGTAATGCAGAGAACTCAACCCGCTGGCCAATTTCGAGGAAGACAAACTGGTCGAAGAAGGCGTAGTCATCCGTCTGAAGGCTGAGATATAAATGTTGAATAGGGCTTAATCCAAATCGTTGATTGACAGTAACCTCGTTGTTTAATGTCAATATTGTCAATATGTTCTTGCTCGCCGAAAGCCCATTACAAATACGACCAATTGTCTTCTTGCGCATGATGTCGCTCGTCGTGATCGGTAAGCCCATTGAGCGAGCTGCACTAGCAATCTGCATGGCGGTGATGGAATCGCCACCCAACCTAAAGAAGTTTTCATCTAAGCTGATACTGCTAGACTTTACGTTAAGTATCCGAGCCCAGAGTGCCTGAAGCTGTTGCTCAGCGGCAGACGTGGGCATCCGCTTCTCGCCCTGGCTTCTCAGGTCTGCTAGCTGCTGGGCAGTGAAGGATCCTGCCATTTCGCGCAGTCGACGGCGGTCTGTTTTCCCTGTTGTTGTCATTGGAAGGTCAAGGATAGCCAGATATACTGTAGGAACCATGTAGTTCGGTAGTCGGTCGTTCAACATATCATCGATACGTGAATCAACTTTCAAAACACGTAAAGGCCCATCAGGGGAGCTCTCAGGATCAGGCTGGGTGAGGAATACCGCGAGTAACGGCCGAGCCCCCTCGCCGGAAGGTGCAATAACCTCCGCAACGAGCTCATTAGCAGATCGAGCCTCAGGGAGGCATGCCCGCACATGGCTTTCTACCTCTCCCAACTCAACACGCTGTCCGCGAATCTTGACCTGCGTATCTTTGCGTCCCATATAAACAAGGCTCCCATTCTCCGTATAAGAGACAAGATCACCAGTTTTATACAAGGTACCAGACCGTCCTGGATGATCGGTACCACGACCCTGGAGAAGCCAATCAGGATCTCTGATGAAAGCTGCCGTTGTCTTTTCGTGGTCATTGAGATAGCCAAGACCCAGGAGTGGCCCCTCAAGTAGCAGCTCACCGACTGTACCTATAGGCATGAGCTTGTTGTGATCAGATGGATCAACAACCCATGTTACGGCGCCGGCACCTTTGCCGATATGAGCTGCCTCTGATGGGTTTGCCGCGACTGAGTTCACTACACTGTTGGTGGTGCATTCAGAAGGCCCATATGCGTTGACAACCGATACATGCGGCCACCACCTTTCAATATCAGATTCAGTTGAGGCTTCACCCACGAGGATGAGTGACTGGAGGGTCGGGAGCTGCTTCGGGTCGATTAGCCTGGCAATGGTTGGCGTTAGCAGAACTAAGCTCGAATCCATTGCGGTCATAGTTTCCGTGAGCTCATTCTTTCGTTGTGATTCAGATGGCACGCAAATACAGCCTCCGGTTGATAGCGTGACAGCCGTGTTATAAACGAAAACATCGAAGACGTACGAGGCAAAATCGAAGACCCTGGAATCAGATTTGAATCCTAGAGCTTCTGCCTGGTACAAGATGTTTGAACTCATGGCCCGGTGCGAAACAACAACTCCTTTCGGTACGCCAGTGCTACCGGATGTAAAGACGATATACATAGGTGACTCGGGATCAATTTTAGGGAGTGCATTGGAGTTGGGGGACACTCTGCGCAGGGCTGGACCAACAGCGATTGTTGTTTCAGTAAACTGAGTACTCAGAGGCTTATGTTGGTCCGATGAGAGTATCACGGTAGCACTGGTTTGAGAAATGATTGAGTGCAGCCGGGCTTCAGGATACTCAGGATCAAGCATCACAAATGCGCCACCAGCCTTCAGCACAGAAAGAATGGCGACAGTAGCCCATACGGACTTTTCGAAGCAGAGCGGTACGACTACCCCGGCTCCCACTCCTAAACCGACCAATCGATGCGCAACTGTGCCGGACAGGAGATCTAACTCCTTGTATGTGAGATCCCCATCCCATGCACTGACTGATAGCGCGGAGGGGCGAGATGCGACTTGTTCTGCAAAGAGATCAGTGATGCAACGTTCATATGGGACAGGAACATCGCTGTTCCATGACCAGATATCCCGCTGGTCTTCTGGGGAAAGAGTCATGAAACTATCCAGTGTCTTAGACGTGTCAGAGTTGAGAAGAGTTAGAAGACTCTGGATCGTAAAGCTGAATTGACGGATGATTTGCTGCATCATCCATTGGCTTATGATTCTGGCATCGTAATTCGCGACAATCCTCATGCCGTCACGTGCAAGATAGACATTCAGCGTAATGGCATACGTGCTGAAGGCACTCTCGTCTGAATCATTTCGCCATTTGCCCACGTCTGATCCTCCCAAAGAATCCTCGTCCGGCGGTTGAACAATCAGGAGTGTCTGAAACTGGACAGCATCGCGAGCGCTGGAGCTCAATTTCGCAATCTCCTGTAAACCAATCTGTTCATATGGAGTTATTTCTGTAGCCTGGTCCTGGACAGCGCGAAGTAAGGCCACCACGGACGAATTAGGGTCCAGACAAACGCGAACAGGCACTGTTGCGATGGTTGGGCCAACAATTGACTCGATGCCCGCCACAGGAGCATTACGGCCAGACACAGTGGCGCCAAAGATCACATCATGATCGCTGCTGTGAGTGCTTATAGTAATGGCCCAAGCCGCTCTGACGATGGTTGCAAGAGTGAAGTCCGACTGCTCCACCGGCGCAACCGCACAAAGTTGCTGCAGAACGGAATCTCCCACTGGGTCTCTTGCGTGTGGTGGGAGCGGGGGAAAAGGAGTTGAGTGATAGTCGGACAGTTCTGATCGCCAGTAGGACTCGCTGGCGTTTCGGGTCTGTTGGATATGTCGGATGAAAGACGCAAAAGGAAAATTTATAGTAGGCCGAGGCCCGTTGTATAGGCTGTCAACTAAGTGAAGAAGCATCTGCAAAGATGCACCATCATAAATGGCGTGATGGATAGTCAACACAAACTTGGATGACGTCCCCTTAGTGACTTCAAACTGTGCTAGGGGCTGTCCGAGACCATAGGCTGTACCCTTTTCTGGCTTTGCCCAGTTGTCTTGATGCTTGAGCACAACTTGAAGCAGTCCGTAATCAGGATTTTGTATAATCCTAGTACGTAGCACCGCTACAGTTTCTGTAGCTTCATTCCAGGCGTTAATGTACCGTGAGATATCTACCGTCTCTGAAAAGGTCAGAGTTGCTTGGAATGTATAAGCACCTGCTTGCTTGTCGGTGATGGCAAGAAGACCTTCTTGTAGAGGTGTGCAAGGGTAGATATCCTCGATCTCATCAGGCGTCACACCGCAGCTAGTAGCAATTTCAGAAATATTTACTGACGGGTGGAAGCCAGCGGGCATCAAGGCGAATGGCTGAATGGCTTCTGTATCGTGCGTGGGGAGTTCTTGACCAGCTAGTTCGGCCAATGCGGCCAGCCTTGGATGACGGAAGATATCTTGCACGGATACTGCAATGCCTTCCTTCCTAGCCGTGCTGACCAACTTCATCGCAGAAATAGAATCCCCTCCGAGGCGGAAGAAGCTATCGTCGAGGCCAATATTGTCTGGCTTAAGTTGAAGGACATGAGACCAAAGCTGCTGTAGCTTTTTCTCGATCTCCGTTGTAGGCTTCCGCTTGTCGCCAGTGCTCATTGTCAGTAAATCGGCCAGTTGATCCGTTGTAAATGCACCCGCCATCTTTCTTAAATCGTTTCGGTCGATCTTCCCCGAGGTCGTCAATGGCATGTCTAGTATGGAGAAGTATACCGAGGGTAGCATGTGCGCAGGAAGGCGGCTTGCAAGTCGATCTTCAGCGTCAGAAGACACTGCTAACACCTGCAGAGAGTTACCCTCCATCATCCTCTTGTTCTTGTCGTTAGGTCCTTGCGTAGATACAAAGACGGCGAGCATTGGGCTAGCCTGCTCTCCAGAAGGCGTGAAGACCTCTGCCGCAATGTATGAAGCGTCCTTGGCCTCCGGTAAGATCTCCCTGACATGATGTTCAACTTCGCCAAGCTCAACACGTTGCCCTCGAATCTTGACTTGTGTGTCCTTGCGCCCGACAAAAGTCAGGCTGCCGTCTTGGTGGTAGCGAACTAAATCACCAGTTCTGTAGACAATGCCATTATGCCCCGGATGTTTGGATGTACCGGTCACCAAAAAGGAAGGGTCCTGAATGAAGGACCCGGCGGTCTTGTTAGGATCGTTTAGATATCCAATTGCAAGTTGTGGTCCCTCTAGCAGTAGCTCTCCTATAGTACCAATTGGGACCAGCTTATTGTAATCATCAACACTCACAACCCACGGAATCATTCCCACTCCTTTGCCAATGCGAGTTACCTCTTCCGGGACCTGGGAGGCGTGATTGATGATGCTCTGGATAGTGCATTCCGCAGGACCATAAGAGTTGATGAGTTTAACACGACCCCACCACCTCGAGGTATCTTCATATGTGACTGGCTCTCCACCAAGGGTCAAGATTTCCAAAAGGGGAACATCTTCTGGGTTGATCAGACGACTGACAGATGCTGTCAGTGCTGCTGTCGTTGCTTTCATTCTATGAATCGAGCCAGCTAAGTCATTCTTCCGGTCCGCCTCGGATGGTACACACACGCAGCCACCAGTTGAAAGCGGAACCAAGGTGTTACTGATGAAAACGTCGAACGTGGTTGCCGTAAAGTCGAATGCCCTGGTTCCTTGGCGGAACCCGAGAATCTCGGCGGAATGATAGACGTTAGAGGCAAATGCTTGATGGGAAACAACAACACCCTTTGGTTCACCAGTACTGCCGGATGTGAATACCACGTACATAGGAGAGGATGGTTTTGCCGAGGGCAATTCGACACTCTTATCATCCTCGGCGATAGCTCCAGGTCCAACTTCAATAACATCACCTGTCAGACGTGCTGCAAGTGACATGCTTTGACTATCACAGAGGGTGATTTTTGCCTCCGTGTCATGAATGATGCGACGTAGTCGGAGCTCTGGGTGTGCTGGGTCTATCATAAAAAATACGCCGCCGGCTTTGAGAACGGCGAGGATGGCCACTGGTATCCACCTTGACTTTTCGAAAGACAAGGGGATCATATCGCCAGGCTTCACGCCGGATAGGATCAGCTGTTTTGCCAGTCGTGTGGACAGCTCATCGAGACACCCATATGTAAGTTCTCCATCCCAAGCGCTGATAGCTGGAGCATCAGGCTGAAATTTGGCCCAATCGTCAAAAAGATGATGCGCACAGCGCTCAGATACGCTAGGTACGTTACTATTCCAGGAAAATATCCTCTCCTTGTCATTCATCGAAACAGAGTCCACATCTCCGACCAGTAGATGAGATTCTCTAACAAGCGTATTGACAATCTTACTCAAGGAGTCGGCGAGGTTGGACACTTGGACGCCGGAGAGGAAGCTTGACCGCGCAGATACTGAGATGTCTATCGCTTTGTTTTCCTGCAATACACTCACGGTGACGGCATACTAGTATTCTGTTAGTTTGGATAATAAAGCGGCGACGTCTGCCACTTACCTCTGTTGGGTCACTCCAATCTTGGGGGATGACTAAAAGGCCAGAATTCTCCTCCTCTTCATTGGAATCAGATCTGGTCAAGGAAATACCGGTGTTAAATAAAGCCATCTGGTTGAGCCCGAGGGACCTGTGGATGTTAATCAACGGATACGACTGGTAGGGAATGCTCTCCACGCAGGCCTCGTGCGCGGATCGAATGGTGTCCAGGATGGTCTTTGCGGCGTCGAGCTGAATTCTGCCTGTGAAAATGTTGATCAAAGGACCTAAGATTTCGTTGACTTGGTCAATGTCTAGGTCGCGGCCTGAGGTCAAGTTGCCAAAACAAGGCGACTGGCAGCCTGTGTAGTCTTTCAAAACTAAGGCCCATGCCACCTGAATAATAGTCGAAAGGGTGACCTCCCACTGTTGGCAGAAAGCATGGATTGCGTCAACATCTAGACCAACGACCTCTGCAGATCTTTCCCTCACATCATGCTCTGGGGACTCGGATAGCTCAGGGAATAGACAAGGCTCAGCGTCCTCCAAGGCAGCAGCCCAATACTTCTCCGCTTCTTCATGGACCTGTCGTTCGAAGAACGCCGACACATTTCTAAAAGAAGCAGCCTCTCCATCAAAATCTTCAACGTAAGCGCGCTTGAGATCTTCAAGAAGAATGTCGCGGGAGTGGGCATCGATAATGGCATGATTGATGCTCAAACATACTGCCACTTTGCCATCCTTGAGCTGGCATAGCGCGAGATGATGCTGGAGACCCCCAAGCTGTTGCTGAGTAGTTGCATCGTAGTGCTGTTGAAATTCCGAAAGGCTCATGGTTTCGCTTTTTGTTTGCAAAACCAAAATCTCCGGCTGAGGGTCTCGAAGGATAATATTAGCTAGCTCATGGGTGCCTGGCATATTGTCGACCACTACAGACCGCAGTAATGCATGACGGCGAACAACCTTCTTCCAAGCGTTGCTCAGTCTATTGCAATCAATTGCATCGCCATCAACAGCAGCCATGGTAGAGAGAGACACAACGCGGTAGTTCCCTGAGTCTTTGGTCTGACTGACTAAGATTCCTTTCTGCATGGGAGTGCAGGGAAAGACATCTTGAACCTCATCAAGCTCAACGCCAAGACTAGGTAGGGTGATCTGCGTAAAGTCGTCCAGTTCAGTATACGACTTGAACATCAGTGGGAAGTCAGAGAGTGTCCACTGTGGTTTAATGTTGGAAAGCTGTTCGATCATCTGCGTCATGGTATCTCTGTATTGCTTAGTTAAAATAGCCGCCTTTGTGTGGTTGATATTGCGGTCGTAAGTGAGTGAGAACTTTGCACAACCTTCTTCGACGATAGCACCGATATCAAAAAGTGCCATTCGTCTATTCGGCGTGGGAGAAGAGAGCGAGTCAATCTCATCTGAAATGGGAAGCTGTTTAAAAAGCGAGTCATCACGCTCAAGCTGTTGGTAGACACCCACATAGTTAAAGACGATCTCTACTGGGAAAGCCTTCACAAAAGACAGCGCTTGACTCTCTGACACAAACTGAGATGCAAAGTATCGCAGGTTCTCGTGCTTGCGGTTGCGAATTTGGTCCTTTGTCTGCCGAATTATATTCAACAAGTTGCTTTCAGCGGAAGGGATGAACGGGACTAGGCTTGTGAACCAGCCAACAGTTTGCGAAAGGTCGGCATTATCATCCCAAGTCTCACGTCCGTGGCTTTCATTGAATATCGTGGGACATTGGCGGTCACAGAATGCTTCGTTGAAGGAGGCAACGAGACCGGCAAGCATAAGCTCCATTGGTTGAGTCCCGAACGCATCGTTAGAACCCCCCAAGAGTAGGGCAGTGGTAGCCTGATCCAACTCAAACTCTTCGGTAACGGTGATGTTGCTCAGAGCCCCCACTGATCCAATACCCCAGTATGAAAGCATTGCAGACTTTTCAGAGAATGTGATGTCCTGAGTTGGAAAGGTGCTTTGAGAAATCTGTTTGGCTTGTAAGTCGCGCCAGGCTCGGAATGTCAGCGAGTTATTAGGAAGTAGGGGGTGGGATAATAATAGGGCTTCCAACTCTTGTAGTATCACGCGCCAGGAAACTAAATCAATGACAAGATGGTGCACGGCCATGAACAACCGGGGCTTCTCTCCGAAGGGAAGGTAAGTTGCGGACAACACGGGACCTGTCTCAACATTGATTTGAGCACGGCATTGGACAATGGATTGGATCTGTTCTTCCTCGTTTTCTGCCTCTGATTCTTGCAATGCAAATGAGTTTTGAATATCTTTGGAGATCAGCTGCTCCCAATTGCCATTCGAACTCTTCCTGAAGCGGGCTCGTAGCATCGAGTGTCGCTGCACGATTATAGTAATCGCTTTAGATAGGGAGGAGAAAAAAACCTCTTCCTTCAGCTCCAAGAAGAAGCACTGGTCAGAAGTGCCTGGGGTCTGTTGTTGAAGATGAAAATATAGCTCTTGTATGGGGGTTAATCCGAAAGGCTCTTCATCCAGTTCCTCCCTAGTATCGACGAGGGGCTTTGTCTGATGAGTAACACCAGCGGCGATCCGGGCAATTGTCTTCTTCCGATGGAGATCGCTGACGGAAACCTGCAATTGCAGCGAGCGAGCGAGCGCCGAAACTTGCATTGATGTGATTGAATCACCGCCTAGACGGAAGAAGCTGTCATCCATGCCGATTGACGCAGCGCTTAGGTTAAGCACTCTAGCCCAAACCTGCTGCAACTGCTCCTCGATGTCATTGGCAGGCATCCGTTTGCGGCTCTCAGACTTGTAATGAAGATCTGCGAGATCTTGTGCGGTAAAAGACGAGACCAATCTTCGTAGCTCTTTACGGTCTGTCTTTCCGGTTGCTGTCATGGGGAGGCGAGGGAGGGTAAAGTACATCGTGGGCAACATGTAGGCTGGTAGGCGCTCCACTAATGCTTCATCCATTTCTCGCGAGACGCTCATTACTCCTAAGCCCGTGCCACTTCCGACGTTGTCAACTGGTTGACCGGTGCCCACGAAAATCACCAGTGTTGGAGAGGCACCAGCTGGGATGACTACTTCAGCAGACAACGGGCATCCCCGATACGCCTCGGGTAAACATTCGGAGACGTGGTGTTCGACTTCTCCTAGTTCTACACGTTGTCCGCGAATTTTAATTTGAGTGTTCTTACGCCCCATATAAGAAATGGTCCCATCAGGGTGGTATCTGACTAGATCACCTGTATGATATACCGTGCTCTGCCGTCCTGGATGATCATGGGTGCCTTCTCGTAGCCATTTTGGCGCTGTAACGAAAGCTTCCGCCGTTTTAGAGGGATCTTTGAGATAACCAAGGCCAAGCAATGGTCCCTCAAGAAGCATCTCGCCGACCGCTCCAATGGGTACTAGTTGATCGGAGTTTCCTGAGTCAACAACCCAAGTGACTGAGCCAATGCCCTTACCAAGACGCAGCGCTTCCGTGGCAGTTTTAGCTTCCGTGTTGAGGAGACTGAGCGGCGTACACTCCGAAGGCCCGTACGCATTGATAACGATTCGATCCGCGTCCCGCCATTTCGTAACATCTGAGATATTGCAGGGCTCACCAATCAGAAGAAGTGTCTTGAGCGATGGGACCTCGGATGGCTGTATTGTCCGGGTGACACTTGGTGTCAAGAATGCCAGAGTGGCCTCCAAATCTACGATTGACCTAGCAAGATTGTTCAACCTATCCTCTTCCGATGGGATGCAGATACAGCCACCTGTAGCCAGTGTGATGACAACATTCATGATATATGCATCGAAGATGTGAGCAGCAAAGTCAAATACTCTCGTCTCAGGCCCAAATCCCATGACTTCGTATTGGTGATGGGTCATGGTTGAGAACGCTCCATAGGGGACAACGACACCCTTTGGCTCACCCGTACTTCCTGACGTAAATACAACGTACATGGGGCGTGCAGGATTGATCGATGGTAGTGGGCATGGTCTAGCACTGGTTTCAGCCAAATCAGCTTCAGGGCCGACGGTAATAACTGTGTCTACGAGTCTTGAACTTGCTAGACGGTGAGTGGCCGATGAAATAATAAGGCGAGCATCAGCCTGCGAGATGATCGAACGAAGGCGGGTTTGAGGTTGGGTTGGGTCCAACATCATGACTGTTGCGCCAGCCTTGAGAACTGCCAATACTGCCACTGGAGCAAACATAGACTTCTCGAAGCACAAGGCAACACTCTCTCCAGGTTGAATTCCAAGTTGAATAAGGCGATAGGCGAGTTGAGTTGAACGGGCATTTAGCTGACTGTATGTGAAGCTACCGTCCCATGCGCGGATAGCCTCACTATTGGGCCGGGTGATTACTTGTTCATCGATAAGATCATTTATAGAACGCTCAGCCGTGGCGGGGAAAGTCTGATTCCACTCCCAAATTTGATCTCTATCCGTATCAGATAAAGGATTTAAGGAGGTGATGTGACTATCAGGGTTGTTGACGAGAAGATTGATGGCGTTGCTAAACATCTCAGCCACCTTCTCGGCCTGACTTGGATCTAGACAACCCAATTTGTAGGCAAGCTCAATTTGAATTGATTTGCGGCTATGCCCAACATAGACAATAATGTCATACTAAATAAGGAGTTAGTTATCGATTGGTTTATCCAGAAAACAAGAGGTCAGACTAACATCTGTCGGATCAGTTTCGTCGATCAGGCGACACACCAAATCGCTACTAGACGCCACTTCTGTCGCATCAAGATGTCGCAGGGTAAAGATTGTGTTAAACAGTCCCTTCCGTTCCAGACTCAGCAGTCTGTGAACTTCATAAAGAGCGAAAGCCTGATGCTGGAGGCTTTTAACATAGTTCTCCTGCATTTCCCTAAGGGTATCCAACACAGTCTTTTCGTTCACAAAGTCTACACGGCAAGTCAACAGGTTAATTAGAGGGCCAACAATCCCGTCGATGCCATCTATAGGCAAATCACGCCCCGATGTCAGGCTACCAAAGTATGTGGTCTTGAGCCCAGTATATCGGGATAGTACCATTCCCCATGCGGCTTGGATAACAGTAGCCATTGTGATCTCCAAGTCTTGGCAGAACGCAGAGATAGCGTCCATATCGAGGCCTGCCACTTGTGTTGTGGCGGTTTTGTCACTGACGCCTATCAATCCGTCGGCTGGTGGCTCTGCGAGGGCTGGAAACAAAGACGGTTCTGCATCATGCAAAAGCTCCATCCAGTGGTGTCGAGATTCTTCGTGTGACTGAGCGTCCACGAATGAGACGACATTCCTGTACGATGGACCATTCGCGCTGAGACCCTTTGAATATGCGACCTGCAAATCATGAATGATAAGATCCCGACTGTGTGCATCCGTGATGGTGTGATTCATATCCAGCTCTACAATTGTTCTTCCACTTTCCGAAATACCGATGGTCAATGAGTGTTCTAGAACTTGAGGTGTTTCGATTGACTGAAGGGAAGCTGCGCCCTTAACCTCCTCGATTGTAACATTATCGATGTTTGAGCCTAACTGGACCACAGACACAGCTATTTTCGGGTCTCTTAGAACGACATGGCCAGACGTCGAACTTCCAGGGAGATTTTCAACGACGACAGCACGAAGGATCGGGTGGCGTCGGACAACTGCTTTCCAAGCCTCGAGTAACTTTTCAACGTTGACCGAGTCGCCAGAAGCAAGGCTAACTTCAAAAAGAAGGCCTCCACGATATGAGCTTGAGTCCTTTGCCTGGCTAGCTATGAGCCCTTGCTGAATGGGCGAGCATGGGAACACATCTTCCACTTCGTTTAGGGCTATATTCAGAGCTGGCAGGACGCTATTTTGGAACTCTTGGATATCGCGATAAGATTGGAATGCTAGTGGGAAATCAGTCAACGTCCATTGGCGTGTGTTCATCCCATGAGGAGCCGCAGCTTCAGTCAGCTTAGCTTTGTACGCCTGGGCCCATGCGCTGATCTTCTGGGAATGTTTCATGGACGAGTCGTAGGTAATGGCAAATTGAGCGTGACCATTCTCCACTACCACAGCGATCTCGAAGATAGAAGACCTAGCGGGGTCGGTGCTACTCTCCTGGCATGTATCCGGCAAGGGGAGGTTGTGGAATACTGCATCGCTGCGCTCAAACTGTTGATAAACGCCCATATAATTGAATTCTACCTCAACAGGGAATTCGGAGACAAAGCTCCTGGCAGTTTCATTGTCGACAAAACGAGAAGCAAAGTATTCCAAGCCATTGTGAGTGAACCGACGGAAGCAATCCTTGGTTTCTCGGATAGACTGGAGCAGATCCTTGCTTCCATCAGACGATATCTGGGCAGGGAACATGGTAGTGAACCAGCCAACAGTCTCCGATATATCAATGCCATCATCCCAAGGCTCACGCCCGTGACCCTCGACATATACGGCCGGAGATTCGCGATCAGTAAAGACACTCGAGAAGGAGTTAATGAGCGTGGCAACCATAACTTCGATGGGACGACTTTGGAACACGTCGTTGCAGCTACCCAGAAGCTGCTCGGTGATGTCTTGGTCGAGCTCGAATTTCTCCGTTTTTCGTGCAATCCATGTGTTGGATGGTTGTATTCCCCAATAAGATAATTTGGCTGGTCTCAGTTCGAATGGAATAGCCTTGGTGGGATCAATAGACTGGATATGTTGGGTTTGTCCCGTGAGCCATCGTCGGAAAGAATACGAAAGGTTTTGAGGCAACGCCCGAGAAAGCAGCAGGCTTTCAATGTCTTGCAACACCACACGCCACGATACCAAATCGATGACTAGATGGTGAACAGATATGAACAAGGTACTGTCGCTTGGGAAGAATGCTGCCACCACGTTCAGTCCATTTTCAGGATCGAGTTGACTTCGGCAGTTGGAAATAACCTGGTCTACAGAACCATTGTCGGTTTCTTGAATCTCGTGAAGCACAAAAGATGCCTCCGCATCAGCGGAGATGCGTTGCTCCCAGTCTCCTAAACCAGTTCTTGCAAACCGTGCTCGTAGCATCGCATGACGTTGAATGACAGCGGTCAAAGCGGACAAAAGTGTTTCGTATGCAACCTCTATGTTGATGCGGAGGAGGAAGCATTGGTCAAACTTCCCAAGCTGCCCACCCTCAAGATTGATGTGTAGTTGCTGCATCGGTGACAGAGCGAAAGGCTGGTCTGACTGTTCCTCTGATTCACCTTCACCGCTGTCCTTTTCGACAAGTAGCATAGAGACAGCTTCGGAGGCCAGTCTAGAAATGGTCTTTTTCTGGAGAATGTCTCCGGTAGAGAGCTGCACTCCAAGCTGACGTGCTCGGGCTGAGATTTGCATCGCGGTGATGGAGTCGCCGCCAAGCCGCAGGAAGCTATCATCCATACCAATTGCAGAGAGATCGAGGACAAGGACATCAGCCCATAGCTGTTGAAGTATTGTTTCGACTTCATTCGATGGCTGGCGCTTCAAGCTAGAATCATCAGTGCTTAGTTCGCTCAGTTGCTTCGCTGAAAATGCCCCGGCCATCTCTCGTAGACGCTTACGATCAATCTTGTGAGATACTGTCATTGGAAGGTTTGAGAGAAGGAAGTAAACTGAGGGCACCATATAGGAAGGCAGTCGTTCAGCGAGGGTATCGCTCAACTGGTTAGACACCCTCAATACCTGCATCGACTTTCCAGCCTCCATCTTGATATTGCTATTCGAAAGGAAAATGGCAAGCAAGGGAGTAGTGTTGCTCCCAGATGGAATAATAACATCTGCCGCCAGGGCATCCGCATCTTTTCCTTCGGGAATGACATTTCCCACGTGATACTCAACTTCGCCCAACTCGACACGTTGGCCACGAAGCTTGATTTGGGTGTCTTTACGGCCGAGATAGACGAGACTTCCATCCTCATTATATCGAACCAGATCACCTGTCTTATAGAGAGTGCCTGTGCGGCCGAAATGTTCGGTCAGCCATTGTGGCGCTTGTATGAATGCAGCTGCGGTCTTCTCTGGGTCTTTGAAATAGCCGTGACCAACAAGAGGGCCCTCGAGCAACAGCTCACCAGCAGTTCCCACAGGTTGCAGTCTCTCGTGGTTGGTCGGGTCAACAATCCAGGTCACAGCACCGCACCCGCGGCCAATCCCAATGGCCTCAGCAGGGCTTGTAGCGTTCCAGTTGATCACACTGGTGCAGGCACATTCTGAAGGCCCGTAGCCGTTGCTGAATGTGACATGTGGCCACCATTTCTCAGCGTCAGACAAATTGAGAGCTTCGCCGCCGAACAAGATTGTCTTCAGAGATGGTGCGTCTTCAGGGTTGACGACTCTGCTGAGAGTGGGTGTCATTGACATTAGTGTCGGTTTCATGATAGACATTGCTCCCTTCAAGTCGTTCTTTCGCTGGTACTCAGACGGGACACAGAGACAACCACCAGTAGACAGTGTGACAATCGTATCGAAGACGAAGTCATCAAAGACTTGAGCGGCAAAATTAAAGACCCGAGAATCTTCGCGGAACCCGAACTTCTCAGCCTGATGATAAATCGCAGACGCAAATGCCCTATGAGGAATCATTGTGCCTTTAGGCACACCAGTACTGCCAGACGTGAAGATGATATACGCCGGTGATTCTGTGTCGACCTCCGGGAGCATTGCTGTTGACTCTGTTACGTCCAGGTCTGGCCCAAGTTCCAACACAGTCTCCGCATACTGTTCACATAGGGAGCGAGCTGATACTGATGACACAATGAGTCCAGACCCAGCTTGTTCCACAATCGTTCGCATTCTAGCAGGTGGATAGTCACGGTCAAGCATCAAAAACGTCCCGCCGGCTTTGAGAACACCCACTACGGCCACGGACGACCACATTGATTTCTCAAAACAAAGAGGCACAACCGTTCCTTGATTGACGCCGGCGCCAATGAGCCTGAAAGCTAAACCTGTTGAAAGCCTGTCCAGCTCCCCATACGTCAATTCTCCGTCCCATGCGCAGATTGCTGGGGCGCCGGGACGAGCGTTCATGTGGTTACCAATCAGGTCGTGAAGTAGAACAGAGTTTGCTTCAGGCACAGTCGCGTTCCACTTGGACAGTGTGTCAATATCGGTGGGCATAATGGTGGCAATTTCGTCGATTGTCTGAGTTTCATCACACTTGGAGAGCTGTTCCATGGAGTAACAGAATTGCTTGATAATCTGTGACATTTCCCACCGACCAATGATTCTGGAATCATAAGCAGTAGAGATTTTGACCTTGTCATGGCTGATGGAACAGGAGAAGGTGATGGCATATGTTCCAAAAGCCTGGTCTTCAGACAATAGCTCCCAGGAGCCGAGACGTCCTAGCTCATTGAATGATTCTTCATCTGATTGCTCAACAACCAGGAGAGTCTGGAAATCACAAGCCTCCCGGGCATTTTCGTTGATCTTCGAGATGTCTGAAAGCCCAGTCTGTTCAAATGGAATCATCTCAGTCGCCTCATCCTGGACTTGTTGCAAGTAACTGACTGCGGTTTGTTTGGGGTTGATCACCACGCGGACAGGGACTGTCGCAATAGTAGGAGCTGCAATACGCTCAATTCCGGTAACGGGTGCATTGCGTCCAGAAACCGTAGCACCAAAGACTGTGTCCGTGGCGCCGGTGTAAGAGTGCACAACAGTTGCCCACGCGGCTTGGATCAATGTTGCTAGAGTAGTGTTGGAGTTCGTAGATGGAACACGGTTCCAAACATAGTCCATGGTTGAGTCTGACATCGGCTGCTCAATTGAAGAAGGAGGCGGGAAGTGAGCAGCCTGGTGATCGGAGAATTTTGACGTCCAGTACTCCTTTGCTTTATCATGCCCTTGCTGAAGAATATGCTGAATGAATGGTCTGAAGTCTCCGTAGGGCGTTCCAGGTCGGCTCATATACTTATCCTGCATGACTTCGAGCATCATTGGCAGAGACTCTCCGTCATAAATTGCGTGATGTAACGTCCAGACGAACTGCCTCTTCCCAGTTGTAGCATCCTCGATGAGCCCATATCGTGCTAATGGCATCCCTAGTTCGATTAGCGTTGATAAGTCAGACTGAATATAGTCATCAAGATTTGTGGCTCTCTTCCACTGGAGAGCTTCCTTAACGACAACCTGTACCAAGCCGAATTGTCCATACTGGATGATTCGGGTTCGCAGGATAGGTATTTGCTGTGCCGTCTCCTCCCACGCCTCACGGAACCGAGAAAGATCGACATCTGGAGAAAAATCAAGGACAGCTTGCTGCAAATATTTGCCCTGAGTCGTGCTGGTAATGGCGAGAAGGCCTTTCTGTAGTGGAGTGCAAGGGTAGACATCCTCTATAGAGTCCACGCCGCCACATCTCTTTGCGATTTCGCTCTTGTGGTTGTCAAGGTCAAATTCAGTCCCCATCAATGAAAATGGCAAGATGATGTTTTCTTCCGATGAAGAGATATTGACAGCGAGTTGGGCCTGAGCTCCGAGTCTTGGGTGCTTGAAAATGTTCATGACAGAGAGCTCAAAATTGCATTCAGAGCGAGCTTGACTAACGAGTCTCATTGCCGTAATAGAGTCACCACCTAGCCGGAAGAAGTTGTCATCAAGCCCAATTGTATCGGCTTCGATTTTCAACACTCTTGCCCAAAGATTCCTCAACTCGATCTGAACTGGAGTCGACGGCATTTCCCTTCGGCCTTGTGATTTGCTTCTCAAATCAGCCAGTTTTTGTGTGGAAAGTGATGCGGCCATTTCACGAAGCCGCTTCCGATCAGTCTTTCCCGTTATGGTCATCGGTAACTGGGGGACCTTGAAGTACACAGATGGCACCATGTAGCTTGGAAGTTGACGTTCGAGAAGATCCTCTACCTCGCTGGTGATGGATAAAACAGTTATCTCACTATCGTCCTTCGTTTCCAGTATCGTTGCAGATGAGAGGAAAACCGCGAGAAACGGGCTGGAGTGGTCCGCTGGAAGAATGACTTCTGCGAGCACTTGCAGCTGTCGAGCATCAGGTACACACTGGCGAACGTGGTGTTCAACCTCCCCAAGCTCTACCCTCTGCCCGCGGATTTTGACTTGAGTGTCCTTACGACCAACGTAGTCAAGGGTTCCATCGTCGTTATACCGAACCAAATCGCCAGTCTTATATAGAATGCTGTTTCGGCCAGCTTGTTTGTCAGTACCACTTACCAGCCACTTCGGGCTATCAATGAACACCGCTGCTGTTAAGTCTGGTTGGTTCAAGTATCCAAGTCCCACAAGAGGGCCTTCGAGGAGCAGCTCGCCCACAGTTCCAATTGGCATGAGTCGATCTGAGTCTTCGGGATCAGTGACCCATGTCACGACTCCCACTCCCTTGCCAATTCTCGTATCCGATGCGGCACGAGAATGTTGGATGTGAAGTACAGACGTGGGCGTACATTCCGCAGGGCCATAGGTGTTGACAATTTGGATTCTGGTCGGGATCCTTGCAAGGTCGTCCGTTTGCACAGCCTCGCCGCCGAAATTAAGGGTGCGCAATTTGGTGAGTCTCTCAAAGTCTACAATGTTGGCTACAGACGGGGTGAGTTCGACCATATTCGCCTCCGTCTTAAAAAGAGAGTCCTCGAGGGCGTTTTTCCGCTCCTGCTCTGAAGGCACGCACAAGCAACCTCCGTTTGCAAGAGTATTGGTCACATTGCTGATTGCAACATCAAAGGCGTAAGATGCAAAGTCATAGAGGCGAGTCGAAAAGTCAAATCCAAGTACAGTAGCCTGGTAATGCGTCGCTGAAACCATGGCACGATGAGATACAACGGCACCCTTTGGGGTTCCGGTGCTTCCAGACGTAAATACGACATACATCGCTTGTTCTGGATTGACCACGGGCAATTCAACGGAACGGGATGTCTCTGGTATCAGTCCGGGTCCAACCTGGATTACTCTGTCTACCAAACGGGACATGAGTGATGTGCAAGACGAAGAGGCTAGGACGACATCAGCTTGAGTCTGTTTCAAAATAGAGCTCAAGCGAGTTTCAGGGTGAGAGGGATCGAGCATCAGAAAAGCGCATCCTGCTTTCAATACAGCCAGCATCGCTATGGTGGTCCACATGGACTTCTCAAAGCACAGCGGAACAGCTGTCTTGGTCTGGACCCCTATGTCGACCAAATGCTGAGCTAACTTTGTAGACAGACGATCCATCTCGCTGTATGTGAGCGTACCGTCCCAAGCGGAGATTGCTTGGGCATTAGGTCTCACTCTAATTTGGACAGCAACGACATCATGAAAGCAAGACTCTTTTGCTTGTGGTACAGTGGAGTTCCAGTTCCAAATCATCTCTTGATCGTCCTTTGCTATCGTCGTCATCTCCGAAACCGTTTGCTCTGATGATGCCTCAACAAGAAGATGCATGACATGGCAGAATTGACCAAGAGTCCTTTGCACATCTACGTGAGTGATAACATGAGGGTCAAAGACCGCTTTTATATGCATGCCATCAGCTCCAATAGAACAGTTCATTGTGAGAGCATAAGTGCTAAAAGACTGCTCCTTGGAGCAGATGCTCCACTCTCCAAACTCAGAAGATCCAAAGGAGTCCTCGTCCGGAGGCTGGACAATGAGGAGAGTTTGGAAGTTGCAGGCTGCCTTCGTACTACTGCTGATTCTAGAGATCTCATGCAGGCCTGCCTGTTCAAACGGAATCATCTCCGTAGCCTGATCTTGAATCGTCCTGAGATAATCCGAAACCAGCTGTTGAGGTTGTATTTGAACCCGAACTGGGACTGTTGCAAACGTGGGACCTGTGACCTCCTCAATGCCCAACACTGGTGCACTGCGACCTGCTGATGTAGCTCCAAACACGACATCCGAAGCACCGCCATGGATGTAGGAAACTATTGCCCAAGCAGCCCGAACAAGCGTCGCCAGAGTGATATCGGTATTGGCATAGGTGTGTGTCCAGGTACGCTCAATTGCCGCATCAGCGATGGTCCCAACTGACTGGGATGTTGGGGGTGGAAATGGAGTTGAGTTATACCCTTCAAGCTGTGAGCTCCAGAAGTTGACCATCTCTTCGGGCTTCTGCGATACAACAAAATGCATGAAATCTCTGAAGTTGACGGGAGGTTTCAATTGAACCGAGTTGTAGTTGTCGCTCACCAACTTCAGGATGGGTTGTAAGGAAACACCATCATAGACCGCGTGATGGAGGGTCAACACAAACATGGTTTCGCGTTGCTGACGAACTATTGCGTAGCGAGAAAGTGGCTGCCCAAGCTCTATGGGCGTTTCAAGATCTTGTTTGACGTATTCATCCAGGTTATCTGCGTGCGCCCAGTCAAGTCTGGTTTTGACGACTACCTGGACAAATCCGAGGTCCTTGTGTTGAATTATCCTGGTCCGCAGAATGGAAACCGAATTCACGGCATCCTCCCAAGCCTTTTTAAACCGGTTTATGTCAATAGTTGAAGCTATTTTCAAAACAGATTGTAAGACATAGTCGCCCTGTTGTTTGCTGGTGAGAGCAAGCAGGCCCTCTTGCAGCGAGGTGCAAGGATAAACATCTTCGATCTGAGACTCCTCAACGCCGCAGGCAAGGGCGATATCAGCTGAATGCTTGGGAAAGCCGAACCCACTTCCCATGAGAGAGAACGGCTGAATATCAGCACTGGTCACGGTTATGGGTGCATTTGCCTCGACCAACTTGGCCAGATTAGCCAGACGCGGTTGTTTGAATATGTCCATTGCAGACACAGTTAAATTCTCTTTGCGAGCTTCAGCAACAAGTCTCATAGCGATGATTGAATTTCCACCCAGTCGGAAGAAGCTGTCTTCCAGCCCGATAGTTGCAGCATCGATGCCAAGCAGTCGGGCCCAAAGACTCTGCAGTCTCCTCTCAACATCTGTAGAAGGTATGCGCTTGTCGCCTTCAGCTTGACTGCGTAAAGCGTTCAAGTCCTGAATTGATAGTGAAGCTATCATTTCTCGAATCTTCCGCCGATCGATCTTACCAGTTGCTGTCATAGGTAGCCCAGGCATCATGAAGTAGAACGAAGGAATCATGTAAGTTGGTAGTTGCTCCACCAATGCATCCTCGGCCTTACTGTCGATAGTACACACGTCCATCGTCTTGTTCTTCGTACCCTTGGAAGAGGTGGACATGAACACAGCCAACAGCGGATGTGCTCCTTCGCCACTTGGTCGGACGACTTCGACCACCATTTGCTGAGCGTGCTTCGCCTCGGGCACATGGCGACGGACTCGATGTTCCACTTCACCCAGCTCGACACGCTGACCGCGAATCTTCACTTGGTAATCTTTTCGTCCTGCCGATGTGATGGTCCCGTCCGGATTATAGAAGCCCAAGTCACCAGTCTTGTATACCACACCTCGTCGCCCAGGATGCTTGATGGTGCCCGATATCAACCACGAGGGGTCTCGGATATACGTTGATGCAGTCCTCTCAGAATCATTCAAGTATCCGTTACCAAGCATCGGGCCTTCCAAGACAATTTCACCAATAGTCCCAATAGGTGCGAGTTTGTCATGGTCTGTAGGGTCGACGATCCACGTCACTGCACCATATCCTCTCCCAAGACGCATTATCTGCTCCGGTGTTTCATATTCTGGGTTGATGAGAGAATGGGGCGTGCATTCTGAAGGACCGTACGCGTTGACCACATGAACGCAAGCTCCCCACTCCCTAGCAATATCCAGCGTCATCGCCTCTCCTCCAGCGACGAGTGTTTTCAGGGTAGGGAATTCTTTGGGATTAAGAAGCCGAGCAACGGAGGGCGTCAAAATGATGTTCGTTGTTTCCATAGCTCTAATCGAGTCTACTAGGTTGTTCTTGCGGTCATATTCTGAGGGGATGCAAACACATCCACCAGTCGCCAGCGTCATTCCGAAGTCGTGGACAAAGATGTCGAAGATAGTTGCTGCAAAATTGAAAACTCTTGATTTGGGATGATAACCAAGAGGCTTTGATTGGTGAAGCACGTTTGTACAGAAAGCTCGATGAGATACAAGAGCACCTTTGGGTGCTCCAGTACTTCCTGATGTGAAGATAACGTACATCGGGGATGATGGGTCGGTGACTGGTAACGTCACGTCCTTGTTGGGGCGAGGAGGGTGGCTTGGCCCTATTGGGATCGCCTTCGGTGCTATTTTCGATCCTATTTCGTAGCAAGATTCTGATGTCAACACTACTTGGGCGTCTGTTTGCTCGACGATCGAAAGCAGCCTGTTTTCTGGGTGTGTTGGGTCGAGCATGAGAAAGGCACCGCCAGCCTTGAGTACACCTAGAACGGCAACAATGCACCAGACACTCTTCTCAAAACATAGGGGTACAATACTTCCCGGTTGTAAGCCACAATGTTGTATGAGTGCGGTGGCCAGTGCTGTTGACATGCGATCCAATTGTGTATAAGTCAGGTCTCCATCCCACGCACAAACCGCTGGAGCATCTGGCTGTGCCTCTGCTTGATCTTCGATCATACTGTGAATACAACGATCCAGAGCAGGTGGAACTTTGTTGTTCCATGACCAGATTCGATCTCGATCCTCTGAACTCAACATCTCGATATCTCCAACTCGTGACTCCTCGTTCGAGTTAGCCAGCTGCTCCATCACCGAACACAACTTCTCCAGTAGTCCTTTGACAGTAGCTTCTGGCAGGACTTGACTGTTGTAGTCGGCAACAATCTTGGTTGAATGCTCGTCTACCATGTAGACTTCCATGTTGAGACTATAAGAAGAGTTGCCCATGCTCTCCTTTCCTCTAGTCCACTCTCCCATTTTCTCATCTTTGAATAAGAACTCGTCGCCAGCTTGCACAATGATGATTGTTCCGAACTGGCATGCGCTCTCGGTGTGAGAATTGATTTCGCTGATATTCGCCAGGCCAAAGTGCGAGTACTTTTCTCGCGGCGTGTTTTCCGTTTCAATTGCGCGCAAGTAATCGATGACGAGAGGGTTCTCGCCCATCTGCACCTGCACAGGCACCGTCGTGATGGTGGTGCCGGCAACAAACTTGACTTTCGGTAAGGGTATTCTCCTTCCGGACAATACTGCACCGAACACAGCTTCGTCTGCTCCCGTCAATGACCTGACCACTAGACCCCATGCTCCATAGACCAGTGCCGATCGTTTGACTTTCAGGCCTTTCAACGAAACGCCTGTTGATTCATACTCCATGCGCGTTAACGATAGAGGTTCGTTTGAAGACACCTGGGAGGCGGGGAATTGCACAGCATTTCCGCTTATAGCCTGCCTCCAGTACTCCTTTGCCTCACTCATGTCCTGTTGCTCCAGCCAGTCGATGTAGGCCTTGAACTGTAATGGGGGACCGCGGGCAGTGCCGTGATAAAGTTGCGAAACGTAGGCCGTCGCGACAACAGCGGACCAGCCGTCCAGTTGCGCGTGATGAACCGACCAAACGAAGATGGCGTTCTGGCCATCCTTGGGCATGATAATCGCATAGCGTGAAAGCGAGCCACCGAGTTCCAAATCTTTGGCCTGCCTCTGCTCCAGATATTGTTTGATGTCGTCTGCCTCATCCCATTCGGGCTCCTCCCGGAGGACAACCTGCAGTAGCCCATAGCTCTCATGATGCACGAATCTCGTCCTTAATGATTGAATGTCGCGATGTGCCTGGCTCCAACTCTGTCGAAACCGCTCCAAATCCACCTCGGGGCTCAGGTCGAAGCGAGCGTGGAGCATGTAATTACCTTGTTTGCGGAGGGCTAGTGACAATAGGCCAAGCTGCATCGGCACACAAGGGTAAATATCCTCAATGCTGTCTGCATCGAAGCCATATGCAGCTGCCATTTCATCTCGAAGGTTCATCCACCCACCGGGTGGCTTCTGGGCATCAAGGGCCCTGTTCCTAGACGTAGCCATCTCTTTAGAGTCGCTACTCATTATTACTTTGCCGTTATTGTGTTAATCTAGAGTTGACGATTGAAAATAATTAAAAAATACTACAGTATCACAATGGAATACAGCACGATTGAGTTGTATGCTAACCTAAGACGAGATTTCCTGGTCCTCGACCCTCCTGATTCAGGGCTCCCTCCCTGGTTTGGTCATCACTTCCTCTTATTGATCGATTACCTTGGCCGCTGACTACCACATGGCATCTTGAGGAGATCGGTATTTGGATCTGATTATTGCAGGGGTAGGGGTGTGGAATAGCTAAGCAAAAAAAGAAAGACAACACCCCTGTGCTTATGCTTACTATGCAGCTAGACCTCCTGATTATGCTTACCACCAGAGTACTGCTGCCCTTGAGGACCCAGAAAAAACAAAGAAGGCAAAAATTAGCAGTTTTGAGGGTTGTTGCAACTCTGGTCAGAGTTAGGTTGACACTGGGCGTTGGCAATCACCTCCATCGATCGCTGAACCCTGTTGCCGCTGAAGGATTCCAACCGATCGGTCCACCGAGACGCGTAAGGGGGCACCAGCCAACGGGGCACACGTCTCGTGGAGCTAGCTTTGTCCTCTGATCGTGGCTCGACGCTGGCTGCAACCTCCAAGTCATTCTCCGGGTCGTCAACGATGGACACCTGCCGCTTGGATTCCGACGATACCTTCGGGCCCGTCGTATCTCACTGTCGTGGCGGGTTCGACTTCACCTTGCTGTTCGAGCAGGCTATCCTCTCTATTCTTCCCTCGGTGCTCGTTCTTGCAGCATCCGTATATCGGCTCCTTGGTCTCCGTCGCCAATCCGTCAAGACAATCACCAAGTCGCGTGCTCCTTGGGTAACAGCAAAGCAGGTAAACTATACCAAGGGTCAGTCGAGCCAACCAAGCAGTCACTAATATATCTCGTAATAGACCGCCATCGGAGCCTATGCGATCACGCAGCTGGTTCTGGTGATCCTCTGGGCCATCCCAGGACACAATTCCACCAGAGTGTCAGTAGCAGCATCCGCTGTCTCCTTGGCCACAGCTATAGTACTCTCCAGACTGTCATACGTCGAGCATAACCGATCAGCAGAGCCTTCAGGGATCCTCAACTTCTACCTTACCTTCTCGATTCTCTTCGACGTCGCCCAAGCGAGGACGCTATGGCTCCGAGGCAACGGCACCGCCATATCCGCCGTCTTCACGGCTGGTATTGTGCTGAAAACAGTCATGTTGGGCGTTGAAATGGTCGGAAAGCGCGGCATTCTACAGGCGCCGTATCGAGACTGGTCACCGGAAGCGCTGGGCGGCATAATGAATCGAAGTGTCTTCTGGTGGATTAATTCGCTCTTGCATAGGGGCCATGGTTCCATCCTCAAGCAGAGTGATTTGTTTCCCTTAGACCCAGACCTCCAGTCGCTTCAACTCCGATCGAAATTGATACAGGCTTGGGAAAAGTCCGACAAGAAGAGCCCTCACTCTTTGTTATTCACAACCATAGTCTCTTTGCGGAAGCCTATGCTGGAAGTTGTCATGCCTCGAATCGCCCTCTCCGCTTTCAAGATCTGCCAGCCCCTGTTGGTTAACAGAGCAGTCTCTCTATTGTCCGAGCCTGCGAGCCAGAGAAAAACCGATATAGGTCGCGCCTTGATAGGTGCCACGGCGCTCGTCTACATTGGTATTGCGATAACTACGGCAATGTACAAGCATAAGACGTATCGCTATATCACCATGATGCGTGGCGCGCTGGTTTCTTTGGTCTATGACAGAACTCTGAGCCTCAATCTAGGTGCAGTGAGCGACGGGGCAGCCATCACTCTCATGAGTACAGATATTGAGCGAATCGCAGCTGGCTTTGAGTGGACAGACGCACTCTGGGCCGGGCCGATCGAGCTCGCCATTGCCACTTACATTCTTTACACTCAGATCGGATATTCTTGCTTTGCACCATTAATCCTAAGCATCAGTAAGTTTCTCTTTTCTCTTGGCGTCCCATTCACAGGTTTTCTAACAAGGTGCTATAGTTTTCCTCGCCATATGGGCCGCCCTTTCTGGAGCCTCTGCCAACTATCAAATGGCTTGGATGGAAGCTGTACAGAGCCGTGTCTCAAGTGCCGCCAATGTTATTGGTAACATGAAAGGTATCAAAGGCTCTGGCCTGTCGGATGTCTTTGCAGCTGACCTCCAGAGACTTCGTGTGGACGAGCTCAAGGCTTCTTCCAAGTTCCGGCAGATCCTGGCGCTCTTCTCCATCCTTGGAAACTTCTCAGGCGCTGCCACCCCCGTTCTCACACTTATTATCTACATGCTTGTCATGAGGGCGACGACCAGCACGGATCTGGACCCCGCAGTGGCATTCACGTCCATCTCACTGGTCTCTTTACTGGGCGCGCCTGTCCAACAATTTGCCATGGCCCTGCTTAACCTTGCTGCGGCAACTGGCTGCTTCCAAAGAATTCAACAATACATCATCTCAACCGACGAGCAGCGAGACTCATCCTCCGACATGTCATTCACATCGGATCTCAAGGATACCACACAGGTTCAACTTAAAGATTTAAAATCTCTCGCAGATGCGCCCCGTCATGGTCAACATACGGTGCATGTAGAAAGCGCGAGCTTCAGCTTCACCCCCGATGGGCCTACGGTTCTCAACGACATCTCATTGACTTTGTCACCCGGCTCATGGACAGTAATTACCGGACCTGTTGGCAGCGGCAAGAGTGCTTTACTCCTCGCTCTATTGGGTGAGATGCATAAGAGCAAAGGATCCGTGGACTTGCACCCAACTCGCATGGCTTTCTGCGCACAGGATGCATGGCTTCCCAACCAAACCATCCGCTCTCTTATTATTGGCACTTCTGAATTCGATGAAGATCTTTATTCGACCGTTTTGAGCGCCTGTGAATTGCACCAAGATCTCAAGATTCTCTCTAAAGGAGACGAATCGGTTGCTGGAAGCAAGGGTACGAGTTTGAGCGGAGGCCAGAAGCAGAGGATCGTTCTCGCCAGAGCTCTTTATGCGAGACCTAGCCTGCTCCTACTGGATGATGTACTCAGCGGTCTCGATCCAACCACCGAGCGCCGCATAGTCGATAGTGTGTTTGGCCCACAGGGAATTTGCCGAAAAAACAACACGACTGTTCTGTTGGCCACTCATACAGGTAAGATAACCATCCCGAGTCTCCACGAAGCCAGTTACTAACACTCGTGATTCCCTTTAGTCTCGGCTGCAAGGGAGGCCGATCAAGTCATCATGATGGGTACCGGAGGTGTGATTCTCAAACATGGCTCACCAGCCTCGCTAGATTTGATCAGCTCCGATAGTGACATCAAGGAGAGCCGTACACCAGTGGAAGACGTCAGTGATGCTGATATTCCAACGGATGCGACAGGCCCAAGCGCCCCAGAAATGGATGCAGAAGACCTGAGCAAAAAGGAGGCAGAGGATGATCTCACTCGCAAGACAGGAGATATACGCCTGTATCTCTACTACTTCAGAAGCGTCGGCTGGGTTGTCACCACTGTGTTGTTCGTGAGCTGCGCTCTCTTCAGCTGGAGCGCCCAATTCCCAACCCTCTGGCTGAAGTGGTGGTCCGATGCCAATGGAGAGAACACTACCATGTACATGACTGTGTACGGTATGTTCTGCGTCATCTGTCTGCTCGCCCTTACTCTGGGTGTCTGGACGCTGGCCATGGTAGGAATTCCCAAGTCGTCAAACAAACTCCATCATGTTGTGCTTCAGACAATGATGTCTGCTCCGTACTGGTTCTTCGTGTCAACGGACTCGGGTCAAACTCTCAACCGCTTCAGTCAAGATATGTCGCTCATCGATATGGCACTTCCAGTCGCTCTGGTCGAGTTCTCATTCGCGGTATTCCTCTGCATAATGTCAGCTGTGCTTATTGCTCTAGGCTCCAAATGGACCGCACTGATGTACCCACCCATGGCTATCATTCTGTACGTCTTGCAAAAGTTCTACCTCCGAACCTCTCGCCAGATGCGATACCTCGACCTTGAGGCAAAATCGCCGCTGTACTCCCACTTCATGGAAACTCTTCAAGGACTTTCGACAATCAGGGCCTTTGGGTGGCAAGAGCCCTCTCGGATGCATCATCACCAGATCCTCGACACCTCCCAGCAGCCGTTTTACCTCATGTACGCCATCCAGCGATGGCTGAACCTGGTCCTGGATATCGTTGTCGCTGTCGTCGCGACGTTCACCATGGCTTTAGCCACGCAACTGCCAGGGGCATCCGACTCCGGCCTCGGTGTGTCACTCAGTAACATTCTGTCCTTCAGCGGCACAATGGCTCTTCTCGTCAGTGTCTGGGCAGAGCTCGAAACTTCGCTCGGTGCTGTGTCTCGTGTGAGGGCCTTTGAGAAGACGACGCCGTCTGAACATCTTCCAGAAGAAGTCGTGGAGCCGCCCGCTGAATGGCCCACCAAAGGCGAGATTGTCTTCTCCAACTTCTCCGGCTCCTATAAGTATGCTACATTTTTTCATCCAAAGGTCTTCAATCACTAACGAAGGAGTTCCTGTAGATCCCCGTCAGAGAAAGTGTTAAAGGACATTGACTTAAAGATAGAAGCAGGCGAGAAGATTGCTATCTGCGGTCGCACTGGAAGGTTTGGCCCCTTGATCCCTAGACTAATGATACACAGCTGACCAGTCACATAAATAGCGGGAAGTCATCTTTTATTCTCTCCATCCTCCGACTTGTTGAGAAGGTCGAAGGAGATATCATGATTGATGGGCTTGCCCTCTCAGACATCCCCAGGGCACGAGTACGCAAGGGTGTCACGTCCATTCCGCAAGATCCGCTCATCTATCGAGGAACTGTCCGCTTCAACGCAGATCCCCATTCAGTTCACTCCGATGAAGACGTCATATCCGCTCTCAAGGAGGTGAATATCTGGAGCGTTCTCAACGAGCGGGGGGGTCTTGATGCGGACATGGACACCGTCGGGCTATCACGGGGCGAGCAACAGTTGTTCTGCCTCAGTCGAGCCATCTTGGCCAAGCCACGGGTCCTCATTCTCGATGAGGTTACGTCGAGCGTTGACCGCGCGCAGGAGGATGAAGTCGTCAAAATGCTGTACCGCAACTTTGAGGGCACAACTATCGTAATGGTGGTGCATCACTTGCGAATGGTGCGCAACTTTGACAAGATATTGGTGCTGAGCGAAGGTGAAATAGTAGAATGGGACCATCCAGACACGTTGATGATGGGTAACAGCATGTTCCGACGCCTACTGTTCACACAAGAGGCCGCAGATGAGAGCGCATAGTAACGTTCGGCGCAGACGTCGTAGGTGATTTATTTTCAGAACGGGAGGTTCATTGAGTTTCATATTAGATATAATACAGGCATTAGATTTAGCATTAGAACGATACAACTAGAGTATAAAAGACTCCAACACGGAAAGAAAATATAGCAAGCTGATAGCTTTGTGGATAAATAGGCTCCGAGCACGGTGTATTGATATCATGCTTCGCATCTTGCTTTTTGTATTTCATTAATGACCAAAGTCCAACCCAGTGCCTCCATGTGACCGTCAATCATGAGGCCTTTGAAGCGCGCAGAGTCAAGAAAGAAGAACCATAAGCACGATGTAGTTTTCGTCATACATGTGAGAAACATAACAGTCTAGCACGCATATCTCTTCTATCAATTGAGTGCTCAATGCCAGAACCTATCTATCAATTTCTAATCGTCCACAACATCACCCTCTCCTCGCTTCAAGCTTTACCCCAACTATGCAACAATTCTGTGCTGGACAGCCTTGTGAGCAATACCATTAGTTCCTTTGGTGCCATTCTCAGATGAGCCCGAGTAAGAACGGGCTGCAAGACGGGCTGCCACAAGAGCCTGCTCAGCGTGAGCGACAGCGCCTTGCAGAATGGCAGCCGTGGGGTCCTGAGACTGGCGCCCTGCCTGCTGCTCAGCACGGAGCTGGATGATGTGGCCATTGAGCCAAACGCCGTCGAGCTGGGCTTCCGTCATGTCGCGGGCGCCGGAAATGCGGCCTCGGCAGGTGGAAGCGCCGCAGAGGCAGTCAAAAGGCTGGGCCATGGACCATTCCGTTGAAGGGTAGAAGAACTAAGGCAAGTCAGTTGTATATCTATACATGAAGAGTGAAATGCTACTCACGCTCAGTTCATCGCCGGGTTTTAAGCCCTTGGGGCCGACTAAGACGTTGAAGTTGCCTACGTCAAAAAACTGTGGCAAGGGATCAACTCAACGGTTAGCAAATGGGTAAACATGTGAATTATCGAATTGAATATGGGAAAATCCCATTGGGCTTGATGGTATACTGACCAATGTTGGCTCGCAAGAGTGATTGATATAGAGCAGATCGCTGTTGAGGTTCAGATGGGTGTCACGGCCGGTCTGGACAGTAGCATAGGTAGGCTCGGAGGCAGTCGTGCAAGGAGGAAAGTCGAATTTGGCAAATACTGAAAAGGGCGGTAGCGTCACACGCGAAATGCTCTTGGTAGTGTACTCAGCAGGGTTCTCGACAACTTCTTGAATATCCGGATGGGACGGCCGGTGCCAGTGTGGGACAATAGGTGCCATGTTTAGATATGAAGTATGGGATAAGATGATAGGAAGCCCAGGGAGGAGATCAGTCGATGTCGATCAGGATTTAGTGAGGCCGATAAAGATACCAAGCCTTGGGGATATATAAACCTCAAGACGGAACGTGGCTAATACCAAACTTTCGTCAGAGAGTAGCAGGGAAGATGCGTTGTGTTAGTGGGATAATCCGGCATCGGCTTCCAACCGTTAGGTAGATTGAGCTCGAGACAAGTAGGAATCGGTGCGGACGATCATGTACCGTTTTCACATAGCTGGGTACTGGGCTAACTACTGGTCATCAAGACCGTAAGCAGTATCAACGATTGATTATGTGGGCTTCTTGCTTACAGGGCGTGTATAATGTCATGGCATGGTAGTGAAACGCAATGAAAATAAATTACTAGAGCACTGAAGAAGAATAATGAACACCGGCCGGGCCCATCGCCATAAACGAATGAGAGCCCATCCATTAGAGATCATTGAAACAGCAATCACTCAACTCCAGTCTTCCATTATCCGCGTCTCAGGCACATTTCAAGTTGTCAGTGGGCCTTGGTTCGCTGCACCCGTTCGACAGCCATGTCGCCTCCGGCTGAAGCATCGCGCATCTTGCCGTTGCAAACGAATAAGTTTGTGATCACAGCGTCAGTGATAGTTCTAGTTGGACTTCTTCTAAACTACCTATCGTCACCGAGGACTGACCCTCGTGAACCTCCCCTTGTGAAGCCCCGCATCCCAGTTATTGGACACTTGGTTGGATTGATCCGGTATCAAAATGAGTATTTCACCAGACTCGGGTATGTGAATCCATCGAGGCGCATGTTTATTAAATCAAAGTGAACAAGGCTAAAGAGTGAACAGCAAGAGAGCCAGCAAGGGAATCTGTTCAGTACCCCTCTTCGGCAGCATAACGTACGTCATGTGGGATTCAAATCTTATTCAATCAGCCTTTCGCAACAAAGATCTTTCCTTTGTCCCATTCATCGTCTATATACCCCGAGAAGTTGATCAAGGGGGAGTCCCGGAGAAAGATCAGGACACCAATCTCAGACTGGAGTTCGCCAAAGCCATGACGGAGGGCATGGCAAGAGACCGCATCAGCCAAATGAACGGGACCGCTCTCAAGTATATCACGAAGGAGCTGGGCGCTTTTGGGAGCGAGGAGTCTGTCATCGACAACGCATATGTCTGGGTCCGGAATCTGATGACCGTGGCCACAACCGAGGCGCTGTACGGATCTGCGAACCCGCTGAGGGAACAGCCCAGTCTCGTTTATGATCTTTGGTACGTATCTAGAGTTTAAATCCCTTTAACCAACGTTTGTTCACGAAATTAATCTATTTCTTGTCTTTAGGAGGTTTGATGAAGACCTACCTACGCTGCTTCTGGGCCTTTTCCCATCCTACACGGCACCAGAGGGGTTGGAAGCCAGGCACAGACTGGAGCATGCACTTGGAGAGTATTATCACAACAAGAAAGACGCCAACAGCGATGTTTCCGCCGTCACCCACCAAAGAGCCAATGTCATCCGAAAGTTTGTGACGACGGGGAGGACGATCGGCGTTCATGAGCTTGCGCTGCTTCATGTTTCAACATCAAACAGCATTCCAACACTATTTTGGTTCTTTGCGCACATTGTCACGAGACCAGCCTTGGTCGAGCGTGTCCGAGATGAATTGATGCGCATGGTTGGAGATAATGCCGGAGGTACGGTCACAATCAACCTCGATGTGCTCACAGAGGAATGTCCTCTTATTGTGAGCTGCTACAGAGAAGCTATCCGCATCAGCAATGGGGCCGTGAGCAACCGGGAGGTCCTGGCGGACACGACAATTCAAGATAGTGAGGGCCGCTCATATCTCCTCAAGGCGGGGAACAGCGTGCGAATCCCCCTTGATCACCTGCACAAGGATACAGAGGCCTGGGGCCATGACTTTGCCCAGTTCTCAAGCGACAGGTTTCTTCAGGCCGATGCTGCCAAGGCCAAGCTCAGACGGACTTCGTATGCGCCCTTTGGCGGAGGGAAGCACCTCTGCCCAGGTCGCAATTTTGCATTTGGCGAGAATCTGGGATTCATGGTATCATTCATTCTCTCGTTTGACGTGGCGCCGCAAGACGGAAACTGGGAGACGTTTGTGCCTCCGGTAATGGACAAATGCACGGCAGCTGATGCCGTTTGTAAGCCAGCACACAACGGGGCTGGCTTTGGAATTCGTATCAAGAGGCGTGAGGGCTGGGAGTCGACAACTTGGAAGTTCACGTCTGGCGGAGTTGATCTGCTTAACCTGTAGTTGAGTAGTAGACATTAAGCCAAGAACAGGGATTCGGTTCAGACGGCAGTTAGAGGATTCAATGCATTGGCATGAGGTTACATCGCCCACGTCTGGTGCTTACAGTTATGCATACCGTAGAATGTCACTGATCTGGCTCAAGACAAGCCCCAGCCATTCCATCGCAATTCCAGGTAGAATCGAGAATGGCTTCACGGAATACCCCTGATTATGCGCGGAGTTAGGAGATTCCTAGGACAGAAACATTTTATGGGGTTGATTTTCCGAATTCAGTTAGACTATACTGCCCTGGCCTGCGGTGACATACCACGTGCTGGACACGTGAAGACTGTTCCCGACTGCCGTTTGGGTGTCACTTGGTTGCCTCCCGCATAATGAGTTGAATCACCCTGGTTTTGTTATGTTTTTGCGTCAACATTGGACCAGGCTCCGGTATTCCCTTAAACTACAGTAAATCTCACTTACGAATAATTATTGAAATAATCACTGGTCAATTCATAAAGAAGGCTTCACACCAGGGTTGGGATTGAGGTTGAACGGGAACTGAAGCAGGGTATAGGGTAGGGAATCCTGCTGCTAGGCGAGATTGATAACTTTCGCGGGATTGATAAGTTCCCCCGAGCTCTAAGTACAACCCCTGTTGTTGACCAGGGTTTGAGAGCCTGGCTCGGTCTTTGACCAATGAGTGCTCGTCCCGGCTGTTCTATAATTACATATGCATCTACCGTATAAAGTCTTACCACTACCCCTGATTAGGTCTGGTGAAATTTTCCCATAAACAGGGGCAATACGGCGAGAAGGTGGAGAGTTGGAGGAGCCTGTCAGCGTGCAAAATCAGCAGTGACGACAAGGCCTGGCCTGCAATGACTCATTACGCATGACTTTTTTAATTAATTAGGAGGCAGGGCGGCAAAAGTACTCAGGCCTCTACATAGACGAGGTCGGACATGGGCTTTCACTCGCTCCGTTTTCTCCTTTGGTTCTCCCTCATGACAAGAGTAGCAAAATTACTGCGATCCCGGAACGGTACTAACCGATGCCGGAGCTAATCGGCCGGGGAAATATGACGGGAAGGGACGGTAATATGCCGTGTGCAAATGTCCGTCACCGTAGTTTACTGCCGGCGTTAAGCTTGAAAGCGGGTAGACACGGTAAGTACTAGCTTGCTTCATTACGCTCAATAGACTGTTCTAATTTCTAAGTATCTGATTTTTTATGCTGGGTCGGATGTTAGATCCCTCCGTTCATCGTGATTCATTACCTACATGCCCATACGGGCTCTACAATGCAAATTCGCTCCAAAACTAAGCAATAGGCGTACGCCTTCTTCAAATCCCAAATCAACAGCAGTGTGTAATGGCGTCCTGAAAGACGCGTCGTAAGAGTCAATCTGCTCCACCATATCCTTCTCTTGTACGCAATGTTCTAGTAAAATTTTGAGAATGGCCGCGTTTCGCTGGACGACAGCCCAGTAGAGGGCGGACTGGCGCCTGTTGTCCAAGTCGCCTGGCCGTGCCCCTCGCTCTAGAAGCAGCATGATAATGTTTGCGTGTCCGTGAATCACGGCATGCATCAAAGCTGTTCTCCCATCGCTGTCCCTTTCGTTGATATTCGTTGAGTGTTCCAGGAGAACGCACATGATCCCCTCGTGGCCTTTCTGTGCAGCCATATGCAGCGTGCTCATCCATCCGCTGGACTCGTCTCCAGATGACGCCACATCACTGAGTGACGGATCTATTGGAGGTGTGTTGTTCGTCTCGATTGGCATGGAATGGCTCACGCTGCTTAGAGAATCGGGGTACATTAAAGACAGGTCCTTGCTGGTGAGGTTTCCCATGAGAGGTAGGTCGGCGGATAAGTTTGACAGAACAGCCTCAAAACTGACTGGAAGAGCATCTGGAGGGGATGGCGCATGTAGATTTGACACTGGTGTGCACAAACCTAAACTCCCCATGGCGTTTGTAGTGTCAGCGGTGACAGCCGATGTTATCTGTTCCGAAGTTGAAGGCGTCGGTAAGTGGGTGTGAAGCTGGTTGTCGACCCCGGTTCGGCCGTTTTCCTCGTCGCGGGCGATCTGATCGGATGCCGCAGAGTCGTTTTTCTTCTTGTTGTGTTTTTCTGGGGCCGTTGGTTAGCTTCATCTGCCTGCAAGGGGCTTCTCCTCAGGCCAACTAACGACGAAACCTGCGTTGGGCGATGCGATTCTGCAGCCTGCGGCGCTCCACTCCTTCGTCGATAGTCATGGATAGCTCGTAAGAGTAACGTTGTGTGAAAGTCTGGGTCGTAATGGTAATGGTAATGGTAATCGTAAGAATAAGCAAGGCAGCCAGCCGGGTTCTATAATATTTCTATCAACCATGAGAAGCTTTAAAATATTAGCATCACCGTAAGCAATTAGTTATTTTACGGTGAATACATGTGCCGACCGGGCCCCTGAGCTCATATTTGTGCCGTAATCCGTCCAGTGCATGTGGCGTATTCGTTGACCTGTACTGGAAGCGTGCATGGGTGAAGCCTGGGGGGCGTCTAAGAAAAAGTTCCATAAGCCTGGATTACCGATTTGATGTCATCAAGTTCCCAGCTCTCTTCAAGGCCTTGCCCATATCCGTTGGCGATGCTTCATTTCAGTCTCTACAACTCATTTTCATAATTTTCTTCAACAACTGTGCGGTTCGCGACTCCAGAGTGTCTGAATCTGGCGTGGAGACACCCGGGAGCGAGCAATCACAGGCCGCACAAAACTACTTACCATGATGGAACCCGCCACGATGCCTATCGCCATTGTTGGCATGAGCTGCCGCTTCTCTGGCGGAGCTGATAGCCCGGAGAAGCTTTGGGAACTTCTTGCAGAGGGACGCAATACCTGGACAAAGGTCCCCGAATCCCGCTATAATCAGACCGCATTTTACCACCCTGAGGGCACGAGAGCAGGCGTCGTAGGTTCCATGAATTTCCTTGCCAGTTCTATGAAAATTTTCTGTTTCTCACTGGAATCTCTTTTTCTTTCTTTGTACATGCTGACGGCTGATGACACTCTTAGTCCAACGCTCAGGGCGCCCACTTCCTTGAGCGGGATGTCTCCCACTTTGACGCACCCTTTTTCAACTTCCCTACTGAGGTAGCAGATGTAAGTTGTGGCCTTTCCTGGCTAGTGGTAAATGCCAAAGGGACGCGTGAGAGCTAAAATATCACAGTCCATGGATCCACAGCTGCGGATGCAGCTCGAAGGCGTTTATGAGGCTTTGGAAAGCGGTAAGCCGAGTTTCAATTCCCGAAACTGACAAGGTTTCAAGGCATACTAACCAGCGCCCAGCCGGCATTCCTATGGAACAATTTGCGGGGAGTAAGGCGTCTGTTTTTGCAGGGGCGTCCTTCCGGGACTACCACGACACGCTGATGCGTGACCCTGACTTCCTCCCGCGGTACTTTCTCACCGGCAACGGTGCCGCCATGGGTGCCAACCGGATATCCCACTTCTACGATTTGCGTGGTCCCAGTATGACGGTGGATACGGGCTGCTCGACGACCCTGACGGCGCTGCATCTGGCGTGTCAGAGTCTTCGGGCAGGGGATTCCACAATCTCAGTCGTCACGGGCTCCAACATCATGCTCAACCCAGACATGTTTGAGACATTGGCGAGCGTCGGGTACGAGGCGAAGCACTCCGAAAAGCGGGACTTGCTGACTGACACTGATTGATACGTAGGTTCCTGGGCTCCACGGGCAAATCCTTCGCCTTTGACGACCGCGCACAGGGGTACGGCCGCGGAGACGGTGTTGCCACCGTAATCATCAAACCCCTGTCCGACGCCGTGAGAGACGGTGATCCCATTCGGGCGGTCATCAGGCAGACGGCGCTCAACCAGGACGGGCACACGCCGACCCTGACGTCGCCCAGCAAGGAGGCCCAGGAGGAGCTCGTCCGCTCGTGCTACCGAGCTGCCGGCCTCGACCCCGTCGACACGACGTACGTGGAGGCTCACGGCACTGGCACCCGGGTTGGCGATCCCATCGAGGCCGAGGCGCTCAGTCGCGCGCTGAACAGGGACAGGCCGGCCGACGAGCCCTTGCTGATCGGCTCGATCAAATCTAACATCGGCCATGCAGAAACTGCGAGTGGGCTGGCAAGCATCATCAAGGTGAGCCTGGCGCTCGAGAAGGGGTTCATACCGCCAAATGCGGATTTCCGCACATCGAATCCCGCGATCCCAGTCAAGGACTGGAAAATCAAGGTGAGGGAGCCACAAAAGAACCAGAGTATCATTGGCCGGTTCGCTAACTGCTTACTCGAGTAGATCCCAACCTCCTTGACGCCCTGGCCCGGCACTAGCCAGTACCGAAGAGCCTCAATAAACAACTTCGGCTATGGAGGATCTAATGCTCACGTAATCTTGGAGGCACACTCGTCGACCAGCCTTTCCGTCAAAGCTTATTCCAACGGTTGCAAGGGGACTGAAGTCAATGGCCACGCCAACGGCCACACCAACGGCTCCACCAACGGCCACCATGCCGAAGTGCCGCTGCCAAGAGTCTTTGTCCTCAGTGCCAAGGATGAGAGGGGCACTCGTAGAATGATGGAGGATCTTGCGGGGTACCTGGAGAAGAAGCAGGTGAAAGATGACGAGGAGCTTCTGAGGGATGTGGCGTTCACCTTGGGTCAACGGCGGTCCAGGTTTCCATGGACAGCCGTTATTCCAGCCACGAGCAAGTCCCAACTCATCCAGTCACTTCGAGATGGCCAGGCCACTGTTTCCAGATCATCAAAACAACCCAGGTTGGGATTTGTCTTTACGGGACAGGGGGCACAATGGCACGCTATGGGCAGGGAGCTGATCGAGGCGTATCCTGTGTTCAAAGATGCTCTGCTCGAGGCAGAAAGGCACATCCGCAGCTTTGGTGCGAGTTGGAATCTTCTCGGTATGTGGCATGGACTGGCCCCCACTCATATACTTCTTGGCACATACTAACACAGTCATATCAGAGGAGCTTATGCGGGACGAGAAGACCACAATGGTCAATGTTGTGACGCACAGCTTGACCATCTGTACAGCGCTTCAGCTTGCGCTTGTGCGGCTACTGCGCTCATGGAATATCAAGCCAGCAGCAGTTACCAGCCACTCGAGCGGAGAAGTTGCTTCAGCATACGCTGCGGGTGCCCTGGACTTCAGATCTGCTCTCGCTATCTGCTACTTACGAGGCACCATGGCGACTGATTTCAAGTCCCGTGCTGGTGGCATGCTCGCAGCTGGTCTGGGGCGTGCCGAAGCAGAAGAGTACATTGCCAAAGTCACATCGGGCACCATCGTTGTTGCATGTGTCAATAGTCCAAGTAGTGTGACGATATCCGGAGATGTAGAGGCACTCGAGGAGATCGAAGCCCTCCTCGTAGCTGACAAAGTGTTTGCGCGTCGCCTGACCGTCCAAGCGGCCTACCATTCGCCCCAGATGCAGCCTTTTGCCAAGGATTATCGTGCTGCCCTCGCCGAGGTTTTACACCAGGCAGGCGAGTTCGAGGATGTTCTTTACTCTTCTCCGGTCACGGGAGGCGTGGTACAAGATGCCTCTGAGATTGCCCGCCCCGAGCACTGGGTCAAGAACATGGTGCAGCCGGTCCTGTTCACCGATTCCCTGACCAATATGTGCCAGGTCAACGGGAGTCAAAACGTTGACACTATCATTGAAATCGGACCTCACAGTGCCTTGCGAGGTCCCATGCGCCAAACTTGGTCAGAGCCAGAATTCAAGGGCATGCAGTTTTCGTACACGTCGTGCTTGGTCCGCAAGCAGGACGCTGTTCAGTCAATCCAAGCTTTGATCTCTACATTGATCAACCAAGGCTACCCAGTTGACTTGGGGTCTGTCAACTTCCCCACGTCTCGTCATGGGCTGCGAGTCCTCACCGACCTCCCTTCATACCCTTGGAACCATGGCCAACGCTACTGGGTCGAACCTCGAGTCAACAAAGAGAGGAGACTTCGTGTCGAGGGTCCTCGGGGCGTCCTTGGTGTTCCTGCCGTGAGTTACGATCCATCCACCTCGACGTGGAGAAGTGTGATCCGCTCGTCGGAATTCTCTTGGATCCAAGATCACAAAATCCAATCAGATATGGTGTTCCCGGGAGCTGGGTACATTACCATGGCTATTGAAGCCATCATGCAGATCAGACGCTCCAGTGAGGCACCTGTCAAAGGTTACAAGCTGAAAAATGTCGAAATCTTGAAGGCTCTCGTGATTCCTGACACACTCGACGGAGTAGAGATATCATTGTCTCTTAGGGCCTTGGGCGACCGAGCACTATCTGCGAAACAATGGCGTGAATTTACTGTTTCCTCCACCTCTGACGAAGGTGCTGTGACAATTCACTGCACAGGCCTTGTAGCAATCGAAGAAGGGGCATCCAACAGTAGCTCCATTACGAATGGATCTAACAACTACGAGACAGACTCAGGTTTGTACCCCTGCGACCTGAAGCCGATGGAATTATACAAGTCTCTCCAAAGTGGTGGAATCAACCACGGCCCTTCTTTCCAGAAATTAGTTTCCGTTTCCTCAGGGGAGGGCTGTTCCCGAAGCATGTTTGAAACACCTAGTAGCTCCTCACACGAGTACAGCTACTTAGTACATCCCATCACTCTGGATGTGGTCATTCAGTCTGTTTACGGTTGTCTTATGGGACCTGATGGGCATATGACAAGCGGGATGGTTCCTCGGTCCATCGAGTCAATGTTCATTTCCTCCGAGATCAGCAGCATGCCTGGGCATATGTTCGAAACTACTTCGAAGCTGACTTGGTTGAATGCCCAAGGTTTTGAGTCCTCCATTGCAGTGATCGATAAAGATCAACCCTCCTCAAATCATCTTGAAATAAACGGCCTTTTCTGCCAGAACCTTGGAAGTGCCCTTCAAACAGGCGATTCCGAGACTGCAGAGCCATACTTTCGTGTCCAGTGGGCACCAGACTTAGACCTGACGCGCTCAGAAGATTTGAGAGCTCCCAGACAGGTCGCACAGAAGCCAACTGAGAACGCAGTTTTCGAAGACATTAGACATGCTTGTTATCATTTTGCGCACAACGCCCTGTCATCCTCTGAGAAATCGGAGTGTGACCAAGACTCCAAGCAGGGGCAATTTTATACGCGACTGGAGACGCTGGTTAAGTCGGCCAAAGCAAGTGGCTGGGCGCCTAGCACACTAGAGGAGCAGGAGGCTCTTACTAGACGGGTTAGGGAATCGAGCGTAGTTGGAGAAATCATCTGTCGCATTGGCTCACAGCTCGTACCGATCCTGCGTAATGAAGTGAACCCACTTGACTTGGTAGAGAAAGATGGGTTGCTATCCCAGTACAATGAGGAATGCCTCAGACTTCCAGATTCCTACGAGCAAGTCAAACACCTTTTGCACCTCTATTCCCACAAAAACCCTCGAGCAAGCGTCCTACAGGTCGGTGCTAAGGCAAATACATACACTGAAGTAGTGCTGGAGGCGCTGGGAGCTGGCTCGGATGATGGAGACGCGGCTCGTTTCGCGCGGTACACATTCGCTCCCTCTTCACCTGAGTTGTTACAATCGGTTAAGGAGAGATTCGAAGCCCATGAAGGTGTGATGGATTTCAAGGAACTTGATATTGACGAAGATCCTACAGCGCAATCCTTTGAGCAAGGCTCATATGATTTGATCATTGCATGCGAAGCACTCTTTAAGGCAAAATCAGTTTCAGAAACGCTTAGGAATCTGAGGAAACTACTCAAACCTGGAGGAAGAGTTTTGTTAGTTGAGCCTACGCAGGATGAGCTGGCCTTCACCTTCGCCTTCGGTCTTCTTCCGGGATGGTCTGGGCGATCCTACCGTCCTGACGAATGGAAATCCTTGCTTCGCGAGAGTGGATTTCATCTCGAGTTCGATGTCTGCGACGAAGATGGCAGAGATGTCTATTCTCTTTGCACAATGTTAGCCACCGCAAAGGAGAGTGACGAGGCCCTGATGGGGAGATATCCCCCGATCACAATTATCTACGATAGCCCTCCTCCCGAAAGCTGGAGTAAGACGATGAACCAAACACTCTTCAACCTTACGGGAGAGGTGCCGCAGATTTCTCACTACAGAGACGCTTTGATAGACGACAGACTATGCATCTTCGTCGCCGAGATGACACGACCATTTTTGTTGAATCCCACAGATGAAGAATTCAACCTTGTGAAGTCGCTCTTCAACCAGTCTCAAGGGATTCTTTGGATTTCTCGCGGAGGTGCTATGGACTGCGTGGACCCTAACTTCAGTCTAAGCGCCGGCCTATTCCGTACATTGAGAGCCGAGTCTACCAACAAGAGGTTTGTAACCTTAGATCTTGACTATAACAAGCCAGTGTGGGATGTGAGCACCACTCAAATCATATCAGAGGTGGCTCAAAACACATTCAATCTCGCACGATCCTCTGACTCAATCCCGGATTTTGAGTATGTAGAGCGTGACGGCATCATTTCTCTACCAAGACTTTTCCCCGCACCTTCCACCTACCAGACTGCCGCCGGTCTCGCTGGCAAGCAGTACGAAATGCAGACCTTCTTTCAAAATGATCGCGAGTTACGGTTGTGCGTAGGGACTACTGGACTTTTGGACACACTATCCTTCGCCATCCAGAATACTGAGACCCCTCTGTCTGACACCGACGTGGAAATTCGTCCCCAGGCATTTGGACTCAATTTTCGAGATATCATGGTAGCTTTAGGTCAGCTTCAAACAGATATCATGGGCTACGAATGCAGTGGTGTAGTAACACGCGTCGGCGCTGCTGTTCCGCCATCCGAACTCAAGGTCGGTGATAGAATCTGCGCTTTCACTCAGGGGTACTATTCAAACAGGGTGCGCGTGGACTGGACAAGAGTCCACAGAATTCCCGATAACATGTCATTTGAGGTGGCAGCTTCGGTACCCATGGCTTTTGCCACAGGATACTATGCTCTCTACACCCTGGCAAATCTGCAGAAGGGCGAACGGGTCCTGATTCATTCTGCAGCTGGAGGTGTCGGCCAGGCTGCCGTGATGATGGCTCAGCACATTGGCGCTGAGGTCTTTGTCTCGGTGGGCTCAAAGGAGAAGAGGGAATTCGTGCAAAAAACCTACGGCGTCCCTGCTGATCATATAGTGTCTAGCAGAGAACCCTCCTTTGCTCAAGATATTCTCGTTAAAACAGGAGGCCAAGGCGTTGATGTTGTTCTGAACTCATTGGGTGGCGAGCTCCTCCAGTCGAGTTTCAACTGTCTGTCTATGTTTGGCCGATTTGTTGAGATTGGCAAAAAGGACTTCGAGCAGAACCGACTTCTGGAGATGGAGACATTCAAGAAGAACGTCTCCTTCTCAAGTATTGATTTGGTCCTCCTTGGAAAGTACAGGGGACCTGTCTATCGTCAAATTCTGGCCAATGCCATGGAGATGCTTGAGTCCGGGATTCTTCGGCCCGTATCTCCAATTCAGACATACCCAATCTCGGATTTAGAAAAGGCGTTCCGCGTGATGCAGGCAGGTAAACATATGGGCAAAATTGTCATAGTGCCGAGCCAAGATGATCTAGTTAAGGTGAGTCACCCTTCTAACTGTACCAGGGTTATTAAACTAATTATTTTATAGGTCTTACCTCAGGAATGGTCTCATCGTCTGGATTCCAACAAGACATACCTCCTAGCTGGTGGCTTGGGAGGTATTGGGAAGTCAATTTGCAAATGGATGGTACAACGTGGTGCGAGAAACTTCATCTTACTCACACGAAGTCAGAGTACATGTGAAAAAGCTGCACCATTCCTTGATGAGCTTCGAGCATCTGGCTGCCTTGCTATTGCGAAAAGCTGTGATTTTAGTAGCAAACAAGATCTCGAAGCGGCCGTGCAAGCCTGTCAGGATTCTATGCCCCCTATAAACGGAGTCATTAACTGTGCAATGGCTCTTCGCGTAAGTTTCTCTCTATCTCTTCTTCTGAAACATGATTTAACACCTGCTAGGATTCAATCTTTGACTTGATGACTCCCGAGGGTTACGTCACTGCAATCAATCCAAAGGTTCAAGGATCTTGGAATTTACACGAAATATTTTCGTCTCCTCGGCTTGATTTCTTTATCATGCTATCTTCCCTTGTCGGTGTAGCAGGTAACGTGAGTCAGGGAAACTATTCTGCTGGCGGAAGCTTCCAGGATGCCCTTGCTCGGTATAGAAACGCGCGAGGACTACCTGCCGTGACCCTTGATCTGGGCATGGTCAGTTCTGTAGGATACGTATCAGAAAACGAGGCCATAGGCACACGTTTGGCCCGTTTTGGTTTCAAGCCCTTGGACGAGGGTGAAGTGCTGCGCCTCGTTGAATCTGCTATGATCCACCCTCATCGCCAGGTCGACGATTCTCACATCGTTACGGGTCTCATTACTGATCTGAGCACGGTAGACCCGTCCGATGCGTACTGGACCAAAGACCGTCGTTTCGCTGCTGTTACCCGGGCCGATGGGCTACAGGGAAATGGCAAGACCACTTCGGCAGACTTGAAGAGTCAGCTGTCAAATGCACCTTCAACTGATGAAGCTGTTGTCCTTCTCAGCACTTCGATTGCGGAGAAAATGTCCAAAATGTTCTTGATTCCGGCCGAGGACATCAGTTCGGATCAGTCGCTGACGCACTACGGGGTTGATTCTCTGGTGGCTGTTGAGTTGCGTAACTGGCTTGCGTCAAACACTGGAACGGATCCTTCCATTTTTGACATTATGCAGAGCACATCTATTAAAGGACTGGCTGTTCGTATCATGGAAAAGCTTAGTAGAGATTGAGGTACATAGTCCTTATTTTAGTTAGAATCTCAAGCACCTCGCGGTGATTAGACTTAGACTTCAATAACAATACTTTCCTAGAAAGACTCATCTTCGGAACCTTCCCATATATAGATAATGGTAAGCTTAGTTTTCCTGAACTCGGTTTATATGATTTCTCCTGCCACTATGGTGGTGGTCTGTAAAATTAAAGAACTCACATCTTAGCCCTATAGTCAAGTAGTGTCCAAGAGGGGAGAAATACATTCGATATCGACTTATTAGAAGTTGCAGAGCGGCTTTTCGTCCTTGAAACAGGAGTTATTGCACATATCATCGTTGTGGGCAACGAAGAGTTATAATGCTCCAGTCGTTTTCAACTCTCGTTAAGGTCCGCTCATACCTATGATAACCATAAACCAGATCGTTCCACTATTTATTTGCATTACAGAGTTTGATTCTTTACCAAGTTAGAGAATCCAGGTATGCTGCAGATAGCGTAAATCCAACTTTTGAACACTTAACTTTCTACCTAGTTCGCTAATTCTGCTGAAGATTATTTCCTATGCAGCGAGAGAAGGGCGCATGGTCCAGGATTGAGATAGGGTTACAGAGAGTCGTGTCTCCTTCATATAAACACCCCTAGTAGCCTCGAAGTCGATGTTAAGTTGGTCCCTATAACCTATAGGCTAGAGTAACGGAACATAGACAGATTGAGGCAGAATAGTCTTGCAATGACTTTTCAAGACCTTCAAATACGAGAAAAACTGGAGTGATACGACGATGACCTACGTAGATGTCTATGAAATCGCTTGGTAAATCTACAAGACTTCCAAGACTCCTGTGCTGGGTCATGTTTCTAATCTTCGATATTCCCTAGAGACATTATGGAGGCTAGCGAAAACTGGCTCCATAAAGATTTGGTTCAACTATCATGATCGACAAGTATTTAAAGAAGCTTGTGCATTTATTGGCTGCATGATTGGGAGGGTGTGGCAATGAAGGGCGTGGGAACACAAAAATTAAACGGAGAGAACTAAAGGAGAAAAGAAGAGCAAAACTATAAAGTTGACACTCGTGGAAGATTTTCAATGATTTTCTATACGGCTACAGTTAGATGTTCTTGATGACAGTCCCAGTATAATGTAAAAAGAAAGATTAGGTGATGCTAGACCCGATTTCTTAACATAATGAAACCACCGCTACATATTTTCCAGCATACAATGGGATCCAGGTTGAGTTGCATACACTCAAGTCACTCAAAGGCATAAGAAGTCTCTTGGATTTGTATAGAAACAGCGATAACGGACAAACAGACAACTTTTATCTATCATCAACAACTAAGTAAAGCAAACGGAAATTACATGTCGACGGTTTCCTCATCTTCAACTCCGAATAGGGCCCTCATAGGATCTTGGTAGTGCATAAATCCAATACCTGGCTCACAAACGCCATAACCCAAAAGGCGTTGAGCTTGAGGCTTCATCTGCCTCACTCTCTCGACCGGGATTTCGAGGAAGAAGTTCTCGGTTGGTCGTAGGGTAGGTTTACATAAAAAGGTTCCAAGGGTCTCCCGATAATCGTCCCTAGGGAAGAGAAGACAGTCAGCGTCAGAAGTAAATCGTACTAATCAATGAACAAACATAGACCTACTTTGTGATATTTGAGCCACCTGCATGATACAGAGTTCCTAGGAAGATAAGTGCACCCCCAACTTCGAGCTCGACTGGGACAGCTTCTTCATCTAGTGGACGACGTTCTGGTCCCCAAAGGTGTGAGCCTGGAATGGCAACAGTGGCACCATTCTCTTTCGTTGTCTTGGTCAAGGCTGTAACACATGAGATCATTGTAAGAGCCTCGCCTGGTTTAGGATGGTGATCACTGTTTACTATAAGTCAGTCTCAATTGCATGGACCGGCATGGATAGTCATACTTGTCGTCTCGGTGAAGAACCTGTTGTTTGCCCCCAGGGTTTACTCGAAACCCGAGAGCAGCTGATAGGATGGGCTTGCCGCCGATCGTTACCTGGTGGTCGCCTCTCCACATGGTGTGGTAGGAGGATACCATAATGTTGGCAACATCCGTGAATAGCTTGTTGCATACCAACTCAACGCATGCATCCGATTCAGCTAATAATCCCGTCGCACGCTGGGTGGTTGGTGGGAAAAGCCCATACTTGTCGGGAATATCTCTTTCAAAGAGCGGCTTTAGATCTTTTCGGATCTCACCAGCAAGCTCTTGGGAAATCAAGTTCTCCACAATAACACCCCCATCACGCTCGAGAATCTCGACGAGCTTCTCTGGGGTGATTTCTGGGTTTGTAGCGTCAACTCTGACAATCGTTGGCTTTTCTGCGGCTACAGTCATTGTGGAATAATGGGTGTTGAGCTTTAGTTTAGATTCACAAGATGGCAGAAAATACTGGGATCAATATCGATTTCAGACTTTATCATTAAACCAAAAATGCCACAATTGTATAGAGAATATACGAAATGATATTTATGAGAATTCTAGAATGTAGTGCATGTAGATTGTGGCGTGATAGTTTGTGGTGGCTTTCCTCAATTACTTGTGCCCTTTTCCAAGTTGCTTATGCTTATCAGGGCTCCATTCTGCTTATGCTCCTTACAATGCTTATGTGTTATCAGATGCTTACGCCCCGCATAAGCAATATCATGCTCAGTTCTTGCTAACGGTCAATTTCTCTTCAAATAATGTGGCTAAAAAAAGCACCGGCATGCTTGTCAACGCGACCAGAGGTTGGTGTTATCTACAACATATTCCTTGAAAGCGCCCATCAGGTTCAGCCTGAGGCATGTTCTCAACATGAAGACAATTGTAACTCGTGTGAAGCTTTTTCTGTTTATTTCAGCTGTTCGACTTCATGATATGTTTGAAAATTAGAGAGTCGTTACTGTGAATAGTAATGTATGTATTTCGACACCATTGAGAGAGTTTCCTCACAGAGTAGAAAATTTATGCTTGAAAGGACGGAACTTGCCTCTTTTAGACACTTTATTTCACACGTACTTTAAGATTTGTAAGTTTAGTATTTGGTAGTGTGTAATCATTCAAGTTCATCACATACTCTGAGTGGCACCCTAATTGAGACGACATAAGCAATTCAACTCATCATTGACTAAATCTAAATAGCATGCCGTGGTCTTCTCAAGCTGGACATTGTTTGCTAATAGCATTACCAATGTCCACAAGCTCGCTGTGACTACCATAACGTGGGAATTCCGGCTCGTAGTCAGCATCGATTGGCGCGTACATGAACCATGCGCTCAACGGCTGCGCTCTAACAAACTCCTCATCTGACGTCTGGGTTCTGTTCACAGCGACATTTCCTGCTAAAAGATATGCCATTGTATCAACCCCCCCGTGAGGATAGCCTATCATCTTCATCGGCACCTTGGCATATCCAATTGGGATATCGGATAGGTCCTCCTGGACATAAGTGATACCATCAAGAACGACCTCCCCATTCTTATTGCCACTCCCATTAGCGTCTGAGTTCGGATTATCCTCACCCAGTGCCCGCTCTGGCATCTTGAAAACCCGCAGACTACCACTTGGTTGCCATTTTAGAAATCCGGTAATCCATCCGGACACATACTTTGGATCACCACCGCCACATGAGAACTTCGACTTCGCGCGGACGATCTGGCCCCAGAATTCCTTTATTTCGTCACTATCTGGCTCATCCCAAGTTCTCACAAAGCGACTAAGGATAGGTCGTAGTTCTTGAGCGTATTCCTGAGGCTCCTCACCGAATTCTTTGAAATAGTCGAGTTTCTCCAACAGTTGTACCCAGTCTTCACGCTCTCCCAGCAGTGTAACTTTCGGTAAGCCACAGATAATGCTGCCCCCAAATTCAAAATAGTGCTGCATCATGCCCATCATAAGCACGGTGGCAGTCAAGTCATCATTTTCGTCACTGGTTGTAAAGCCCGGCATGATCCAGTCATAGAGCCACGGCGTTTTGACTCTCTCCTGGATCGCCTGAGAAACCGCACCAACGACGCGACGCCAGGAGATCTCATCGACCAGGATTTTTTCTTTGCCTTCGTGGTCAACAAATAGGTGGCGAATATCTTCAGCATGCTTTTTCATGTAGAAATTCACCTGCGTCAAGATTTCAAACCAGACTTCGTCGGGGCGCAGGACGAGATGCTGGTGTTTGGCCCACGCCTCAATGGCGCCTCGCACAAGACCGTCAGAAGAAGGGAAGATCTGGTCCTTAGGCTCGAACGACTCGTCCGGTGCCTCGAATTCAGTAAAGGTTGACATTAACACTTTAGGTCGGTACGGGAGCTTGTCGGACAGCTCCTCCGGGCAGCTCCGTTTTAGCAATTCGGTACTCGAGGTAACGGCCGTAGAGATATCAAGAGGTATAGGCTTTACATTCTCATCGACTGCCACAGTGATATCGGCGGCAGTAAAGGCAGACAGCCCAAAGATTGCAATCATGGAAATAGATACCATTTTCACGGGCGTCAAGGTCGCCTGGTATTGAAGCTCTGTCCACGAAGCCGATAGGCTATTGCAATCTGGCAGGGGGATCGAGAACACGAAAGGCGGGATCGCTGTAGCCTTTTGATAGGTAGTAAGATGGGAAAATGGACGAGTTTGGATGCTGCCAAGACCGTCTCAGACATAAGACATTCCGAGCACCTCAGCAAGTAATGCGGCAACAGGCCATTTGAATTCCAAAGGCATCGACCCCAAGATGTAACTTTAGTCATAGAATCTCCTTTTCTTCGTCCAATCTCCGCAACTTTCACGGATAAGATTCAAGGCGACCAATTTGCTTTGGGCTGTGTCGACCATCCAACTTCGTATTGTGAACGCTATGGAGAATTAGTTTTTAATGTCCGCCTATTAGAATCAAGCTCACGGTTGTGGCTGAGACCAAGACTAATTCTACTAATTCTACTCCAAACTATCAGCACGCCATGACGCCGAAAACGTACCACGTGAGACTTAATTGTAGAAAACTGTGACCCTGAACAACCAGTTGTCGCCACTCGTAAAGACACAAATGGAGCTGGCAGTTTCAAGGTTCGAAGTGAAATAAAGTTAAATCGACATCGTGCCTTTTTACTGGCGTGCCTGGACTAACCAATCCACGTAATCCGCGCCAAAGTCAAGTGACAACATATCATGGTTTTCCAGAACATGCATGTTGAGACATCTACCACCTGCTAATTTCATTTGAAGAAAGCCTTTACCTCTCTTCGTATCCGAAAGAACCGTTGAAGCACAGAAGAGAGCTGAGAAGTTGACAGCGGATGCATTGTTTACACGAAGTACGCATCAACCCAAGCCCCATTAGCCGGCAAGTTTTCTATCATGCAACTTTAACGTGCCGGCACTTTTACAGGGAATGGATATCACACTAAGGGTAATTTTTATCAGCATGAGTTCGCAAGACTGGCTTACCACTTGTACCATATTCGAAATCTGATGACAAATGAAAATATACAATGTGGCACTCAGGAACAGGGTTTTGCCTATGTCTACCCTCTGGCAGGATTTTGGGTCAATGTGAATGAGTGGCGATTTCAGACCTCTCGGCTAAAGAAACTTAAAATGTGCGCTGGGTGTCCCGACACACAACTGAGATAGGCTGATCAAAGCGGTAAATGCAAGTTGAGGGGGAGGTACTGTGAATCACACCAACTTTATCACCCACCTCACCGCTATTCAAATTATGCAGAAAGGGGACAGTTATAATTTTTCACTGGTTTCTTAATTTATCTCAATAAACATGTCTTTGATTGAGAACGGAGTTGCTGCTCTCCCCGCCTTCTTCCAGGCTGATGCCAGCATCTACAACTGACAGGCGGTCTATGCGGCCTACCCAGCATGACCGTTTTATCATAGTACTCATGTTGGTTGTTAAACATCTCCTCTTCTAGGGAAATGAAACCAAATATTCTAAACCGCAAATAACGCCGGAGTGATATACAGAGGTCGGGTCGTTCCAGACCGACTTTTTGTTGGGGACAATGAGATCTCTCTCTTTTTGTTTTGTTTTTATTTTTGCATGGAAGCTTCCGAGCATGTACTAATACTCATATCGATTAATTGAACCCGCCCATTTGGGTATGGAGCATAGATGTGTCCACTATTAGTGGACGACACTCAGACTCGCATTATCGAAAGACAAAGTGTGGAAATTCCCGGATTTCTTCTCGGAAGCCAGAACCTGAGTTGGCTAAGGGGTCGAGGAAGGGATCGCCGTTATTGTGATGATCTGGAGCGTGGTTGGAACTGGGGTAGGGCTCGGAGTTGGTGTCGGTGTGCCAGTGCTCGTAGGGGGTTTCAGGTCGGGGCATTCACACCCGTTTTTCTCAGCTAGGAAATATTAGCAGGCCAGCTTGCTGGAATGTGTATACATATGCTCTTACCGCATGATAATGTCTGCTCGTACACACAAGCCTCATTGGCCTGGCATGATGGGGAGCTCTCCACATTGTAGTAGACGCACTTCTCGAAGCTCCTCTGTAGCATGTCGCTGCCACAGGTACAGCTTGCTTCATCGTCGCGGATGCTGTTTTCCGACATGGGGGTCGCCGAAGCCAAGGCTACCAGAGCCGCAATCAAGACTGAACTGTTGAAACGCATTTTGGTATTGAAATCTGCAAGAAATACAACGTCACAAAAAATGAGAGAGTTTGGCCTCCAAGTGATGAAGAACGTGATCCTATGTTGGGCTTATATGTTAGCCTACGTAAAACGCTTTGCCACAGGAGAAGTTATGAAACTGAGTTGGTGTCAATGTCCCCGGTTTGTTTCATTTGCCTAATTGCCATGGATTGTTCATGTGGAGACCAACATGCTGATCCCGCCTGCAAGGGGCCTGTCAATGCCAATCTGCACGTCACAAGCTGCCCGGATGTTTCGGGTCTGATTTCTCTTGCTGTTTCAGGTTTAGTGACATTTTTACATTTGGAAGCTTGACGCGTTGTTGGGCGAGGTGGCACTCCGATCAATCCTGCGAAGAATTGGTTTCTAGGATCAGATGCAGGCATTCATTGACTCCCCATAAACAGGGAAATGATCCCATCTAAACTTGAACTGTCGAAGTGATGAGAGGGGGCTGGTTGGTACTTGGGATAAAGCTGCTGGCCGGCTAACTTTGGCTTGGAAATTTGTTCGAACTGCATCAATAATGTGTTTTATGCATAATGTAATCTTAGCTTTTCTTGCATGAATATTCTTACTTTAGGCGAGATGTTCATTGAGCTTGAGTGTTATGGTTTAGTGATGGCTTGTTGCAATAAAGGCGAAACTTGAGGGTAGTCGTTTTCCTTTATTGTTCTTTAAAAACGATGTACTTCCCGACCAAAAGCAACCTTTTATCATTTTCCCAGCTAAATTTTGATCAATCATAGTCTTCTGAATGACCGGAGGACAATACAGCCTCGTGTTCTTATCCACCGATCCTTTTAAATGTCATTGATTCAGAGCCTAATGTTAGTTCGACTTATGCCATGTTGGTGGCATCTACGTAGACACACTTGCAGGCATTGATGCCTGCTGCCCTATTCCCAAATTTTGAATTAGCTATGTGAATGTGGTGCTGAAATACGTCATCACGGCTGTTTAGGTTTGCCTATCTACTTTCATTTCTCGCCTTGTACACATACTGCTATTAACATGAAGGGGAAATTATTTAAAAGACTGGTTCATGCGGCCCGATTTTGGGATTCGTAACAAGATACTCAGCATGGTTGATATACGACTTACTTTATTATTAACCACCTAAATCGGCACTTCTTATTATTTTAGCTGTCCTTCACCGATTCCTCGTAGGATGGTGGATGTAGTGGTGGCTGAAACAAATAGTGCTGGAATTAGTGAGGCGCCTAGCCGAAAAGACCCTCCCCTACGGCCTCGTGATGACCTAGACCAGCTACGAACCATCCAATCCTGCCGTGCTACTACTGCGGCAAGTTGTGGAAAATTACTAACAGTACTCCTTTGAAAGATAAAGACGCCTCAGTTGGTCGACTGTTTTCGACAACGAATTCTAGAGTAGTTGGGCAACCATTACCATGGGGTGAATGTCAAATGTTGTTCCCTATCAAAATTCAACTTCCATCAAAATTCAGCTTCCCGTAGGATGGTGCGATACTATAATTAGATGGACTTTGCGTTCTCTTGGAGTTGCCCCGACTCTCTCACATGTCTTTGGTTCTCGTAGGCTGGAGGCGAAGTAAGCATATTCGAGTCGGTGATGGGCGTTATCATTCTCCACCTTATGACATTGCGCAATGCAAACGAGCCAAGACTAATTCAATGAATGGCATATATGAATGAAATTTGGTTGGCCACACCTCAAAGTGACAGATATTTACACATGTTTGAAGAAATCACAGGCTTGCAGCATTTTATGGAGCTTATCTTGTCATATCCCATAAGAACTTCAAATATAAGGTAACATCAAAACCTACTTCAGAGTAGGTGAGTTTATATAGACCTGTAAATTATCATCACACAAGCGAAAAAGAACTCCAATACATTTCAGGTTCGAGAGTGTGACATCATTAGCTCGCTGAGCAAGTCGGCGAGGAAACTTGCTCCTAGGACTACCCTCAGAAAATAAGGAGTAAGCCGCTAGAGATTATGACACAATCTAACTATGGAGGCTGCGAAATTCTGTAGTCCAGAGTGACATATATAATGTTGGGCGGCTTCTGATTGAGATACCACTATCCTAGTACTTCTTTGTTCAGTAAACAAATTCACCAGATCCATAATGAGATTTCTCACATACTTAGCTCCAGCGTGTAAACATATGCTCGATACAATCAAGAAAGATGTCCTAGTATTGCTGATAATACAAAGAGGGCCCAAGTGCGACAGCCTGAATATACAACGGGATATCTTCAAAACGCGTCTTCTGAGAAGCTCATGGCGATAAGTCCTCCTGAGCTGCAGCCGATGACAACCGTAGAGCCAAGCACAACTTGGAGTCCCCAAAAACAGGGTCTGAAATCTGGCGGCAGCCAAATCCAATTCCGTCCGTTCAAAGTGATCCAGCTGCCATCTGAATTCAACCCACAGCCAGAAATGGAATTTCGGCCATAGCCAGGTACAGATGCCAGAACCCGACCTAAATCCATGTTTGGCTTGCCAAAAGTGATAATCCCAGCATCAGTTTGGATTTTATTGGTGGCAAGAAATATAAGTTTGGCTCTTGGTGAACAAAGACCAATATCAATGATGTGACATAGCATACCTGTGCCAGTTTCCCAGAGCCGCACGCTCCCATCTTCTGATGCCGAGGCTACATATTTTGAGTCGAGTGAGAAAGCGAGGTGAGAGATAGCTTTAAACCCATGACCTTTGAGAATGTGTTGTACTTTACCTGAGCCAGTAGCCCAAAGCATAACAGTCTTATCGCTCAATGGCCATGCTAGCAAGCTCCCATCGGGCGAGAAAACTGCTGATGTGTACATTTCGTAGCGACCTTCGGGGGTCCGCTCAATCACCGAGTAACTGGGTTTGGCGTCAGTTATCCACGATTTTGTGCTTGAGACGTTAAAATATAGCACCGTTTCTGTCTCTAATACTGCGGCTAGGAGCTTCGAGTCAGGTGAGAATACGAGTGAATGTATGAAATTGAGCGAATGGCCCCTTTTGAAAGGTATGAGGTCACCTGTCTCGGTGACCCAGAGCAGAAGATTGTCAAATTTGGTTCTCAAGGCCACAAGCTTCGAGTCGGGTGAGAGCATAAACTTCCAAATAGCAGCGTTGAACCTGTCACAATTTTCGGACGTGTGTCTAAGGGCACCTGTGTCAACAGCCCAAAGCCGGACAGTTCCATCCTCTGAGCTTGAGGCCACAGTCTTCCCGTCAGCTGAGAATTCAACTTCCACCACAGGCCCGCTGTGGCCTTCAAGTGTACACTGTAACGTTCCTGAGTAAATATCCCAGAGCTGGACAGTGTGGCCGTTGGATGCTGAAGCCACAGTTCTCTTATCGGGGGAGAGAGAGAGCGAACGGATGGAGCTACTGTAGTGTGTCTCTACCAGTGCATCTAGTTTAACATCCCACAGCCGCAGAGTTTCATCTACTGAGCCTGAAGCCAAAACATTCCCATCAGGGGAGAATGCAACCGAGAGAACCTCGTTGCTGTGACCCTCGAATAGCTGCTGCATGACGCCTGTGTCAGCGGCCCTGAGTTGGATCTTTCCGCCAGATGACGCCGACGCTATGAGCTTCGAGTCTGGAGAAAATGCGACCGAATTGAGCCTACCGTTGTAATTAACCGTGTGTAGTAGTGCTCCCGTTTCGAGATCCCAAATTCGGACAGTGGCATCTCTCATACCACTTTCCGATGCACACGCTAAGAGCTTCGAATTGGGCGAGAACGAAACCCCATGGGCAGTAGAACGGACACCAGAGTTGGCGCTGGTAAAACCTGTAATTGCTTGTAGTACCATACCTGTGTCGGTGTCCCAAACCCAGATCTTGTCTTTATACGAGCCTGCGGCCACGAGACTCGCATCAGATGAGAACGCGACTGACATTACTACGCCACTATGACCCTCCAGAGTCCGCTGCAGCGCGCCTGTGCCGGTCTCCCAGATTCGGACCAGCCTATTCCCTAATACTGTTACTAACAGCTTCATATCGATTGAGAAAGCAGCTGAATTGACACCGTCCAGCTTGACCGGGATCTCTCGTTTCTGGAGTAGCGCGCCTGTGCTAATATCCCACAGCCGAATGGTCCCATGGTATGATATTGAACCCAAGATCTCCCCATCGGGGAAGAATGCAAATGATTTTATCTCTGCGCCTTCGCCATCCAGCGTCTGCAGCAGAGCACCCGAGTCGGCGGCCCAGACTTTGATGGTCTTATCCCGCGAGCATGACTCTACGAACTTCGAGTTGGGTGAGAAGACAACCTGCTCTACACCGCTTCTGTGGCCTTCAAGCGTCTGCATCTTTGAGCTCCAATTGGGAGGCACTTTTGGTTTCAGACATATCCACCGTGGTATTTGATTTTCAAAAGACAATCGGATTATGCTATTTTGAGGTGCAAATATAAGTGCCGATGAGTATACTTGGAGGGGAGCCTCATGGATAACTGGACTGAAAGCAAGGATAAATCGAATAGCGTCGTCCAAAAACCGCGCGATTTGTGTATTAGCCTTAGCCTACGAGGAGTTAGTACATGTAGATAAGTTTCTCTTGTCAATTGTACTTACCGGCATCAAATTCCGCACAAGTCTTATCGTATTCACGCTCTCAGTTAGCCTCCTGATTAGACTCAAAGCCTCTAGCCAGTGGAGGAAGTGCTCAGAGAGGAACGTATGCACTTCACCACCGTCCAATATATCTATGCCGGATTCACGTAGATGGTATGCCCAGTGCTCACATGCGTATTGGACTTCAGCGGGCAACATTGTGCTGATCTTCCGTGAGTCGATAGACGAATGTTCCGTTCCCGGATGGTGAACCCCGCAAATGTCATTTCGAAGTGATTTTTTCAACGTACGAAAGCAATCAGTTGCTAATCGTTCATGTCTTTTTTTCTGGTCTATCCAAAATGGATTGTTTGCTGATCGCTGCGGATCTAGGAGAAAATCGCCAAATGACAGGTGCAACAGAGTAACAGGTTGCTTTGATGTTGTCGGAACGTTGAGCACGGAATGTAAAAGGTCTAGAAGGTCTGAAACATCCTCCAATGGCAGGTGGAGCAATCGCGCCAATGCAGATGGCGACAGAGGATTCGCAAGAACGACGATAGAACCAACGACTTGTCGGAATTGCGCCAAAGTCTCCTGCGAATCTTGTTCAGAAAGACCTGCAAGTAGCTGCTCGAGGACTACTAAATACATAGAATCGAGCTCAGACCCTTTAGTTCGAGTCCTGTTTCTCAAAATATTTTCAAGCTTTTTCCGAGGGTTGCCGCCTACTCGATCTGCGATGAAGAGACAAACCGTCGCCGCGGAGATGAAAAGTGGAACTGTCATCTTGACCAAATCCCGATTATCTTGTTCTGTAGGCCAGGTAGTTGGCAGCTGTCGTTCCTCTTCTTCGACGGATTCATTGTATTCGTACCTTATCTGTTCTAGCTCATGCTCAAGGAATAGAGATATGTCATGTTCGATCACCGAGTCAGCTATGTCATGAAGGACCACTTTATCATATGCGCCTTTAGTAGCTCCAAAGCCAAGTCGAATGGGTAGCTCGGGCCTGCTGGTGATAAAAACCTTCAATCCAGGAGCCTTTCGCTTAATATCAGAGAAAAGCTTGATGATGAGCTTAATGTCTTTCTCAACTTCACATTCGTCGAGGGCGTCCACAATGAGTAGGCATGACGGAGCTTGTGGCATCGCACTCCTGCTAGGTATGAAAGGTTGCAAAATGAGCTTTTCGAATTGCGATGACATTGATCTTTCCGCTATGGCAGGATCTGCGCTGATGGCACTGTAGATATGCTGCGCAGTTGCTGGAATGTACCGGGCCAGCTGAGCCGCTATGGTGGTGAAAAACTTCGAAACACATGCTCGATCAGCTTCACCATTCTTGAAGAAAAAGCTGGCAGCAAGACGACCTCGTCTATCATATGACGATGCTAGTGTACGCGAAATAGTTGACTTTCCGGTACCCGCCATGCCATTAAGCCAGAACAAAGCCTTGGATTGCCGATCATCAGCCCAGTTAGATATTTTAGAGAGTAGTTCAACTCGAGTACCTTCCAAGCATGTAGAATTATGTTCTTCAGCGCGAGAATCAAAAGCGGCCCCGGGAGAAATAGGCAATTCCCTGGCTACCTTCCTTTGGTAATCATAGCGGTCAATTTCCCATAGAAGCCGGCCAAATGCTTTTTTTCTCCCCTCGCCGTAAAGCAACGGGATCTGAACGTCAAAGATGCCGAATAGAGAGTAAGCCATGTCTTCTGCCTTTTTGGTTACACGGCCTTCTATCCACAACATCCGCTCTCCCACACTAAATGTCGATAGATGACTATTTCGAAGGGCTGTGACGGGAATCTTGGTGATTTCGTTCAGCAGTGGCTCTAGTGATGCTTTATCACCCAGCTTTTCCCCATCAGATGAGAAGAATTCTACTGTTGACGGAGCAAGTAGCTCTTGAAGTGTCCAGCCTCGACGGAACCATTTGCTCGCTCGTAGATCCAACATCCAGTCTGCTTGGCATAAGTCATCGACTATGACCTTCTTTGGAACATCTGCCAAGTACACGTAGCATTTAGCGGCATTCTGGTACCAACGGAACATGGAGTTGAGAGATTCTTGAAGCTCGGTGAGGTTTGGTTTGTCGATACAGCAGGTGTCTACCCAGAAATAGTGAAGGCCGTCAGAGGCGGCTTGCTTGCCACAAAACTCAATCTTTCGATATCCCTCTTTGCCTTTAGCTTTTTCCTGCATCACATCTTGCAACGTAACCTCCTGTTCATCTTCTCCCCATGTATGCGAAAGAATTGCGTATGGGGGAATGTTGTCCACAAAGTCTTTAGTCAGGCTCAGAACACCATCTTGGAGTTGGAGCAGCCGCATGGTCGCAGAACGCAGAACCGAATCTGCAATAGAGTGCCGGATCGCCAAAGCTGGGACCCCAGAGTTAGAGGTTGCACGAAGAACTCGTTGTTTCTTTTTTTTTTACTTGTCAGAGTCGATGGCTTAGGCACGGAAGGAGATGATTGAATTTGCCAGGCTGGCACAGTTGCGTGCATGCTGAGGTCACGGGATGTGTGTGTATCAACCCAATGGCGGGGTATATCTGCCTGACCAATTGGATATGCAGGTGTTGCTTTTTACCGGCCCCCGAAACCGCCTTGCGTCTGCCTTGGGGCCATCGTAACGAAGGGAGCGTAGATTTTCTTGAGTCCAATAGGCATCCGACACGTATATCAACCAAATCAACCAACCGTTTCTCATGATGAAGAGTGCCTCATCGAATGCAGTCATCAGTTCGCTTAATATCTTTGCAAAATTCTACGAACGAATTGATAAGCTTCTTACATTGTAAATGCTGTTGAGAAATATTCTTTTCATTGATGTCCATATAGTAATCTGGACAGACATTAAGGCCCAATATTCTCCTCGCGTATTTGAGCTCAAATGTTTGAGAATAATGCCGAAGGGCAAATAAAACCAAATCATACTGGAGTAGTAGGGTAGTAGGCTAAATTCAGACTGCGATGTAACATTTTCGGAACTCTGGTCTCTAACGATAACAGACCATTCCCGGAGTTTCTGCGGTTGATCAAAACAATATCATATTACATTTTCATTATTGTCAATCTGGTAGATAAAGAAAAGTTCCTTTTAGAAATTGGCTGCACTGTGATATTGAGGTTTTCTCAACGTGGTTGCATCTAGCCTTGCGGATAACATCGGTAGAATAACGTAGAGGGTCCGCATGTACTTCCACCCTACCTACGTATTCGAGTTACTTTAGCTGCCCCATAGAATTAGATAGGTCAGGCCGCCCGGCAGCGATTGTACGTCTTGATGGAAAAACACCCCTGGAATTCCTCTTCGTGCATCAGATAACTTGAAGGAAGGACATGTATGTACAGCAATGTCCCTTGCGCCGAGCCTTGAGGCTCTCAGGTGCATAACTTCTAGGTGATCCACGCCGACTGCTGGGCAAGCGCTATATCAGCGACGATGTATAGAAGCTTCTGACCGGAAGAGTTCAATAGTGCAATGCCGTGTAAGAATCCGCATTATTAACCAACCACGAAGGATCATGTGGTCGAATGTTTTGCCTGTTTGCAAGTAACACATCACCAGCCCAGCGATTTTTAGGTCGTTGTTGGCAGAGGAAATTTTTATATTGAGTACGCGAGGATACAACTCGTCGCGCCCTGAAAATCTCTCTAAAATCTCTCTAATATTATATACGATGCAACAACTTAGGGTAGATACAAGTTCTATGCGGCCCAGCTCGTTCCATTGTTTCTGATGATGCCATATTTTACCGTGATCCAGTAGTGTTACCCTAGCATTTCCCTGTGTCGAAATGGCACGCCCTTTGATCGTGTTGTTCAATTTGAATCGCTCGATGACCAAGGTTCCTTGGCAGCATCAGAGCACCGCTTGCGCACAGCAAAAACCGACGTGATATGACCTACAGCCCACCAGCCAAACAGAACCGGCAACGCCACTCGGAGCTGGCTGCCACACCCCGACCAGATGTGAATCATCAACGTGTATACTCCGCTAGAGGGGAGAGCATAGCCAATCTTGTACCATGCAGACATGATCTCGTATGGAAACACCGTGCTGGCGACGTTGGTGATGATCCAAGGGAAGACGAAGAAGGGCGAGAACTGCATCGGTATGTAGCAGGCGATCAGGGTCTCCATGACCTGCCAGTGGATATCCATCAGGAGCCAGTAGAGCATCCAGGATTTGCAAAAGACGGCCCCGTTGATATCCCAACTCTCTCGGTATGCATAGATGTAAGCAGACATGGACAGGCCGCTGATGAGGGTGTATATTTTGCCAGTACAGAATCGAAATACCCAGGCGTCACGTACTGATGCTGTGGAAAAGAAGTTCAGTTTCAAACTAATTCCATTCAAAGCTAAGATGAAAAAGAACTGGGCTAATGGGGGTATGACCATGTTGACGGTATTGTAGAAGGATCGGTTGGGCTGAGGAGTAGGCTGGATCAGATCCGCTGTCGTTCCGATGGGGTTGGGGTAGGTTTTAATCGTGGGGAGGAGAACGTTGGAAGTGTTGAGGCTCATGAGTGCACTCTTGGCACTGGAAGATTCGTAAAATGATGCGGCAGTCGCTTTGACAAGTGCGTTGATGCCCGGTAGAAGGATAGAGTCGGCAATATTGGGATGGCGGGCTTGGTTGTAAATATAAGTCGCAGCGGCGGCTGGGTCGTACTCGTCTATACTCATGGAGCCATTCATGATTCCGTAGAATCTATTGGATGAGCCGCTGTTGATAACAAGGGCAGCCCAGTAGTCGGCTTTGCAGACAGAGTTCCGAATCGAATCGAGGTCGGGGTAGTCTTGGCTTGAACCAATCTTAACAGTCGGGAGGTGATAGCGTCCGTCAAATTGAGAGGACGCGAGAGTTAATGCAGTTCCAATGTCGCCATCATCCAGGTTGATTGCCAAGATATCAAGATTGCCGTATCGAGATGCTTGATGGAAGGCAGTGCCGTATAGATAGCACATACCTGCGAGGAGGAGCAACTGGATATTCACCGCAGTCATGATGGATGCGATGAACAGGGCAGGCGTGAAGGGCCCACGACTCTTAGATGGTTCCGAAGTCATTGTTGGATAGTTCGGTAAGGCAATATTTTCTGAATCCAAGGAAGAGCCTCTGATATGGCTGTGAAGAGAAGAATGAAAGCAGAACTACAGCCGGGGAGAACAAGCTGTAGCAGGGCATGTCTCAATAAATACATATTTTTTCATGGCAGAAATGGCAAGGCTTCCTTTTAAATATATCTGTAAATACATGCATTTATTCATGAGTTGCCCCTGTCAGTTTAGGGGATTTGTGACATGAAATTGTATTCAAGATTCACGAATCAGGAATACCTGGCGGGGGGGGCTCCTCTTCTAGAAGACCCACAGCCGAAATCATTAGCTACTAGCCGTGCCCCCAACTTTTCTGGTCCCCAAGCACTCCAAATTCCTTTCCTACTTGAGCCAACTATCTACATGTAGGTAGTATATTTATCGACCCTTTACTCCATTTTCTTGGGCAATGAACGAGGCTGGTCCGGCCCCTATAAACGACTGAAGTAGCTCAATTGTCGTCGATTTACCCACAATTGGTGCATAATTTTGAGATCCAGGAAATATCTATTACATCCTTCGTCAAAACAGTGATAGCTGTATATTTACTGAGCACCAAACTACATCTTTCTAGATCCACATGCATAATTTAGCTTTCAATCACATATGGGATGTTCTAGAATCACCTAAACATGCGTTGTGGTGGTGGAACGCCAAGCTCATGTGTGAATCCATGAGTTCCAGAAGCTCCCATGGGCCATACCGAATGGCGGCATCTGCGCGACTGGCCGTCACCAAGCTTTTAACTGAGTAGCTATTCTTCAAAATTGCCATGCTAGGTTTGAGTTTACAATTGCTACACCGCTTCTCAGGTTCCTTCAGGCTCTGACTTGATTCGATTCATGACTTAGGTCTAATGTTCATTGGCCTTTATCCTCTCCTTCCCTGCAAACTCACTACGACAGGTGGTGTCTCGCTCAGCTGACCAGGAACATGTGAACACGTATGTACAGGAGGCCAAGGAACAGGCTGTTGTACCTCTTTATTAAAAACTCGATGCAAATGACTGACCTAAAAATTCCTGCTACATGGATTCTGTCACAAAATGAAACACACACGTGAACAAGATTTACTACCACCTCGAATTTCTTTGATAAGGGGCTTGACGTAAATATTGCATCTTTTCTTCTGGGCGGATTCAACTACTCTCCTTAAAGTTCGTGCTCTCTAGGCTGCTCTTGAGGTCGCTCATCCCGTGGCCCGGCCGACTTAGTGACCAAGTCAACTATATACGCGGCCTGCACATAAAAGGTCCAAGAAGATGCTAGAGGAACAATTACTTAGACTTGTAGATTAGATGCGCATGTACAGCGGGGCAGGACCTTGGTCGGCAAAGCTTTCAAGAAGTTTGTCGATTGAGTGAACTACCCATGAAAGCCACAAGGTTTTAATGGCAAAAGAAATCATTGGGAGTCTATAACCTCCGTCTCTACGTCTAAATCATCTGCTTCATCAGGTCCATCGTCTTCTGATTCTTCCTCAACAACGAGGAACGGAAACTGGCCGACAAATGGTACGAGAGAGTTTGGGATTTCTGAATCATCCGAATCACACTCCATTTGTCTACCGGCCTCCTCTTCGTCGCTAGCTTCAGTAACAACACGAAGATAGCCTTGAACAAGTTAATGACCAAAGCTCCCAAAAAAACGTGGGGAAAAAGGACAAACCGTCTTCAGCCAACTCAACCTCAGGATTGCGGTGCAGGAAGTTGGCAACAAAGTCCTTTTCCAGGGGCGCGGTATCTCCATTCAAGCTCAGATAACAATAGACGAAATCCACGAGATCCATTGGTGTCATGGGAGATTTGGCAGTCTCCTCCTCTTTCAAAATGTGGCCAACGAAGCGGCTTTCGTCCTGTCGCGGCACGCGGCTTCGATTCTTGCGAGGAATCTTGTGCCTAATAGTTGAATCTCGAAGGCCGGCTCGTATTTCGGCCACGGGCACCTTCCAGCGGCGTGATGCGAAGTCTTCCGACACCCCAAACTGCACATTGGTGACTGCGGTTTGAATCCTTTCCGCGCGGGTAAGAACCATGATCGAGAATTCAGGTGGAATTTAATGATATACGGGTGTGGCCTTGGGATGTACTCGAATGCGCACCGGGACTCACGGTGAGGATGTTGCCATTGAATGTTGGATGTTCTGACGCGTCGCGTCCCAGCGCACGGCCCATTGTTGTTTTGGGATGTGAGTAGCGGACAATCAAGGTCTTTTGCGTCATTGACTTAACCACTGTATTCGACACTTATCTAAACGATGATGTTATTACTAAATGTTTGAATAAATATTCAAGTCATTTTATAGAATCTAGAACTATTGGGTTGTTTGATCATTATGCCGAGATGTGCAATTGTTTCTTTTCGTCTTACCCAACCATTTATAGTACCTAGTATCAGTCCGTTGCGGGATTGGCTTGATGGACGATTCAAGAGACAGCGAGGAATAAGGCGAATTAGCTTAATTAGAGAGAAAGCACATTTTAAATTTTTGAATTAACAATTAAGGATCTGTACTCTTAGCTACGGTCTGTAGCTGGATATATCGCGTGGCTATAGGGTAGGTAATTCCGTAACCTGCACTACATCACCCATTCAACTACATTGCTACAGGTTGAACCATTAAGGTAAACTCCAAGTATGCTAGATGATTTTGGCGTATTTGTACCGTTATCCTACAAATAGTATAATTATACTTCCGATCCCGGAAGCGCGAGAGCCAGGCGACCATGCCATAACGCCTGAACTCCGCACCTAACACGACTGATCTCTTTACATTGCTCCGCTGGAGGGATGTAGAGCCCGTTACTTTTTTCCTATTCAAGGTCCCCATGCGATTGTACTTAGCGTCGTAAATGATGAGTGTTTGGTGTCGTCGCCTCTTAGCAATAATGATCGGTTTGGGTGTGGCAGTGATCTTTGTGCCCGTGCCATTTGCGGAAGCGAAGAGCTTGAAGACATATCCCTCCCACATGTCAATCAACTATACTGGCTTTGGGCTGATATTCTCATTCCTTCCCGAGGGCAAGTGTTTAACTGGGCAGGTAGCTATTTAATCGTGAAAGCGAAGAACGTCGAAAAGTTTGAGATTGATCAGAGGACTGCGAAGATCCCCATTCTCGAGTGCGTCAACGCTGTTGCACGAGCTCAGCATGAGAGGCTTGGAGGTTCGAGATTAAGATAATATAACAATGTGATTGGTTTCGAGATTCCAATTGGAACATGGTCCGTGTTAGGATGGCATATCAAGGTACCGTAGCACGTGTAGCTCGGATATTCATGCCGTAGTATTCCACGAGATCTCATGGAAGCCGTAGTGGAGGCACGGTAAATCCTCCGTGATCGGGGTTCTGTTCGGTATTTAGATCCGTTTCCGTTGCTAGACTCACCACTGCTTGCTGAATCGGCATCCTATGTAAGATTTATGGACCGAAGCCGCTGACCAGCATCTGTTTCGCAGGCTTGGTGGTGGGTAAATCGGTTAGCCCTCGTCAGGTGGGCCACATATTCGACTTCCAAATCGGCCCTTCCGACTCTCAGTTTCGGTAGTCTTCCTCTATAAAACAGGCGGATGTCTCACCTTCCTAGATCTATGTACATCAACACATAGCATCCACACCTTAATTGTAATTCCGAGAACTTCGATATTACTGCTCAAGATGCGAATTATTGACGTTACTGCATACACTTATGATGCCAATTTCCAATTTGGCTCGTACACCATGTCCGGCGGCAGAAAGGCCAATGGATATCCATCGATCGTCGTCCGCCTTCTTACGGATGATGGTATCGAAGGATGGTCTGAGAGCGCACCGCTAGGCAGTGACTATCTACCCAGTACTTTCACTGGAGAGGTTGCTGCATTGAAGGAGCTTGCTCCACATGTTCTTGGGTTGGACCCAAGGTCCCCAGCTGCTATTGTTCAGAAGATGGATAGCATTATGCTTTCCGGAAACGCTGCCAAGGCTCTTATCGATTTCGCCTGCTGGGATATCTTTGGCAAATCTGTCGGCTTGCCAACCTACAGCCTGTTTGGTGGTGCCCTCTGCCATTCTCTCCCCGCTTTTACAGTAATTGGCCTAGGAAGCCCAGAAACTGGCGTTGAGAAGGCTCTAGCGGAGTACGAGAGGGGAGTCACCGCTCTGCAACTCAAGATCGGAGATGATCCGGTCAACGATGCGCAACGAATCAGAGCCATCCACAAGGCACTTTCATCCAACGTTGTGTGCTTCGCCGATGCCAACTGTGGATGGAACCTGGAGCAGGCCCTGATATACACTCGCACTTTGGGGCAGGATATCTGCATACCACTGGAGCAGCCTTGCCGCACATTGGCTGATTGTATCGAGGTTGGCAAACGTTCAGGGCTGCCTCTTATTGTTGATGAATGTGTTGTGACAATGGCCGACCTTGTGGTGGCGCACGCTGGTGGCGCCACAGGCATCAACCTCAAGCCATCTCGGGTTGGTGGCTTCACCAAAGCCAGAGTCATACGTGATGCTGCTGTCGCGCTGGGGATGAATATCACAGTTGATGATACATGGGGCTGCTCGTTATTGACGGCACAGAATGTGGTATTTGCCGTATCTACGCCGGCTAATAGGCTGCGTGCTGTTGATGCTTACGCTGAATGGACAGAACCTATGATTGCAGAATGTCCACGGATGGGGAAGGATGGCCGACTCCAGCCTACCGAGTTGCCTGGGAACGGTTATGGGCCTATCAACATTGAGATGTTGGGCGAACCACTGTTCAACCTGAAAGCCTAAGGAGTGTACAGAATACGCCTAGTAAAGAGACTGAGATATAATCATCTTGTAGGTAGCCTATATAGTTTGCTTCTTGAAAACTTTAAATTAACTTCTTCTCTGGTCTAATGAGTAGCATGTATACATAAAAAGACGGCGTCGTTCTAGTGAGCTGGCCACAGGTCGCTTCCGAGCTTCTTGGTTGTTATCGTAGGCTTGTAGAGGGTTGTGGTAACTAAGTGCAGTACAGTGGACAGTTCTTTGGGGAAATTGACTTAAGTTTGCTTAATAAGCGCGCATTCTTCCACAACCTCCAATATCGGAGTGCCTCACTTAGTCAGATGCATTAGCAATTGCAACATCGGATAACGAAACCGATCATTAGGTAACTTAATTCCGGAACAGCCGTAGTCTGCCAAGGGTTCAAGGTTCAGTCCGGGTCGTCGGATAACAAAAATACGAGAGATCGATCCAAGCTCGATGAAAAATGGCTTTTCGTGGAGTTCCCGTGAAGTTTCCTGACAAGCCCTGCTTGAATTAAGCAAGTGGAGAAACGGAGACGTTAGAGGCAATCTAAACCCTCAAATTGCCTGTTCCAGCTTTTGATACGCGACGGCATGGTCCACTAAATACCCGTTTCGGTTTTAAATAAGCGACCAGGGATCAGGGTTTTGGACCGGCGTTACTTCCCGTGGTCGTTGGATCTGTTTCCAAACAAGTTTGTCTCTCATCTATCATATCTTCGCTAATATAAGTGATATCTGGTTTCGCGCAAGTCCAAATCAACGACATGTACAGTGACAAGAAGTTGTATGACTTAGAATTTCGAGTGTTGAACATAACGGAGCAAAATGGTCTAAATCGGATGAGCAAGGTACCGCTATGGAGGCTTATGGTACACCATGCTACACAAGAACGAATGGGAGCTCAAATCCTTGCCTCCCATATTCAACCCATCCATGGCCGTTGACGTCTTCCGAAGTCGTGGTGTCACTCTCTCGGGCTGCATTATGGTACCTCCAATTTCTCGACAAAAAGTCCGCCGTCTTGCTCAAGATATCGGACCTCCACCAAGAATTGTAGTTTCTCCTCAGTCTGCCGACAATGAGTCGCTGATGGTACGGGAGTATTGAAGACATGCCGGCCACGAACAAGGGCCAGCATAAGATATTATTGGCTGGGGATGCCAAGGGTAGTGTGTTCAGTATGGAGATGAACTGCTCTATGAGGTTTTGGACTGCCGCGGACGAATCTGGCAGGCTGGGATTTAAAGTCTTCTTGATATATATCAGGCATGTAAGGCGATATAGCTCTGATGTTAATTCGTCTGTGTAGTCATTTTCGGTGTTTTGACCGGAATATATGGGTTGCTCATGGAGTTGAGCCTCGAGAATCTTCAACTTTGTTTCAATAGCCTGGTCGCCACTGCTCTTGAGGATCGATATCTGTAGGATGGCTCGGAATACCCTGCGGCACCGTAGTCCCAAAAGCATGCCCTGGCAGTGATCCTCTGAGAGGAGTGGAGAAGTAAAGATCTTCGAGGTTACCTGTAGAGGTAAGCTGTGTCCATGGGAAAATGCCGTCAACGTAAAGATGTAGTAGAAGACTTCGAACATTAGCCCCTGTAGATGTGGATCAAAAACGGTACTGCCATCACTACAGTTGTGACACAGAGCTGCCGCTGCGTTTAAGTGAGGGATTATTCTAGCTGGAGCAGAGAAGTTGACGATCTGGTGAAGACTTTCATGAGCTAGGTCACAAGTAATTATTGAATTAACTTACTTCATGGACACAAAGTAGGATAATGGCTAAGAGAAGATCCTCTAGTGAATGTCAGTGTAGATCCTCTAGATGGAATGAATAATAACTGAAGATCGAGTTACCTCTGCGAGTTTGCGCGTTCTGAGAGCCAGAGGAGGAAGCTTGGCTGCTTATTGATGATCGAATACCAGCTACGGCTTGCCCATAAAACCCGCAGGTCAAGCTAGTCATTTCAGAGCTGGCTGGTTGGTATTTGCTCAGATCTCCAGCGGCGACGGCCAGTATACAATTGAGAACCGCAGGACACCGTATGGCGACTGGGATGACGAGCTTGGAACTCCCATCGGCGTTCCCGACCGACGTCAACCATAAAGGGCCGTTAGCATCGAAATGGGACAATAATCTCTCCTGAACCGGTGCTGTTGGTGTGACGAAAACGCTTACAAGGAGGCCCATCGCTTGGGGCAGGGCGAAGTCGTTGTTTTGTCGAGAGTCTCGGCGGGCAGCCGAAGGACCACGAGGTTCCCGAGACCAATTACACGGTAAATTCCTTGCTATACATGCAGAACAGCAAGGACGCTGCTCGTTGCATTTTTTCTTGCGTTGACGGCATTGCCGACAGCCAGCTCGTGAACGTGTAGAACAAGGTTGAGAAGGTTGTGTAATATTAGTATCCGGTGCCAATATTAAAGGTTCCATAGTGTTTTGTTCCAGTCGAATTGCTTGAACTCGACAAGTACAAGGCAGAGAAGGAATTGCGGGGTCATGGACTGGACGAAGAGGCGATGTCGGCAACCTAAAGGGAATCACGTGATTGTTCTGGTTGAATATTGGTCACGTATCGGACGTGCCGGGGAAAGGGATTGAGCTAGCATTAGCTGAACAAGTATCACTTGAATCCTCAAACATCCCTTTATCATAATCTACCCGAGAAGGGAGTGTAAAAAGATGAAAAATTATAAAGATCTCCCGGAGCTCCCGAGCCCCCTCATCACCTCCCTCTCAAGATAATATCACTATTATGTGGTCATTTTCTCAATTTTTCCTTCTGCTATCTATATGTCATCTTCTATATTGCCAATCGTGATCACGAGATCTCTAGATAGTGATTTAAGAATCGTCTTGGTTCTAGAGCTAGTTTCAGCTCTAGACAGTAAGCGGCAACTGAGAGGTCTCAAACCGACTCCTGTTTCGTGGGTATCGTGGAAACTGCCTTGATCAAGCGACCAATTTTCAAAAGTAGCCTTTCCTCCTCGTTAACATGAGGGAAATTGAGCCAGATTATAGTCACCAAAGCGATCAGAGCTAGGATGATGGGCTGCAGTACGCCCACGCCCGCATGTGAGGCGATGGCACCAATAATAAAAGGGAAGATTGTTCCGCCAGTCCCCCCAATTGCCATCGCGAAACCAATAGCGCTGACGTGAATGCGCTGTGGGAGCAGTTTTGCCGTAACCATAACAGCCCCAGGAAATAGAGGCCCTAAGAAAACCCCTAGAAATGCCACACTGACTGCAGATACGACGAAGTTTGGCACCAGCCAGAAAAGCAACTGAAAAGTGACTGCAAATGCAAGGTAGACTGTGATGCAGAGGCGCTCACCAAACCGTTCTGTCACAAAGCCGAGACCTGCTCTCCCCACCGTCATACCTGCCCAGAAAGCAGTACCAGAGACTCCGGAAGCATATCTCGAAGCGTTTCGGACTCGTAGCATAAAGGTTACAACCCACCCGCCGATACCAACTGTGAGGCAGAAAATGAGTTCGTAGTCGCAAAGGAGGAGTCTAGGAAACACATACCTTCTGCGCCCATATAGGCAAAAAAGAATGCTGCACAGAGCCATGTCACCTTGGATTTGAGCGCTTCACGGAGGCCAACTCCGCCCTTTTCTGACTCGTCCTGGTGGTTCATCCGATGCACGGCCCCGGTTCTATGCCAGAATGTGGTGAGAAGACCAACCCATTCTATTACTGACAGTCCGACCTAAAATGGTGAGTGATACTTTCCATCAATGTGCTTAGGGCTGAATCTTACCATGACGTAGTAGAAGGTATACCAGGGCAGCTTTGCTGAAACCACAAAGCTGGTTGCAATCATAGGCGCAAGTAAAGCACCGACTGAATAACAAGCATGCATAAACCCCTGAATTGTGTTTGCCTTTCTCATAACACCAACCCATGCGCAGAAGCAGGCATCACATGCTCCATTACCGAAACCACTAAATATATTGATGATAATTAGTACGGGCCAAGGTGGGTGTATCGCCAAGACAGCGTAGGTGATGATATGACATATCGGCGCAATAAAGGCAATTCCTCTCTGCCCCAATTTCATGTGGATAGTCGCATTGGTAAAAGCTGCGAGAGAGTAGCCCACGAATGGTGTCAAGAAAACCAGCGACACAGTGGTATAGCTAAGGTTGTAATATTCTTCCAACTGACTATGTTAGTTTTTATCTGGAACTTGCCGTGAATTACCATATGCAACCTACATATGGGATCAAAGCCTATGGATTCTTGTTAACAAGGCCATCTCGAGTGATTAAAACTGAATGCACGCACGCCAACAGCGCCATCGTTCATCCCGGCGATGATGAAGGACAGAAACGCAAAGCCCAGCCTTCCTACATTGGTAAAAGGCTTGTTCCAATGCTCGGCCTCATTTTTTCCTTCAGCGATATCTCTGTGCTCGGTGGATGCATCATGCATTTCAACGCTTGATGCTATGACATCTGAACAGCCGTTTTGCTGTTTTTCCGTGCCGGAAGTCTCGTGCTTTTCATTGTCCTCGGACCGCATTTTGACGTAATGATGTCCAAGATATTGAGTTTGCTGATGACGGAGAAATAGAAAACAGGTGGAACATCAGAACGACGCAGCCCAAGTATATAGAAATGTGTCTGACCCTTATGTTCCGCACAAGCGGTCTGCTCGCATGGTGGTATTGCCAAGTCTCACCAACATGAAAGGCTAGAGTGTGACTTGAGCCCGAAATCGCGACCGGAACCCACCATTAGACACGAATTTTCCCAACAGATCCACTACTTTGCGTTTCATGACATCTTCCAGTTTAATGAATTGTAAAGACATCATGGATGTTTAACTTGGGATCCGTCGACCTAATTTTGTTGGCCAGGGAGAAGCGAGAAGGAGTCTTCGTGTTGTTAGAGGCCCATAATAAAATCTCTAGCGTCGCTTATTTAAAGCTGAAAGAGGTTAGACAATATTGGAAACCTGACTACGATCTACGTAGTATTATCACGGAGTCCTTCGTATACTTCTAGAACCCCTTGCCATTTAAAAGAGAGAAGCTTGATGGGACATAGAAATCCTCTCTTCTCGAAATATTATACTAATCAGAATATGAAAATGTATAGTAGTAGTATGTATTAAGCGAGAAGAGGCCTGGTCGTAGTTCCAGTTGAGCTAGTCGCACGATTCAAATTGTAAACAGTGGTCTCATATAATATAACTGTGTTACAAAAGACTTTTCACCAATTGTCTACGAGGACATAGCTCTTCACTATTCAAGTTGAAATCATAATGTAACAACAGGCTCTACAAGTCCAACTACAAATTAATACAATTTTGCTTAACGATTGTTTGATTCCAGTTGTAATAGAACAAGAGTAGAGCATTCGCCGTCAACTCCAAATCCTCGAGACTGTACTTCTTATTGGCAAATGCTCTAACTCGTTTTCATCACAGAAGAAATTTATCATTACTCAAGTGGTTCCCACATTACAAAACAGTCGCTGTTGCTTAATCATGAAAAGGCCACGGTAAGGCGGTCCGACAGAGAATAACCAGGCCCCGTAAGGGAAGCCTACTGGATGAATGCTACTCCCAACACTGAAGTTTGAAAAGTACCTGCGATGATATGAACTCCACACCTGCTGCACGGAATCGGTCCGTCCTCTGACGAAGTCCGCATATCGGGACACACCGACACGTCACATGTCCTTGCTCAGACAAAATAGCAAATTACTTCTAGTCTGGCTTGTCCTCTGAACTTACTAATGAACGAAACAGGGGGCACTGGCTACTGAATGCAACTTGGCCTGACTCAAATCTTCTCAAGGCACATCCCCAGTCTCACATATTCTTTGCTTGCCTGAGTACCAAAATAATCAGCGATGGCAGTGAAAGACAAAAGTGTGAGAGAGCTGGACAAAGCCAAATCGTTGGCTCATGTGCCATGGTGTGACGAGTACGAGAAGATGATATCAGGCATGCTGTAAGGGCTGTCACTCGCACGTAGTATTGATCTGGAGTTCTTACATTGTGTTAGATACGACGCCGGTGCTTCAGAGCTCGCGGTTGCCCGATTCAAGGCGCGCAAATGGACCATGCACTACAACAGCTTTTTCCCCGAAGACGCACGAAATGCCGAGGAGGTCTCCCAAGCGCGTCGGAAGCTTCTGGGCGGAATCATTGGCGAAATCGATGGAGACGATATTTGCATCGAACCTCCATTCTCGATTGATTACGGCTGCAGTATCAAGTTTGGAAAACGGTTCTACGCTAACTTCAATCTTTGTATCCTGGATTGCGCCATAATAACAATTGGTGATCGTGTCATGCTGGGCCCCAATGTGTCGATATTTGGAGCAACACATGAGACCGACGTTCAAAGCCGACGTGAAGGTGTGGAGTTTGCAAGGCCTGTGACGATAGGAGATGATTGCTGGATCGGCGGACATTCAGTTATACTTCCCGGGGTCACAATTGGAAAAGGCTGTACTGTTGCTGCAGGTTCCATTGTGACAAAGGATGTGCCTGACTGGAGTGTGGTAATGGGTCAACCGGCCAAGGTGGTCAGAACGGTCCAAGCTATAGACTAATCTGGGGACTTTACCTAGCATAACAGTGAGAAGCGCACCGGCATAAGTTTCATGAGCATACCAAGGAGCTTGGAGGGCTGAGAGTACACCAAGGGCAACAAAAGACCTCGAGGTCGCCAAAACGCGATGGATATAGCATGCCTGAGTGATAGTTCCAACAGAGGGTAAAACATTGACGCAGATGACAATATGAACGTGATTCAAAAACTAATGATGGCAGATGATCATATCCAATAACCTGCTGAATACACATCAAACGAGAAGGCGTTGTGTGCATGTTGCCTGACTTGCGCGGACGAACCTGAATTCAAGTGTAATAGTTATTGCTCCAAATAATGTAGAACTATTCGCAGGTACTGTTTCACCCCTGTCTACAGCTGGCATTGGCGTTATTTAGGTTAGTATACTATATCAACCGGAACCTGCAAAAGTCGAGTATAAGGCAAGCAAGTGGTCACACATATGTTGTGATTATAACGAACTGAGCTATTCAACAGATGGACTGTCAATTGGATGTAGAGCCCCTCGATGCCTAGGCTACCACTGTCATCGAGAGGTGGAAGGATCACATGTCATCCTTTTGGCCTATGATGTCAAACCCCAACAACATCCGTCAAAGCCTTCATCAGGGTAGCTTTAGCCGTAGTCCTTCAGCCCTTTAGCAAGTCTGGAGGAACACAGCTGAGTTCGTGGCGCAGTTGCAGTCTACATATCCACAGGCCTGCAAGAAATAAATCAGTCTACAACCCACGTAAGTCAAACAGGTAAGGGGTGCAAATCTACCTCGGCATGTACGCCCCAGGTACCAGACCTGCCATCGCCGCAGCCGGATGGGAATTGATATGGGACAGAACAATCAATCTGGTTGCAGAAAAAGTCGGCACTACACTTGACCGCCGCCACGGTGCTCACCATGGACAACGCGGCGAGCGCGGTGTAAATGATTCCGTTGGCGTGCATGTTGTAGGAAATGGCTGATTATTGCGAGTTGTATTTTCAACAAAGCTAGCAATTGTAATGGTGTATAAGTTGAGTGAGAGCGAACTACAACAGCCTTACAATAAGCTTGGCAGCATTTATACTATTTCCCCTTGCCACAATCCGTAGCTGTGTAAGCCCAACAACATCAGTCCACTAAGCGGCTTTAGCATCTATTTACTACCTACCTTCTTGGGTAATATGACATACAGGAGGATCAATGCTACACAAAATGGCCGACAATCCTATTTGGTACTCAGAACTAAGATGGCAGGCCAGGTATCCATGTCGTCTCAAGAACACTTCAGCCAATATTCCGTACCAGCAACTCGATTTAACTTCCAATACCAAATATGGCCTTCAGGGATAGATGACAAAACCATATGATTAGCTGCTGCAGTCCCATCCCTGACTTGCTTGACTAGCCTGTTTGAAACAGCTCACCGATACAGTGATCCCTCGGAAACATATGCAACATCGGTCATGGGCGCAATCGAACGTCGATCATTGGACCAATCTTCATCTGGTTCTGAAACACTACTTGGAGGTGGCGATTCCCCGCATCTTCAACTGCCTTATCAAGCAGGGGTTCAAGAGGTTTTAACCTGTCATAAAGCAACTTTCCATCACAACATACAAAGTATTGGGCACGGATTTCAATTCTTGTGAACGAGGATGTACTAAGAGCTATGAAATTATGGCTTGTCTCTTCAACAGATATAAATCCCGAGAGTAAGTGAAACTGAACCATCCCTGCCAGCAGAAGTGAGGTAAGCGCAACTCAGCTAACCCCCGTCGACACAGCTGACATCGACGATGCTTGACTGTTGAGCGTAAGCGGCACTTGACGGCAACTATCCCTGTTAGAATAGGGTCTAGAGCTAATGGGGAGAAGCAATCCCTGCCACACAACTTGAGGCTTTAGCCTGCTAGCTCTCGACTACCAAATAGAAAGAGGCCGCCAACTGCTCCTCTCCATACATAGTAAGTTGGAAAAATCGTTCAATGATCTCTTTTCAAAACCATCCTAGGTGTTGACAGCTCTACCATGAGGCGTAGAAGCTAATGAAACAAATCATGAAAATGAACACCTCTTTTTAAAATACTAGAAAATGAACCACGATCCGACAGAGCAGAGATGGCAATGTAAATTCAAAGCAAAGGTTATAAACTGGTACGAATACTACGATTAGGCTCTTAATCAGCGATCTTAATTCTGTAGTTCTTGTTGTGAGCGTCTACTTTCGAGCCTCTCAGACAATGTGACATGGCTTAACGATCAAGCATTGGTTATATAGTTGATTTGATCCTTTGTGTCATATATTCTGTGATGGATGTGTAGATTAGTTGTATGTAGGGCAGTACTCTTGGTCTTTAAATTGGCAAGTCCTTTATCTATGAATAGGTAGAGGGTATCATCCCAGGCAATAACTTCTCAAACACCATCCGACCACAACATGTTGGGAAGGCTAAAAGAACTTGCTAGTAAGGTCGATAGCAATGAATTATGGTCAAGTACTCTTGTACATGATAAATATTGAGAATGAGAAAAGCGTTTGGACTTTGGCAGACAACTGGTCATTTATTTACCAGACTGTGGCCACGTGAGAGCAGACCTTTCTGCAAAGTCTTTAGCCATATGGTTTCTAAAATATACTGCTGAGACATTTCAATGAACGTAGAAATTACAGGGAGCATATCTCCCATTAAATTATCCATGAAAAATAACAAGGAAGTTTCAATATTGGAAATCGAGATTACAAGACGATTGTTACAAACTAAAAAGCCATCCTCCAGCGCGGGAAACGAACCTGTAGAATCAGTGTTTTTCCTATTATACTACCCAATTCAGTTAGAAAGCTTCTCAACTTCGGCAAGCAGCGTTTTTGCTGCTAGCTTGCCAAGGTTGTTTGATGCCAGCGGCGAATCGCCAGTCAAAACAAGCCGATCTTGGTGCGTCGCTCCGGTGATGTCTTTATTAAGGGGCGTAACACCAAGCTTGCGAAGTCGCTCGCCCACAAACCAAGCCATCTTGCCGGGAATGTACCCAATATCGACGTTGGCCTCTTTGTCCAAGGAATCGGGGAAGACGTCGATCGAATACCCGTCATATATGAACTTACTGCCCTTGGGCTTACCCACATCGGCGGCGAGCATGCTGGCAGGGCCGTGGCACAAGGTGATGAAGAAGCGCTTATTGTCATGGGCCCAGCGGAGGACATTGCCAACGGTTTCCGAGAACGGCACGCCGTTCAACACCCCATGCCCGCCGGGGACGAAGACGGCGAGGTATTCGGTGTCCTTGGTGAAGCCCTTGCCCCAAACATCTTGAAGGTTGAGCGGGCTACGGATCTTCTCTTTGTACTTCTCAAAGATCTGCTTGACAGCCGCGTCTTCTTGTGGGAAGGCCCACATCTCCAGCTTGACGGGGTCTCCCGAGAGTGTCGCGATGTCAATGTCAAAGCCCGCGGCATCGAGGTGGATCATCGGCAGAAGCATTTCCACAGGATGATTCCCCGTGGAGAAGAACTCGCCTCCGGCCATTTTGAGGTACCGCTCCTGAGTTCCGATAAGGAGAACCTTCCACTTGCCGCCTTTATAGGCATTGGGGTAGTTTGCTCCATCAAAGTCGGTCTTTGGCGAGACATACTTGGTCAGGGAGAAAGGCGAAGGAAAAAAGGCATTGGCCTCGGCCTGGTCTGGGACAGGAGCTTTGTCTGAGGTACCGGACATTGGATGAATCGCAGCTTTCGCTGAGGCTTTATTGACAAGGTGAGAGACAATATGCAATGTTTTCGGTTATGGCTGAATGTGAATGATGTGTGAACATGACTGGTTTCAAGTGACGGTATTTATACTACCTATCGGTGAATTTTGAGTTTGATCGGGGTGATCATCCAGCTATGATCAGCCAGGTAAAGGGAAAGTGTATCTGAACTAAGCAAGCCACTTGAACTCAACTGTTCCGAGACCACCGATGGTATCGCACATCAGTCCCGGAAATTCTGTATGGCGATGCATATTCTAGCATCACGTAAGGCTGCTAGCTTTGTTGTCAAACTTGGAAAACAAACCAAACCACATGACAGACAGGGACCGCAATACGAACAACCAGGGGTTATACGTTTAAAAGCGCGGCCCTTGACCATTGAGCACGGCTACGGCCCTACTACATATCTAGGTACATTACCGAGCTAAGTCTCCGTCAACGCCAAAGTCGGGACCGAACCGTGCTGCGGGCTTACCGAGCTGTTGGCCAGTTTCATACTGGCCATACATACCACCTCCTTTCATACACGAACAAGAAAGCAAATTGAATCGATATAATAAGACAACAGTTAAGATTCTAGATTCAGCTAACCTAGGATCTCAATATCACAACCAAGCTCCCCTCCCCTCTAATAAATCTTTGACTACAACAAGTCCAGTCACGACTATTAGCCCCAAATAAAGCGATTCCTAATGAATGGGTAGCTACTATTCTTACTCCCCCAAAACGTAGTTAGACAGCATTCTCCATGGATATAGTTTTGTCTTCCGCTATGATAGCAACAAGGAGCAGGAGAGTTATAACCAGAGCCACCACTGATGAGTGAGGGCGGCTTGCGCCACCACGAGGACCAGCGGCACCGCCGCACCTAGGGAAAGGGTCGTTTTGTCCTAATCGTAGGAAGGGTGACGAACAGCTATAGACTTGGCCTTCTGATTGCTCCATTCTTCCCCGTATCGGAGTTTAGGTATCCCGTTTGCCCATCCCATTGTGGGAATGACCACGGCGTGGAGGAGGCTTGTCTTGCCTAATGGACCCAGGCCCTCCAGGCATAGTCGGGCGATCCCGTTTGCCCATCCCATTGTGGGAATGGCCACGGCGTGGAGGAGGCTTGTCTTGCCTAATGGACCCAGGCCCTCCAGGCATAGTCGGGCGATCCCGTTTGCCCATCCCATTGTGGGAATGGCCACGGCGTGGAGGAGGCTTGTCTTGCCTAATGGACCCAGGCCCTCCAGGCATAGTCGGGCGGTCTCGTTTGCCGATCCTATTGTGGGAATGGGGACGAGTAGCTGGGGTTGCCTCCTTTCTGATTCCGGTACCATTAGCTCCAGGCATAGCATGGCGGTTTCG